TTGTGTCTTAGTGCAGAAGGAGCGCGATGGGGAGGAGACGGCGAGCAACGGAGTCACACGGGAGAGATCTCCCTCTCTCCGCTTCTACAAAGCTTCCTCCAACACACGGCCGCGATTCTTGGTAAGTATCGTCTATTTTAGCTAGTTTTCTTTTCGTTTTACTAACTTTCTCTTGCGTTTTCTCTGTCTTACTGCAGAAGGAGCTGGATGGGAGCTGGCGGCGAGCAAGGGAGTCACACGGGGAGAGCACTCCCTCTCTTGGTAAGTATCGTCTATTTCAGCTAGTTTTCTTTTATTTTTACTAACTTTCTCTTGTGTTTTCGCTGTCTTACTGCAGAAGGAGCTGGATGGGAGCTGGCGGCGAGCAAGGGAGTCACACGACGTGAACTCTCCCTCTCTTTGTAAGTCACGCCAATTTCAGATAGGATTTCGTTTACGTTTTACTAAGCTTCTCTTTTGTGTCTTGTGTCTTAGTGCAGAAGGAGCGCGATGGGGAGGTGACGGCGAGCAAGGGAGTCACACGGGAGAGATCTCCCTCTCTTGGTGAGTATGGTCAATTTCAGCTAGTATTCTCTTTACGTTTTACTAAGCTTCTCTTTTGTGTCTTGTCTCTTAGTGCAGAAGGAGCGCGATGGAGAGCTGGCGGCGACCAAGGGAGTCACACGGGGAGAACTCTCCCTCTCTTGGTAAATATCGTCTATTTCAGCTAGTTTTCTTTTCTTTTTACTAACTTTCTGTTGTGTGTTTGTGTCTTAGTGCAGAAGGAGCTCGAGGGAGAGCTGACGGCGAGCAAGGGAGTCACACGGGGAGAACTCTCCCTCTCTTTGTAAGTCGCGTCAATTTCAGCTAGTTTTTCGTTTACGATTTACTAACTTTCTGTTGTGTGTTTGTGTCTTAGTGCAGAAGGAGCGCGAGGGAGAGCTGACGGCGAGCAAGGGAGTCACACGGGGAGAACTCTCCCTCTCTTTGTAAGTCGCGTCAATTTCAGCTAGTTTTTCGTTCACAGTTTACTAACTTTCTGTTGTGTGTTTGTGTCTTAGTGCAGAAGGAGCACGAGGGAGAGCTGACGGCGAGCAAGGGAGTCACACGGGGAGAACTCTCCCTCTGTTTGTAAGTCACGTCAATTTGAGCTAGTATTTCATTTACGATTTACTAACTTTCTCTTGTGTGTTTGTGTCTTACTGCAGAAGGAGCGCGATGAGCGTCAAGGGAGGCCAAGAATTAAAGAACGCTCTCCTTCTCCTGGTAAGCACGGTCCAATCCGTTAGTTTTTTCCTTTTCGAGATTTCTAACTTCGAGTTTCGTTGTTTTGATGATGCAGGAAGGAGGACGAGGAGCACGTGGCAACACCGTCAAGGGAGGTCAAAAAGAAATCGCTCTTTTTCTCCTGGTAAGCACGCTCCGCTCCGTTTTTTCTCTTTCGTTCGTTTTTCTTTTCCTAACTTCGAGTTTCGTGGATTTGTGAAGCAGGAGCGGGAGGAGGAGCAGCAGCACACGGCAACAGCGGGAGGAAGAAGAAACGCTCTTCTTTCCCTAGTAAGCACGGCCCTCTTTCGTTCGTTACTGCTGTTTCAAGATACTAACTTCGAGTTTCATGTCTTTCGTGAACCTGGAGCGGGAGGCGGAGGAGGAGGAGCGCGGGCAACAGCTGGAGCGGGCGGGGGAGGTTACACGCGGGGAGCTCTCCCTGTCTTGGTAAGCATCGTCATTTTCAGTTAGTGTTTTGTTTACGCTCTACTAAGTTTCTCTTTTGTGTTCCGTCTTAGTGCAGGAGGTGGGGAGCTGACAGCGAGAAGGGGCTAAACGGAATGGTCTCCCTCTCCTGGTAAGTCTCGTCAGTGTTTTACCTCGTTTCAGTCATTCTTCTTCTGTTTTTGCCCTTTAGCGACTATCTGTTTTCTGTTCCTTACGATTTCTTCCTCGCCCTTCCGTGCCTCTTAAATGCAGAGGGATCAGGAGCATGGAGCACGGGCAACACTCGGGCGGAGGATGTGACACGAGGCGAGATCTCCCACTTCTGCTAAGTATCGTCAATTATAGTTTTGTTTCGTTTACGTTTTACTAAGTTTCTATTTTGTGTTCTGTCTTAGTGCAGACGGAGCGGGATGGGGAGCTAGCGGCGAGCAATGGGGTAAACTGAGTGATCTCCCTTTTCCTGGTAGGTTCCGTCAATCTCAAATTCATTCATTCTTTTCAAAACACTGACTTTTTCTGCTGGTTTTGGTTTGTGCGCAGGAGCATGAGCGGGCGAGGAGCGCGGAGCCCGGAGCGCCGAGGGTTGAGCGCGGAGCGCGGGGAGAGAAGCCGCGCGCCGCACTGGAGCAAGGAGCTTGGAGCGCCGAGCTTGGAGCAACCAAGCGTGTAAGTTGGTCTGGGCCCTGGTTCCCTGGGTGGTTAGGTCTACGTTAGGAGCGTTAGCCAGAACGTTAGGAGCATTAGTCAGAACGTTAGGAGCGTTAGTCAACTCAGATCGTTAGGCTCGAATTAGGCTTAGCTAGGCGACACATTAGCCTTAGCTAGGCTCGGACCTGGTTTACGTTCTAGTCTGTACCTAGGCTCGAATTAGCTAGGACGTTAGGTTCGGACAGTAAGGTGTGGTTGGGCGTGGTTGGATTCGGTTGAGTTTGTCTTCGACCTTTCCCTCTTGCTGCCCTGAATATAATTTTAACCGTCCCCCCTTCTTTCTGCCCTGTAAATAAGTCCGCTCCCTCCCCAACAGGCACCAACTAATGACCCCCACCTCAAGAAGACCAAGAGCCAAGAAAGGCGAGAAGCTGTGGATCTGCACTACAGATGCGGTTGTTGACACTTAGGGATCTTAAAATATCTATCTTATCACTTGTAGCCCCGTATTCAGATATATAAGTATCTCTGTTCTTTACGACTATAAGTGAATTTGCTTGGTAGGCGAAATACGCAAGGAAACAAAATGGAAACAAACCTTTCCTCTGGCTGAGCACGAAACAAACCCTGGCAGAATTCAGGCAGCCATAGATACAGCGCGTGCACCATACCATAGATACAGACTACAGACGTTATTTCCGCATTGTACGCTTGTCGCAGCATCCGTGATAGTCGCGAAAGTGACAGTCACCTTTAGGATCAGCGAACGTGTGGCCCTCTTTCGACTAAACTCTTTCTCGTTCACTACCGATGCTACGCTGACTATCATTAAAATACTGTTGAGATTTTTGAACGATCACACAGCGATCGAGAAGGCTAAATCTATTGACGGGAAACAAACTTTTCTGCCGCAGCAGCCACGGCAGCAGGCTCGGCAAGCACATCCTTCGCTGCGTTCGCGGGCATTGGAGGCGTGTAACAGCCTTGGATTAGGACGAGCGGCGGAGGTTGAATCGGGACCGTCCGATCGGATCCGACGCGTACTGGAGGCCATGTACGTTTGACCAGCTTTCGTGGATCCTGCAATTTCCCTAGTTTCATTTTTCCATTAATTCTCCTAATTTCAGTGTAGGCCAATTTGTTCCTTCTTTAATAAATTTGTGCATTAGGAATTCCCGATCCCGGTTTTGATGGATCCGGAACCTCCAGAGCGAAAAGGTCCGTCTGCTGAATCAACGGCCAGAGTTGCTGGAAGGCATCATTCCGATGACAGATCGACGGCTGGGAGGAGTTTTGGAGATACGCGCGGGGGAGGACGGAGATCGGACCGTGTCGATGATTCTGATGGCGAGAAAGGGAGGGGAAACTACCAGGAACGTTCGTCGAGGGATCCGGTAATGGCCTCAGCTCAACGAGGTGCTGATTGGTCGCACGATCTAAAGGACGGTGGAGATTTGGCGAGAAGCGTCAAAGAAAAGGACGACCGTGGATTACCGCCGAGGGGACCCGGCGACAGGAGAGGAGGAGGTGTTAGGGTTTCAAATGAAGATCTCCGCGAGAGACTGAGAGCCGCTGGACATGAAAGGGACAGAGACAGAGAAAGAGACAGAGGAAGAGACAGGGATAGGGATTCGCAAGGAGTGGGAAAAGCTTCGCCGATTCATGTGCAAGGAGGGGGAAGAACTCCGCCGATGCATCCCCAAGGAGGGGGGAGAACTCCGCCGATGCATCCGCAAGGAGGGGGAAGAACTCCGCCGATGCATCCGCAAGGTGCGGAACGGGAGCCGCGGGACGGGGGGAAGGAGGCCAGCGGTGAGGGGAGAGAGGGCCGGGAGCCGCGGTTCCGTGGGGGAAGTGGAAGGGGGGATGTAGGTTCGGGAATGGGAGGAATGAAAGGGAGGTTCGGCAGGGAAGAGAGGGGCGGCGACGGAAATTGGGGTGGTGGGAGGGGGAGATTTGGGAGGGAGGGCAGGGGCGACGGCGGGTTTAGAGGCGGAAGGGGGGGGCGGGGGGGGAGGGACGGAAGCGGAAGGGGAGCTGGCGAGCGGGGGATGGGGAGGAGCAGGGGGGCTGATTGGGTGGAGCGAGGGGGGAGGAGTGGAGGAGACGTGAGAGGCGGGAGGGATGAGCGGGTGGACGGAAGGGAGGAGGAGAGGGAAGAGAGGGAGGAAAGAAGGGAGGAGAGGAGGGGAGAGAGGACGGAGGAGCGGGATCATGGGGACGGTAACACTGTAACGCGTAAAGGGGTCTGGTCCCGACTGGGTTCTGATGGCAGTCCGCATAAGGAGCAGCTTCGCGGAAGCAGCAGAGAGCGAGGAGGGAGTGATATGGGCGGCAGAGAGGGGAGAAGCGAGGAGAGGGGGCGTGTGGAGAGGAGGGGGAGTGCGGAGAGCTGGGGAAGCAGAGAGAGGAAGGGGAGTATGGAGAGAGCAGGGAGCAGAGAGCGGGAGAGAGAGAGGGAGAAGGAGAGGGAGGGTCGGCCGTATCCACACCACTGGCAGCGGGACTCCCCCTCGCACAGTCACAATCACAGCCACAGTCACAGTCACAGTCATAATCAGAGTCATAGTCACAGCAAGGGGGACTCTGACGGGCGTGACAATAGCGAGCGGAGAGCAAGGACCTTCCAGGCTGGTCGAAGCCCTCTGGGTGTGGAAATGATTGCGGCTAGAGGGGCTTCGTTACAAGACAACTCGATAGAAAGAGACGGATTTTCAGGAGACAAGTCACGAGAAAAAGGCGCTTATTTGAAAGAAGGCTCACGAGAGAAGAGCAAGAGGGGAAGGGAGTTCAATGGAAGCCGTTTGGGAGCGGAGGCAAGAGTGCGGCCAAGCTTTGGGGACCTAGAGGAAGGGGAAGAGGAGATGGGGTGGGATGGGGAGGAGAGGGAGGAGGGAGAGAGCAGGGGAGGGGGGTACGAGGGGTTTGAGGACCAAGGGATGAGGGAGGAGAGGGTGGAGAGAGGTGATGTGGGGGTTGGAAGGGAAAGAGATGCGGTTGGGAGTGGTGGGGATGGTAATGGTGGTGGTGAGGAGGAGGAGGAGGATGGGGAGATGGGCGGTGGGGCATGGGGGGAGAAAGAGGGGATGGTGGGGGGAGAGGAGGGGGAGATTGAGGAGGGGGAGTTTGATGGAGGCGGGGGGAGGGAGCCTGGCGGGGCGAGTGACTCTAAGGATCGTGATGGTAAGGAGCGTGAGCATGATAGGAACGAGCGTGATAGGGACGAGCGTGATAGTAAGGAGCGTGATAATGCGGAGAGGGACTGGATGGATGATTTAAACGAGTTGGAAGAGGAGCAAGATGCGCAGGAGAGGGCTGGTGTGATAGAAACGGGGGTTGGCAACGGGGAGGCGGATGGAAGGGGAGGGAATGGGGTAGAGTCGAAGGTGGAGGCGGGAAGGGGAGAAGGGGAGCGAGTGAGAGAGAGGGAGAGGGAGAGGGAGAGGGAGAGGGAGGAGGATAAGGAGGAAGAGGGGGAGGAGGAGGAGAGGGTGGATTGGGGGGAAGGAGAGAGCGAGGACGAGGAGGAGCAAGGCTTCTGGGACAATGAGCGCGAGAGAGAAGGAGAAGAGGGGTATAGGGATCCTGGAAGGATGGGAGGATCAGAAGGGGAGGAGAGGCAGGAATCGGGGGGCATTAGAGACGAAATGAGGAAGGAACGAGATGATAAGGACAGGGACATGGGCAGAGACAGAGACAGGGACAGAGACTTGCGCACTACGAGTAGAGCAGGAGGAGAGAGAGGTTCGAATCAGGATGGTTTGTCTTATGAGGCGCCTCAGAACTTGAATGGAGCAAGAGGAGCGATTGGGCAGGGTTATGTCAGTGCAAGCGGGAAAGAGGAGCAACAGGGGGCGGACTTTGAACAACCAGTTTTTACACCTGCAGATCGTGGGCAACTTACAACACAAGACCTGAAAAGAATCTCAGTTGAGAAGGACGAAGGAGAGGTGGTTGCTAGTGTGGCTCACGAACAGAAGTCTGCAGAGGGTGAGAGGAGGAGGAGCAGGAGTAGTAGCAGCAGCAGCAGCAGTGAGGAGTCGTCAGAGCTGTCTTTGTCTGCGTCTGATTTGAGTGATAGCGAGGCGAGTGAGGAGGGGGAGGAGACGTGGAGGAGGGGGAGGGCTATGGAGAGGCGGCGTGAGGGGAGAGGTGAAGGAAAAGGTGAGGGGGACGATAAGGGTGCTGGTGAATGGGGTAGTGGGACAGGAATGGGTGTACGACGAGGATCCAGAGGGGATTTGAAGGAGTTGGAGCGAGGGGAGAGAGAGGAGGGTGGACTAAGAGGGGACAGAGAGGGGGGAGAGAGGGGAGAGAGGGGAGAGAGGGGAGAGAGGAGGGAGAGGAAGGACGGAGCGGAGAGGCAAGGGAAGATAGAGAGGAGGGTGAGAGGGTTGGTGCAAGGGCGGGTGGGGGTATGGGCGTTAGGAGAGGATCGAGAGGGGATCTGAGGGAGAGAGAAGAAAGGGAGGCAGTAGAGGGAGGACGGAGAAAAGAGGTAGGGAGGATAGGGGAGGAAGAGGAGGGTGAAAGGGGTGGTTTGCGAGGGGAAGGCATGGGTGTGCGACGGGGGTCACGAGGAGATTTGCAGCGATTGGAACGGGAAGAGAAGGAGCAGCGTGAGGGGCAGGGGAGTGGAGGAAGGGAGGGAGGGAGGGAAAGGAAAGAAGTCCCCAGGGGGGACGGGGAGAAGGAGAGAGGAGAGAGGGAGAAGGTCAGGGAGAGGGAGCGGGAGAGGGAGAAGGAGAGGGAGAAGGAGACGGAGAGGGAGAAGGAGAAGGAGAGGGTAAGGCGGGGAGAGAAGGAGAGGGGGCATGAGAGGGGTAGAGAAAATGAGAGGAGGCGTGAAAAGGAAGGGGGAAGGGAGAGGGGGCATGAGAAGGAAAGAGAAAGGGAGGAGAGAGATGATAAGGGGGATGAGTCGAGGAGACGGGATAGGGAAAGGAGGGAGAAGGATGGAGGGAAAGGAGGGGAGAGGAAGGAGGATAGAGAGAAAGGTCACGAGAAGGAAAGAGAGCGCGAAGAAGAAAGGTTGAAGGAGGAGAAGAAGGAGAAAGAGAAGGAGAAGGAGAGAGAGGTGCCGAAGGGGGAGGGCAAAGATAGGAGGGATAGGGAGAGAGAAGGAAGGGGTCGTATTAGTGATAAGGAGAAGGCGTCAATGGTAGGAGGTGAGGAGGTAAGGCAGCATGGGGATGGGCGTGGGAAGGAGCGCGAGGGTAGGCACAAGGATGGGCAGAAGGATGGGCAGAAGGATGGGCAGAAGGACGGACACAAGGAAACAGATAGGCATGGCCGTGACAAGGCAGGAGGTCGGAAGAGGGAGAGAGAGGATGATGGAGAGGAAGAGAGGGAGAAAGGGAGGCATAAGGATGGGCATAGGGATAGTGGGCGGGATGGGCGTGAGGGGAAGAGAGAGGAGGAGAAGGGACGGAGGAGGAAGGAGGAGAAGGATAGGGATAGGGGAGATCAAGGAAAGAGGGAAGAGAAAGAGGAGGAGAGGAGGGTGAAAGAGGATCGAGGAAAGGAAGAGAAAGGGAGGGAAGAAGGGGCACGAGATGAGAGGGGGAGGAGGGGGATGAGTAGGGATGAGAGAGGAGGGGAAGAGAGAGGGAGGGAGGCGAAGAGGAGGGAGGGGAGAGTGAGAAGGGATGGTTCAGAGGAGGATTACGGTGGGCCAGCGGGGGTGGAAGGGAGGGGGCAGAGGGAGGGGAGTGGGGAGGGCAGGAGAGGAAGTGGCGACGGGAGAGGCAGTGGGATGGGAATACCATCATTCCGAAAGGGAGGAGAGCAGGAGAGGCGAGGAGAGGAGAGGCGAGAGGAGGAGAAGAAAGGGGAGGGCACTAGAGAGGAGGACGAGAGGAGAGACGAGGAAGCGGAGAGGAGAAGAGGAGGGGCGGGTGGGAGAGGTAGAAGCTTTTTGAGGGAGCAGGGAGAGGAAGCGAGGCCAGGTGAAGGGTGGGAAGAGGGGAGGGTTGATGAGGGGAGGAGCAGTGAGGGGTGGAAGGGTGATGGAGCAAGGAGGCCTGGGGAGGAGTGGAAAGGGGATGAGGGCCGGAGGTCTGGGGAGGAGTGGCAGCAAGGGGAAGGAATGAGGAGAGCTGGGGATGGTGGTATGATGGGGAGAGGGCGAGGCAGGGACTGGGGTGTGGGGAGGGGCGGGATGGGGAGGGGAATGGGGCGGGGGGGGATGGATGGGGAAATGGGAAGGGGAATGGGGAGGGGGGGTATGAACGACATGGGGAGGGGAATGGGGAGAGGCATGGGTAGGGATGGGGGTATGGGTAGAGGGGCGATGGGTATGGGTGGGGACATGGGGAGAGGCATGGGTAGGGGCATGGGGAGAGGTATGGGAAGAGGCATGGGGTATGATGGGGGGAAGGACGGGGGGGATGCGAGGGGTAAGGAAGAGAAGCCAGGAGCAGGGACAGGAGCAGGGACAGCAGCAGTTGCAGGAGCAGGGTTGTTGAGCAAGGGGAATAGAAGTGCGGTTGAGGAGGAGTTGGAGGCTAGGAAGAGAGAGAGGATGAGGTTGATTGCTGAGCTGGCGAGAAGAGAGAGGGAGGCGGGGGAGGGAGGGACGGAGTGGGAGGAGGGGGAAGAGGAGGATGGGGAGGGGGAGGGGGGAAAGAAGAGAGGGCGGAGGGAGGGAGGGGAAGGAGGGGAGGAGGGGGAGGAAGGGGGGGAAAGGAAGAGGGTGAGGGGAAGTGTGAAGAGGAGCAGATGGGGAGATGGAGAGGCGGGGGAGATAGAGGAGGGGATAGAAGGGAAGGGCGTGGGGGATGAAGGGAGAAGGGGGAGAGATGAGGGGGAAGAGGAGGAGATGAGTGGTGGAGAGAAAGAGGAGGGGTGGAGGGAGGAAGGTGAGATGGGGGATATGGCAGCAGGGCATGAGGAGGAGGAAGGGAGGAAGGAGGAGGAGGGAAGGGCGCGAACAGAGGGAGTGGGAGGGTCGAAATGGGGTAGTCGATGGTTGGATGAAGAGGAAGAGGAGCGAGCAGCAGCGGGAGCAGATGAGGTGGGTAGAGCGAGGGTTAATACCCCGGATGAGGAGGGTAGAATGAGGGATAGTACCCCGGATGAGGGTAGAACGGGGGATAATACCCCTGATGATAGGGGTGGAAGGAGAGACAGGGGGGTTGATACTAATATGGAGGAGGGGGAGGGGGAGGGAGATGTGGAGGGGAGGAGGAAGGAAAAGGGAGAAGGGAAGGAGCAGGAGGGAGGTAGGAGCAAGAGGAGGGGGAGGGAGGGTGGTGATAGTGAATTGGGTGGCAGTAGGGGGGGTGAGAGTATGAAGGAAGGGGAAGCTGGGGAAGGTATGGAAGGGAAGGCAGAGAGGGATGCTGAGGGTGAGGGTGAGGACGAGGGTGAGGGTGATGCGGATAGAGAAGGGGACAAGGAAGAAGCTGATAATGGAAGGAGAGACGGCAAGGACAGAGAAAGCACCAAGTCCCCTCTACCCCATGACCCATCGCCGTTAGCAGCAGCAGGTGAAGCAGCAGAAGCAGAGGCAGCACCAGTGAAAGCTATATTCGGTGGCTGTCGCAGTGTGGATTCCTTTGAACGGCTCGACGTGCTCGGGGAAGGGGTGTACGGTGTGGTCCATCGCGCCCGGGACAAAGAAACCGGGAAGATCTACGCTCTGAAACGGGTCAAGATGGAGAAAGAGCGAGAGGGTTTCCCTCTGACCTCCCTCCGGGAGATTAATATACTATTGTCTCTAGACCACCCGGCAATCGTGGGAGTGAAGGAGATGGTGGTTAATTCGTCCATGGATCGGGTTTTTATGGTAATGGAATATGTAGAGCATGATTTGAAGGTTCTTTTAGATGCGATGCCGAGGCCGTTCGGGCAGGCGGAGGTGAAGTGCTTAGTGAAGCAGCTGTTAGAGGGGATAAGCTACATGCACGCGAATTGGGTGCTGCATCGGGATTTGAAGACTTCGAATCTGCTGATGAACAACGCGGGGGGGATCAAGATATGCGACTTTGGCCTGGCAAGGCAGTATGGGGATCCGCTGCGGCCGTATACACAGCCTGTGGTTACCCTATGGTACAGGTGAGTGTTCTTTTTACAAGTGTTGGTGTGCTGCTGGTATGACGTGACTTTTGCCTGGCGAGGCAGTATGGGGATCTGCTGCAACCGTACACACAGCCTATGGTTACCCTATGGTAAAGGTGAGTGTTCGTTTCACTGTTCTACAATGCACTTTTCCAAAAGTATCTATGTCCCTCTGTCAGTAGGTACCCCTTCCCCAGCCCGTAGCTGGGCCAGAAGGAGTATTCCACAGCCATCGACGTCTGGTCCATGGGATGCATCACGGCTGAAATCATGACCCAGAAACCACTCTTCAAAGGCGAGTCCGAAATCGAGCAACTACAGAAGATCACCTTCCCCCTTCCACCCCATTCCCCTTTCTACTACCTCCAGAGCACTCAAGCTGCTGCTGGGCCAAAAAGAGTATTCCACAGCCATAAACGTCTGGTCCATGGGATGCATTGCATCCCCCCAACAGATTCACCCCCCTTCTGTTTCCCATCCTGTCCTCCCATTACTCTCTGTCCCTCTAGAGCGCCCGAGCTGCTGCTGGGCCAGAAGGAGTATTCCACAGCCATAGACGTGTGGTCCATGGGATGCATCATGGCTGAAATAATGACCAAGAAACCGCTCTTCAAAGGGGAGTCCGAAATTGAGCAACTGCAAAAGATTTTCTCTCTCCTCGGAACCCCCACCGACGACACCTGGCGAGGGTTTTCCGAGCTGCCCGCGTGCAAAAAGGGAGCCCGGTTTCCGTCCTTCACGGTGAATCGGTTAAGGGAGCTTTTCCCAGCGATTTCGATTGGTGGAAAGCCGACGCTGTCAGAGGCGGGGTTTGATCTGCTGTCGCGGATGCTCGCATGCGATCCTGGCCGTCGGATCAGTGCGGCTGATGCGGCGAATCACGCGTGGTTTAGGGAGGAGCCTCTGCCGAAGGCGCAGCAGGACATGCCGCAGTTTCCGATCTTGAACGAGAAAGAACGGTAAGCTATCGCTTCGCTTTCCATGCTTCAGATGGTATATTCTTCGACGTCGTAATCTTACATTGTAGTACCGTTTTTGTTCCGTCCCTCCTTTATTTCTCTTCCTCTCTTTGCAGCCGGCGTCGACGGTCTTTCCGTAGCCCTGACCCTCTGAAGGAGTTGCAGCGGCAGGAGAAGATGCGGGAAAAGGCGGGGCACACTGGCCTGTTTTCATGATTGAAAGAAAGAAGAGAAATTGGTTGCTGATATCTTGTTGAATGTGGTAGCTGTACACTGGAAACGGCACAAGAGAAGGCAAGGGACTGGCCATGAGATATTTTTGAAGGGTTCGAAGAATGCGTACTCATGTGCAACAGCAGGAGAGATAAGGGGAGGGTAGACCCAACAAATGATGCAGAGGAAAGGGCGGGGTAGACTCACCGATCCTGTAGTCATTTGTTGTCATTTGGTTTACTGAATTTCTGTGATTCCAGCATGTCCTTGTGAAAGTTGTGCAAGCTTTTGACAAGCAGTCACTAGTTTGATGTGTATGAAGCACCTATAGGACAGGCGTGCATGCATGAAACAGAGGGATCACGCAGCGAAAAAGCGCGTTCAGCAGGATTCGAACCTGCGAGGGCGGAGCCCAACAGATTTCAAGTCTGTCCCGTTAACCACTCCGGCATGAACGCACATGTTCCTGTTAAAAATTTAAATATACCAAGAAAAGCCTGTAGTCCTCTTGGTGTGCCTGGTTTTACTCTAGTGTACAGAAGCCGCCATGTTGAGTCGACGGTTAGGAGCGCTGTTCGCGCAGGCGAAGGAATCGACGGGCATCGTCGGCCTTGATGTTGTCCCCAACGCGCGTCAGGTGCTTATCGGCCTGTACAACCAAACCCTAAGCGCCGTTCAGGTGATTCCTCAGGAGGTTGTGTACAGACAGAACGTGGAGGCGCTGACGCGGCACCGGCTCGCGGTGTGCGAAGAGGAGCAGGATGCGGAGCGGATTGAGGCGCGCGTGCAATGCGGACAGGTGGAGGAGCTGATCGAGCAAGCTAAGGACGAGCTAGAACTGATTCCTAAAATGGCCGGTGCGTTTCTCGTCTGCTTAGCCAGTTTGATTTCCGTCGTCTTGAGCGGTGTTGGGTGGCAGGAGTTTATAGCAGGGACAAGAGCGAGTCGTTGCGTTATTGGTCTGTAGGTGCGCGATCGTCGCGAATCGGCGAACCAGGGGTCGCTAATCGGTGTGAGCTCGGTGTGTCGCGATCGTCCCATGGGGGTGACGGCGTGGGGTCAGGTAAGGGTTGCGATCGGGTTAGGGATTCTTCCGTCAGTTCGCGCGCAACGTCGCGCGTGCAACCTCGCATGAGATTGAGGCCTTTATGGGGTTGAGCATGCAACGTCGCGCGTTTTGCATGGTTCGCAACTCGCGTCTCCCCTCCCCTAGATGGTACTGTACTGCGCGCTCTCAGTATCATGTCCAAGCGTGGGACGTCTTTATTCTCTTCTACGTAGTGCGATAGTTCTGCGAGCTGTCACGGTCTCGTCATGCCCGGGACGTATCAGAAGTTTCCTAGCGGGTACAGTGAAACTGTATTTGCTGCTGTGGTCCTGCTCACGCTTGAAACATTTCAAAAGTTTTTGAGAGGGTAGCAACTCGTCGGCCTTGTAACTGTACAAAGCTGGGTTGACGACGGTAAGTAGGGTTTGTGAGTGAGGAGTAGGTGGATAGAGGGCTAAGTTGTGCCTTTATGTTCAGACTAGGGGATTGTGGCCTGTGGCCACAGCTTGTTCCTGTGATGGGTACTGTGCGGAAAAAATCAAAGCTTCAGGCTTTGGATCAGCTGATTCCATTTTACGAGTGTGATTGTGCTTGTGTGTACGTTTGTGTGTGTGCATGTGTGTGTGTGTGTGTGTGTGTGTGTGTTGGGGGATGGGGAGGGGGAGTGCGTGCGTTTGTGTGTATGTGCGTGCGTGTGATGGGGTGTGTGGGAGTGGCGTGCCTTGGCCACAACATTGGTGCTGTGTGTGTTTCTTCTCCCAACAAGCAGAGTGGAAGCCATGGGAGGTCCCAGAAGGCCACAAGATTGAAATTGAGGAAACTTTTGGAGATGTCCCTTCCCATGTTCCTGATCACAGAAGCTGAAGCTAAGACCCTTTTACATGTCATTTGTGGGATTGCAATCCATTTTGTGAACGTTACACACATCTTGTGAATCCATATTGCAATCAATCTTGTCTCCCGATACGGTCAAGTTGAAATTCGGTACTATAGCAAATTTGATATGTTCTGCTGAGTACGAACATTTAAAGTTGAGTGTTTAATTTATGAATCACTAACCCACACAACCGTCCCCAACGTATCCGAACCGAGGCTAATATCTCCGTTTTCGCCACCCCCGATTCACCGACCAATTGCTGACAAGCTCTGTCGAGCCAATCAACACGGCCCAGCTCCACCCCTCCAATTGTTCGGCAGGATCGATGCTAGATTTTTGTCGCTGGGAATTTTGAGATTGCTGCGGGAAGACCCTTGAAGTTGTCGAACGAATTTGGCGTGGCGAAAGACACGCCGCCACCCCAGATTTTGCATATAGGCCATAAGCGAAGTGGTTTGTGTTGGTAACCCCTTGTGACTGATCATTCCTCTGCTCATGCCTTCTCATGCAAACCATTTCCCCTACAGCAGAATTTGACCTCTGCTGCTCATTTTGGTCATTTTTGACGATGCCAAAAATGACCAACTCCAACTGCTCTCCGCCTGCCCAGCTTCGTGAGTTTGGAACTTCAAACAACCGTCCGCCACCCAGAGCCGATGGGTCCATCGAACTCATCTCCCTCTGGTCCTCGTCACACACGGTAAGTTGCTGCCTGCTGTTCATTCTCACGTGTCTTTGCTGTGGTTTCGACAGGTCGGATGCTCCATCGCCGCGGGAATTTTTGCACAACGCGTTTTGTACTGTGTCAACATCCCCACCGTCGGCAGCTTTCAATTGTTCACCCAAGGTAAGCAGTCAACAGCATGAATCAAGACAACCCTTGTGGCAGGTTATTCTCAAGAAATCTCCAGCGTGGCCTCATCGCAACGGTGCGTTTCACGGACAATGGAGCTTCACAGCGCCAGATCTACACAACCAGGCCATCGACCCTAGCTTCACTCAGGCGGGTCCCCAACTTCCGGCCTCCCACCACCATGCATGGGCTCGACGTCGTCACCGCAGTCAGGAACAAAGTCTCGTGGACTATTCCAGGCTGCGCAACCGTCACCAACAAGGCTCTCAACGTTGGCATGACGCAAAGAGGAAACATGCCTCTCGCCCCGCCATGGCTGCCTTACCTGCACAACACTGTGATGCCACGTGCTGGCGCCAGAGGCCTCCTTCTACGTCAGCCTTACCTCTCAGTCCGCGCGCCTCGCCCTCTGCCGGATGGGCCGTGCTCAAGTCTGACGTAAGACCTAGGCGGTTCGTCTGCATGCTCTATTACACAAGCCGCAGGAGCTTTCTGTGTTTCATGGCCAAAGTCTATGTTTCCGCACGACTGTTCTCCCTCGAGAGACAGCGAGACCCCTTCGGGGATCTTGATTGCTTGGACCTCAAGTCCAGCAAAATCACGCATCGCGCACTATGTGTCTTTCCAACCTCGGATCAGATTGATCGCGCCTCGTCGCGTTCGCGTGAGAAAGATCTCACCTATTTCTACCCCCTCCCGGTTCCCCTTTCCCTCGTCGCTCCCGTCATGGCCAATACTCAGGGCTTCGATGCAGTAATGGCCGACAACGGAGCTCACGTCCCCTCCGTGAGCGACCTCCTTCCGGACGAGGGCCAGTCGCCGCAGGCCAAAAAGATCTGCATGGGGGAAACCTCGTCATCTGCTCGACCTGCTCCAGTGCCCGTCATGGACCCGGCTGCCGACCCTGAAGCGGCTCCGGACCTCACCCTCAACGGATTGGAGTCCAGTGCGGCGCCCGCTCCGGTGCTGCACGGTCCTTGCCGTCGGCTGCGTCGCAACCGCGATGTCGTCGGTGAGGTTGTACATAACCTGGTACGCGACACGCACACGCTGGTCACCATACTCTTTCCTGATAACCTGGCTGAACAGCATCGCAGCAAAATCATCGCTCGTGTTCGCGCTGGCTTGCGTCCCGCCTTCTTTACACACTCTAACCATGTGCCAACGTTTGAATCCGCGCCGGGAGAAGTGCTCCGCCTGTCCCGCCGCTCGTACGCACGCCACGTGTTCCAACTCCCCACCAGGGATGACGCCAGGGGCTTTCGCAAGGCGTTCCCTATGACCTACCACTACAACGGGGGTGCCGTGGAGCTGACTTCACCGCGGCAAAGGCCCGTGGAGACACCCACCTCGTGATCCGGAACGCCCCCTTCGGCTACTCAGTGAGCGGGGTCCGCCAGCTCCTCACAACGAGCCGCACGCCGGAGGAGCGGAAATGGCTTTTCGACATCCGGGCTTTTCACAAGGCCTATGATCCGTATGAAGAAAGTTCGCAGCCGCAGATGATGGGGCTGCCCATTGCGGAGACCGACGATCCGTTCTTCGATAACATCCCTGCCGTGCTGTGGCTCGAGGACGCCACGCTTCCCATGATCATCAATTTGTCATGCCATGCGTGTGACATCTGCACGAGTAATCACAGGACGCGTGATCACCAGTGGTTCGCTGCTACCCGCAGCAGACGCCTCGCCAACCGATTCACGATCACGGTAGCTCAGCTCCAAAGTGTCAACGGTACGACCTTGGTTTTTCGTGCCTTATGCTGTGTTCGTCACATGCCACTTTCCCTCCCTCACCGTGCCCCTGCCACCTGTATCTCGTGTTATGCCACCCCTCACTCGCTGTTTTTCCTGGGCCGCAGCTCTTGTCACTGCCTTTATGGTGTCTCATCGGTCTTAACGCCGTCTGGAGAGAACCCCCTCGCTTTCACCCATCTCTCTGTCCACCCTCTCCTCTGCTACCCTTGTCACGCTCTCAGCCAAGCTGCTTGGGCAGACCCCTGTCCCGCTGGCAGTCAAAGCAGACCCGGGTGTCCTGTACATCGGATCAGAGGACGACGTGGAGCTCTGGACTTGCGCCATATGCGACTTCGAATGTGGGCCTGCGATCGACAGCGCCTTCGAGCACATCCGCTCGCCCGGGCATGGGCTGCGCCTCATGCAGACGGAAACCGAGCCGACTGCGCTGGAAACCTTGGGGCCCATGAAGGTGCACGACCTCCGCCAGCGCCAGGAGATTGCATCTTTCTTAGCATCACTGCTGTGATATGCCGCACCTGGACCAGACTAAGAATCTGTCTTGTTTGTTTCCTTGCTGTATGCCGTCTAGGCCCGGCGCAGGCCTTGGTAGTTTACTGTGACACTGCCGTGTGCTGGTTGTGTACCACTCTGGAATCATTTCATTTCTCTGAAAGAATCAGTTTGCTTGCTCTTAACCAACTCTGTGCTTACTACCGCGGCTATGAACCATCTCTGGAAAGCATCAGGATAATAGGCCCTTGGCAACTTCTGGATTACCCGACCCTTGACCTTAACAGGTCATGGTGCGCTAAACGGGGCTACATAGCCCTAGTCAGTAAAAGCACTAACACAACACCCCCGTGGATGTGTGCATCTCTATGCACAGGGGGTCCCTGTGGGCACCAATGTTAGTCCCCATCAACATATCCTGTCTTAATGTTAACTGTCTTAACTCCCTGCAGAAAATGGATGAACTTAAAGCCTCCTTTATCCAAATGCCAGATATACTTGTCCTGATAGATACACGGCTAACCAGAAATTTCTCCAAGCTCATTCACAAATTCCGACCTAAAGCTTACGCTCAAACCCCGCCCACCGTCAGTAATGGCACAGCAGACGCTGGTGGTATCGCAGTACTTATTTTCAACCAAGCAATCTCTATCTTAGACCGCTCCTCCTCCGATGACGGTTATCTTTTGATGGTACATATCCGGGTGCTGCAGGAGCAATTCAGATGTTTCTGCGTGTACGGACCTCCCTATCAACCAGAGAGACGCCTTTGGTGGGATGCAAAGCTTGACGCCGCACTTGATAGTGCATCTGCCACGCAGGCAACAATGGTTATGGGAGATTTCAACGTTGTCACCACTTCAAGGGATCGTAACAGAGAACTACGCACCACCGAAGTAAGAGAAGGCGCACTCCTCTCCTCAGTCATGGATAAACACGGGCTTGCTGATGCATTCCGTAGCCGTCACCCCGATGCTATCGAGTTTACCTATGAGTCTCCTTTTCTCAACGGCAACCCCACAGACCCACCCAAGTCTCGGCTGGACAGAATTTACCTTTCCAACCCGTGGCTCTCACGGATACTGGCCTTTGCACACCAACCTGTTGCGCAGACTGTCTCAGATCATTCACGCTATCCAGAGCTGCTGCTAGGTCTCAACAATACCCACTGTGCCCCCCGTGCCTGGAGGCTACCACACTCCCTAATCCACCACCCTTTCGTGCATAAACTTACGACCGAAGCATGTCAACAACTGCCCACTCCACTCGGACCTGAAATGTGGGACCCGTGGAAGAAGCGGCTCTGCTACTTCCTTCGTCAACACTCTCGAGAGGAACGGCTGCGAGTTAAACACACGCTCACTCACCTTCAAAATGAAATCTGCTGTTTGCAACTTATCCTGGCACGCTCGCCGCGAGACACGGAATCCCGTGCTAGGTTGGATAAAACCTCCAAACAGTTTGACGAATACATTGTAGGAAAAGCTGCCGACATCGCCTTAAAAGCCAAGCTTAAAGTGGAGGGTGCCAAAGAAATGGGACTACCCTCTCTGCTCGTCGGCCTCACCTCTCGCCTCAAGGCGGCTACCATCCCTCACCTCACCCTTCCCTCAGGAGACAAAATACAGGACCTGCCCACTATGTCCGCCTACTGCACAAGCTTCTACACAGCCTTATACAGCGGCCAACATCAACCCTCCCCCTCTCCAGACTTCTGGACACACATATACCCATCCGCCTTACCGCAACCCCTGATAGCGCGACTGGCGGCCCCCATCTCCCTCCTTGAAGTTCAACGCGCCATCAAAACTCTGGCGAGGGGAAAAACTCCTGGGCAAGACGGCCTGGCAGGCGACTACTTCCGAACTTACTCGAACCAGTTCGCTCCCGCGCTCCAACGACTTTTCACTGCCATCGAAAGCTCCCAGCAGATGCCTGCATCAATGCTCCATGGGCAAACCATTCTCATCCCCAAACGTACTGACGCCGCCTTCGTGGAGAATCTAAGACCGATTACGCTAATGAATTCGGACTACAAAGTGCTGGCGCTTTGCCTGGCACAACGTTTGCAACTCATTCTCCGCCGGATCATACATCCTGCACAGTCAGCTTTCATAAAAGGCCGCCGCATTGGGGACACCATCAATGACTCTTTAGATCTCCTGGAGTGGGCAGAAAGAAAAAACCTTCCCCTCATACTAGTCACGGTTGATATCAAGAAAGCATACGATATGGTCGACCGCGATTTCCTCTACACGTGTCTCTCACACCTCGGGCTCCCACCAGAATTTGTCACATGGGTTCGTCTGCTTCACTCAGGAACTAGCACACAAGTGCTCGTGAATAACCTGCCCGGTCCCTCCTTCCCTGTACGTACCGGTGTTCGGCAAGGCTGCCCACTGGCACCCCTGCTCTTTATCTGTGTCATTGAGGTTCTCCACCGCCACCTCTCCGTCTCCCTCCCTGGCTCTGCCTTATCCCCTACGCAACGTCGGCTAGCTGCTTGTTATGCCGACGACATGTCTCTCTTCCTCAATTCAGGCGCTGAACTGCAGTTAGCTATTAGCCTGCTCCAATCCTTTGCAGATATCTCGGCCGAACACCCCAATCGGTCTAAATGCTCATTATCCCTTTTCCACGTTCCGGCCAGCGACATTGCCCTCACATGTCCCATACCTGTACGACACCCGAACGAAGCCGAGCACATTTTGGGCATATACATCCAATCGGACGCACCTGGAGCGACCACATGGGAGAAAATTACCTGCAGAATCCGCATAACGGCGGCTTTCTTTGCCAAACTACACGCCACCGTCACCTGCCGATCTGCCTTAAACACCGAGCGCCTGGTTCCCCTTTTCGGCTTTGGAGGTCGCTTTCAGCCCCCCCCTGAAGGTGTCACCAAACAACTAGACCTCATCGTTGGAAACCTCCTGTCCACTTCCAAGTATCGTGCCCATGGCAGAGGAACCAGGCTTGTTCCGAAGAAATACCTTTACAACAAGCGTTGCCACGGCGGTGTCGGAGCCATTGAACCCTCCAAGCATATACAAGCGCTGAACGTGCAACGCGCTGCCCGTCGTTTTCTTCCCACCCCAACAGAGGAAATCGCCAGAACATGCTGCACCTTACCATATGGGCTGCACTGCTTCCTCGCCCACAAGGATATCCTCAAATACCTGCCTGATACAACGCCGGCACGTGCAGCCGCGGAACTCGCCGCCACTTTGGCGCTCCCCACGGCTGTCCACCCGCCCAGACTTGAACCGTGGGTGCTCATGGCAGAACCGCTCGCCTTCAACCGGGAAATACGGCGAACACATGGCCGTCCCTTCGGTCGACTCAAAGGAGAAAAGTTCCTCCTCGCCAAGGAGCTACGACTCGGTGACATTCTGGCTCCCGGGTCCGCAGGCTCCCGCAAGCTCGAAGACGAGGAAATCAAGGCCAAGTTCCCCTCGGAAGAGTACCCCGGCGCCTTACGAGTCATCAAGGACATATACCATGCCGTTCCCAACACCTGGTGGCCGATACTCACCACCTACTCACCCCCCCCCGGAGTACCTGGCGATTGGGGAATGGGCTATAATGGCTTCCCCCGGTCTCGGAGCGGCGCAACAGGTACTAAAGGTGCAGGCGGTCTTCCCCAACCGGACGGCGAGGTTCAGCTGCTTCAACGTTACAGACCTACGAATAGCGGATCAAGAGACAGAGTCGCGGATCCTCCCACTCACCGCGGTCATCCCAGTCTTCGTGCGCAACGGCTGGCTGGCAGGAACTTTCTGCTCGGGCGCTGGACTCGGCAGTAGGCTTGAGTTTCTGCAACACTGCTCGTCCCTGGCCGCCATCCGGAAATTGATCTACACCAGGCAACCGCTACCTCACATAGAACAATGGAACGAGCTGCTCCCGGAACCTCTGGATACCCTCCCCATCCTGACGCAGCCCTTCCTCTCCGAACAACCCAGCAGGCAACGTGACGTGCTGTACCGCCTATACATCCGCTCCTTACCGTGCGGCACACGTGTCCCTTTCACTCCTCTCGGACGGAACTGCGTACGTTGCAATAACGGGACGCCGGAGTCGCTCACGCACATCTTTTAGGACTGTGGCAACGCGCCAGCGATCACCTCGGCGCTCCAACGCACTGTGCGAGACCACTTAGGCATCAACGTCCCGACTGAAATGATCCTATTTCCGCTTTCTACACCGGCTGGCCGTGTAGCGCCATGGAGCCTCCTCGCGGGAGCAGCAGCAAAAGTGCTGTGGAATGAGCGCTGCGATGCCGTCCACAATCAAGTCCAGACCTCTACGGTGCAGTCCCTGCACACGGTTCTCGCAGTTTTCCTACTCGCGTGCAAAATCTTCTTCATCCGTCGAGCTAAAGCATCCATCAAGAAACAGAAACGGAGCGCCTCTAGAGTCAGGTTCGGCATTAGGAGGAGACTACTCCACTTCGACGCGGCTGGTATCCCCTCTCTCCATCCGGAGCTGAAAACGACGTGGCTGCGAAGGGAAAACTTCCATCCCCCATAAAAGCTCTCGTGGCATTTAAACAAGTGTGGGTCAAGTGTAGCTTGGGCGACATTTGCTTGCTAGGCAAGGCAAGACAGCGCCGTCAGGCGAAGACCTTTTAGGTTTTGAGGTTTCTCATTCTTGCTCTCGACACTGTATATGTGGGTTACGACCTATTAATAAAACTTTAAACTTAAAACTTAAAAAACCCCTACAGCAGAATTTGAGAAAGCCTGAAACCTGCCATTCTTTGTCCTAGCTGCAATGGTGGGTTGTGAAGGAGTGTGACTGACTTCCGCTTGCAACGATCTTCTAATCCTCAAAGGAGGCCTGAGTAGGTCTCGTGTTGGAGACTTGAGGAACGAATCTCAAAGCATTCATTCTTCTGTCTGCGACCATACATGTACCTCTCATTCCAGGAAAATTCGTCGTGTAGTCAGTTCTCCTGCCTCACACGCTGACTCTACAAGTCATCATAAGCTTCATAAGCTTCTATCGCAAAGTCGGAAAGTCTAGCTTTATATTCAACTGTTCGAGGCCTCAAGGAAAAGGCGGCGTCGCGTTCAGCGCGAGTGGTTTCCGGCGTAGTATCCGGCATTATACCCGGCGACGCGTTCGTCATGAATGCTCAGGCGAGCATCGTCAGGCCGCCTGCGAGCACTTTCGCCGTGGCGCCACCTGGCAGCCTGGGATTCGTCAGGAGCGTGTTGTCGTCGGACAGGGGTACTATCAGAAGGCGTGTTTTCGTCAAGGAGCTGACTCCAAGTTTCCAGGTAGGAAAGGATGGATGATTCGCCTTTGCTGGCAGATGATGAATCTGATGCGATTACCATAGCCATCATGATCGCCGTCGCCATCAATATTGTCGTTTCTCCGTCGTTCTCACGATCTTTAAGTCGGCAACAGTCTACTTGCTAGTCACTGATCGGCTACCTTCCAGGACACGCGTAGCTTGAGATCGGATCGATGGTCTCGAACCACCTCAAATGGCATTGTCGTATTCATTGCCAATGTCATTGGCATTATAATTCCTTAGCATGATAACATCACATTTCACGCATACCGTTCCCGTTTCTGATCCACGTGTACACGTCATCCCTTTCAGGGCATGCGCGCCTCGAGATCAGATTCCACCTCTATCCCCCCAGCTTCGCCTCCTTGGTCATCCTGGCGACGGTCCTCCGTTATAACAACACTTGCTTCTAGCACACCCGTTCCTGTGTCACAAGTGAAGGTCGGAACCGGCTCGCCTTCCCCTCTGGGGCCGTCTCTAGTGGAGAAGCGCGCCAAGCCAGAAGGCTACAGCAGGCTGCCTGCCCGAGGAACCGTCAACTTTGCTCTTTTCTCCAAGCATGCTACAGCCGTGACCCTCTGCCTGTGAGTCTCCAGTCACGCTACAGCCGTGAACCTCTACCTGTAGGCCATGTCAGTCTTCACTCCCAAGGTTGCGCCATTTCCGCTATCACCTTGTCTCAACGCTCACGGTCCCAGCATATATCTGTAAGTCCGAAACAAATGAATCCTTGTAACTATCATTTCAACCTCGGTCTTTCCCTCCCTCACTGTCCTCATTCGTTCCCCTCACTTCCATCCCTGCAGATTCCTGTCTGGCAAGCAGGGCTCGCCTCCTGACCTCGAGATTGCCCTGGATCCCAACAGCCAACGAACGGGCGACATCTGGCATGCTTCTGTGGAGGTGAGCAGGCTGATGGGGTGAATGGCTGCATTCCCTCGTTCATGCCACCTTATTTCAGAACAGTCTAGGCGTAGCCCTCAACTATGTTTGACCCTGTTTCAGGTGCCACCGTGCCAGCATTCAACCACTCTTTTCTTTTTTCCCCTTCCGCCTTCCTCGTCTCCCCAGAACGTGCCTCTATGTGGCATGCTGTATGCTTACAAGGTGGACGGCCCCAAGGGGTGGGCGAGGGCCTCCAGTGGTGGATAGGAGATGGCGGTTTTTTAGTCAGGTGTCTTGAACCCTTTCTCCCCTTTCCGCCTCGTCTCCCCAGAACGTGCCTCTGAGCGGCATGCTGTATGCTTACAAGGTGGACGGTCCCAAGGGGTGGGGCGAGGGCCACAGATTCGACCCCTCCCTGTTGCTGCTGGACCCCTACGCACCCCTCGTGGATGGGAGGAGATTTGGGGATTCAGGTGTCACTGTTGAACCTTTCTCCCTCCGTTTCCCCCTTCCACACTTCTCCTTTCTCCCCAGAACGTGCCTCTATGCGGCATGCTGTATGCTTACAAGGTGGACGGCCCCAAGGGGTGGGGCGAGGGCCACCGATTCGACCCCTCCCTGCTGCTGCTAGATCCCTACGCACCTCTGGTGGATGGGAGGAGGAAGTTTGGGGATGAGAGCCAACGGATGGCTCAGATGTACGGCACGTTTGACTTTGAATCCGAGCTGTTCGATTGGGGAGAAGCAGAAGCCAAGAGAAAGCCAATTCCCGAGGTAAGGAAAAAAGGGGTTCGGGGATAGGGTTTCGGGGTTAAGGTTTCGGCTTCCAGGTTTAGTCTGTCCCATTATCTGCCCTGCAGCGACGTTTGAGTCGACTCACAGGTCACCTCTTCTCCAGGTCGAGTTTGTGCCTGTGTCTGCAATGCAGTACGTGGGTGAGTTGGGGGTTGAGGAGCGAAAGAGAGGTGCTCTCTGTATTGGAGAAAAAAGCTTGTAAAAATCGCTGGGGATAGTGGGGGAATGAGTGAGATGGAGGGAAGAGGGAAAGCTAGTGGCCTTCTGAAGATTGTGTTCCTGCTGAGTTATAGTGACTGTTGCCTCTATTCCTACTCTCTGTTTTTTTCTCGTGTGCTCCTGTCTGTGTGACTACAGAAAGACGTGATTATATACGAGATGAACGTGCGGGCGTACACTGCAGATCCCTCCAGCGGGGCTGAGGAGGGGAGACGAGGAAGCTACTCAGCTGTCGCGGATAAGGTAGGGTGTGCAAGTCTAGGTGGAGGTATTTCAATTTTTGTTTCTGTAAGTGATGGTAAGCGTCAGTGAGATGTGCTGGTGGATGCTGTTGTGTCGCTTCCCATGTGAACGCGTTTATGACATGACTGCATGTGCAACCGTGTGTGTGTGATCCCATGACCCACACTGTTATTGTGTTACCCCATGGCATGCCTGCAGGTGCAGCACCTGGTGCAGCTGGGGGTGAACGCGGTGGAGCTGCTGCCCATCTTTGAGTATGACGAGATGGAGTTTCAGAGGCGGCCCAATCCGCGTGATCATATGGTGGGTTTCAGTGGCCTGAAATCAGTAGAGCTGGGGTTTAATAAAGTGAAGGAACTGGGGGTGAATGCGATGGTGCTGCTGCCCATCTTCGAGTACGATGAGATGGAGTTCCAGAGGCGTCCCAACCCCCGCGACCACATGGTGAGTTGCTTGAAGCCCTTATAACATGCAAAGCTGGCATGGAAGGCAGTGGAGAAGGTTTGACTGGGAATGAAGGCAGCTGGGGTTGAACACAGCGGAGCTGCTGTCCATCTTTGAGTACGACGAGATGGAGTTCCAGAGGCGCCCCAACCCCCGCAACCACATGGTACAATTTCTGAGTTGCCTAGTTATAAGTATAGCTGGGAGTGAATGTGGGAAAGTGAAGGCAGCTGGGAGCGAACGGAGGAGGAGCTGCTGCCCATCTTTGAGTGTGAATACCACAAAAAACCACCTTCAACCGCACTTTATTCCCTCCTGCCACATTCCCACACCACCAACAGGTGAACACGTGGGGGTACTCCACTGTCAACTTCTTCGCCCCTATGTCCCGCTTCGCCTCCAATGCTGGTGGCCCCGTGGCTGCAGCACGTGAGGTGAAGGAGATGGTGAAGCAGCTGCATGCGGCGGGGGTGGAGGTGATACTGGATGTGGTTTACAACCACACCAACGAGGCTGACGATACCTTCCCCTATACGACCTCCTTCCGAGGGATTGACAACAAGGTGGGCAGTTGAACAAGGTAGGCAGTAGAAGAAGAAGCGGGAGGTGGTGAAGCGGCTGCATGCGGCGGGGGTGGAGGTGATACTGGATGTGGTCTACAACCACACCAACGAGGCTGACGACACCTTTCCATACACCACCTCGTTTCGCGGCATCGACAACAAGGTTTGAGCCTCTGAAGATGCTTCCTTCCTTCTAAGTGGCCCTGCGGTGAAGGGCATGGTAAGATAGCTGCATGCAGCGGGGGTTTAGTGCCATTGTAACGAGGTGACTTTTGAGTCGACTCAAAAGTCACCTTGTTACAATTGCACAGGGCACGGTAAGAAAGCTGCATGCAGCGAGGGTGAAGCGGGTGCAAGCGGCGGGGGCTGAGGTGATACTGGATGTGGTCTACAACCACACCAACGAGGCTGACGATACCTTTCCATACACCATCTCGTTTCGAGGGATTGACAACAAGGTGGGGACAGGGAACAAGGTGGGAAGCAGAAGCACAGAGGGGAAGGGTGACACATAATGCATTTATTGACTCGAGCCGACTTTTGACGAGTGGACTCCAAACTCACGCCGAGAACTATGCTGGATGCAAAAACAGAAAGAGGGCTGAATCTCCTTCCAATTCCTTGGCTGCTACCTGTCCATTCTTCCTCACCCATTGCCCTCCCACCCCCCGTCCTCACACCCTCTCCCCACACCTCTTTCCCGCCCCACTCCCAGACGTACTACATTGTCCAGCCCAACAACTATGTGCAACTGGCGAATTACGCTGGGTGTGGTAACACACTCAACTGTAACCACCCGGTGGTGATGCAGATGATCCTGGATAGCCTCCGGCACTGGGTGCAGGTGAGGGGGGGGAGGAGGAGAGATTGGGAAATCGGGGGCAGGGGAGAGGGAGAGAGAGAGAGAGGGGGGGAGAGGGATAGAAGGAGAGGAGGGCGGAGGGGGCGATGGGGCATAGCGGGTGGGATGGGGTGTGAGATGGAGACGAGGATCAGAGGAGTAAGGAAGCAAGGGCGGGAGAGGAGGGGAGTGGGAAAGAGAGGGTACAACGGGTGGGATGTAAATTGAGAGGAAGAAAGATTCCACGAGCCTTGCCCAACTCCGCTCACCCCTGCTCGCCCTTGCTTAACCCTGCTCACCTCAGCTCCCTTTTTTTCCCCTTCTTCCTCCTTCCCCCTTCAGGAGTACCACGTGGATGGCTTCCGATTCGACCTCACTAGTGTCCTATGCTGAGGGACTAATGAGGAGCCCCTCAAAGCACCTCCCTATCCCTAGTCACCCCTTCTCACCCCTGCTTACCCCGTTCTTCTCCTCCCCTACTCTCCCCTTTCTCTTCAAAAGTACCACGTGGATGGCTTCCGCTTTGACCTTGCTAGTGTCCTGTGCCTCAAACCACTCCTTCTCACCACTGCGCACCCCTGCTAACCACTGCTCACCACTGCTCACCACTGCTCACCACTGCTCACCACTGCTCACCACCGCTCACCGCTGTTCCCTTCCCGCAGGAGTACCACGTGGATGGATTCCGATTCGACCTCGCCAGTGTCCTGTGCCGGGGGACCGACGGGGAGCCCCTTAAAGCGCCTCCTCTCATTCGGGTGAGTGATTCGGGGGATTAGAATGAGTCGTTGGAGAGTGGTTGGGGTAAGTGGTAAGTGCAAGCTGATTGCGGAGCCATGGGACTGGTGCTTGCTCCCTGTAAAGTGACTCCCACTTTTTGCCCGACCTTGTGTCCTCTCCGCTCTTCTCTCCCACCAGGCCATCGCCAAGGACGAGGTGCTATCTAAGTGCAAGCTGATCGCGGAGCCCTGGGACTGTGGGGGACTCTACCAAGTGGGGAGCTTTCCTAACTGGGACAGGTAGGGCCTGGGTAGGACAGCTAACTCCCATGTGCGAGGTATTACGGAGCCCTGGGACTGTGGGGGACTTTACCAAGTGGGCAGCTTTCCTAACTGCGGCAGGTAACGCCTTCCCCAGGTAGGACAAATACCGCCTTCCCAGGTAGGGCTGGTAACGCCTTCCGCAGATAGGACAAATACCGCCTTCCCAGGTAGGGCTGGTAACGCCTTCCGCAGATAGGACACGTAACTCCTCCCCCAACTGGGACAGCTAACGCCTTCCCTGGGCGCCATGCTGCTGTCATTGATTGCCTGTTATGGATGGTAACACTCCTCTTTTTTCACCCATGCCATGCTGCCATCGCCCCGCCCCCATGCCGTGCCATGCCATGCTGCCACCACCATCGTCCCAGGTGGGCGATTGAGTGGAACGGCAAGTACCGAGATGACGTGCGCAAGTTCATCAAGGGCGATGAGGGCATGAAAGGGGCTCTTGAGCTGCCACTGATTGCATCCCATGCTGCCATCGCCCCACCCCCCTGCCACTACCCCGCTGCACCCCCATTCCAGGTGGGCGGAGTGGAACGGCAAGTATCGGGACGACGTGCGCAAGTTCATCAAGGGCGATGAGGGCATGAAAGGGCCCTTTGCCACTCGACTGGCTGGATCTGCTGACATGTACCATGTGAGTTGACATGTACCATGTGAGATGACATTTACCTTATGAGATGGAATGTACCATGTGAGATGACATGTACCATGTGAGATGACATGTATCATGTGAGATGACATGTATCATGTGAGATGACATGTACCATGTGAGATGACATGTACCATGTGAGATGACATGTTCCATGTGAGGTCACATATATAGCCATGTCAGAAGTCATATGAGATGTACTGCGTGACAAGCACTGTCATCGTGATGAAAGATGAGAATTCACCTTGTTGAATAATGTTCATGCCACCATCATCTCCCGCCGATATTCCCCCCTTTTTTTTGGCCTAACCACCTACACAGGTCAATCAGCGCAAGCCCTATCACAGCATCAAATCTGTCATCGCTCACTTGTCCGAATGGCCTCAACTATCCTCTCCCTCTTCTCTCCCTCGCTTCCTGTCCGCCCATCCACATGCACAGGTCAACCAGCGCAAGCCCTATCACAGCATCAACTTTGTCATCGCTCACGACGGCTTCACACTCAGAGACCTCGTGTCTTACAACTTCAAGGTAAAAAACATAATGAAATGTAGGAAATAGCAGCAATATTCGTCTGATTTCATCCCCTCTCTTCACTCCCCTCCCCTTCCCCCCAGCCTTACTCACCTCCCCTTAAACCCCCTGTTCTCAATAATATTTTCTGCCGGTTCCCTTCCTTCCTCTCCCTTTCCTGTTTTCATGCTCATACTTTCTGCCTTTTCCCTTCCTTCTCCTTCCCTTTCCTGTTTAAAGATGACTCAAAGCTCTCCAATCTCATCCTCTCTGCTTCTTTCCTCTCCTTGCTCCCTCTCCCCGCTCGCTCTCCTTCCTTCCGTCCTCCGTTTTCCCCGAGCCGTTTCCCTCCTTCCCTGCCCTCTTCCCTCTTTCCCACCCCTCTCCCTCCGGCCGCGGACCCCTTTGCCTCTCCCTCCCCGGCAGCACAACGAGGCGAATGGGGAGGAAGGGAGGGATGGCAGCAACGACAACTTCAGCTGGAATTGTGGCGTGGAAGGTGGGGAGGAGCTGGGGAAAGGGGGAGGGTGGGGGATTGGGGAGGTGGTGAGGCGGTGGGGGGTGAAGTTGGAGAACTACTGGGTGGAAGGTGGGGAAGTGCATTGAAATTGGTGTTTCACTTCGCCCTTCTGCATTGATCTGCCAAGGGTATTAATCTCTGCGCTGAACTCCCTGTATCACCCTTGCCAACTCATAACCCACTCCTTGGTGTCTGGCACCCTCTGCACCCAACTTGTCATGTCTCCTTCCACAACCCTCCAGGTCCCACGCAGGATGAGGGCATCATTGCGTTGAGAAACCGGCAAATGAGGAACTTCCACATCGCGCTCATGGTCTCCCAGGTGGGTGGGTGCATGTGACGTTGATGGTTTGTCAGGTGGGTGGGAGCAGGTGGGTACGACTCAACGTTTCATGCTCATGGCCATTGTTGCGTTGAGAAACCGGCAGATGAGGAACTTCCACATCGCGCTCATGGTCTCTCAGGTGGGTGCATGGGGCCATGCACACGCATGTCATAGGTGGGTGCATGGGGCCACGCACACGCATGTCATAGGTGGGTGCATGGGGCCACGCACACGCATGTCATAGGTGGGTGCATGTGGGTACGGCTTAACATCTCACTAGCCCATGGCCCTGTCATGCATAGGCTGTGTACGGCATGATATGACACCCGTAAAGTGCCCTGTCCCTGCACCATATGCTTTATCACAATATGACATCCCCTGTGTGCCACGACCTGACCACGTGCACACATGGCGCTGGCCCGCAGGGCACTCCCATGATGCTGATTGGGGATAAGTACGGGCACATATCAATGGGCATATGATACATGTACGGTGCATTGTGCCCTGATCCCTGCGCACCCGTATCACATGCACACTTGCATGCATGTCACAGGGGACCCCCATGATGCTGATGGGGGATGAGTACGGCCACACGCGCAACGGCAACAACAACAGCTACGGGCATGACACCGCACTCAACCACTTCCTCTGGAACCAGGTGAATAAACTAAGGGATCGGACTTGTTGGCATTGAATGGCTGCACGGCTTTGTGACCAAACAGCTTTTGGCACAATGGAAACTTAGATTACGCCACGGCACCTAGTGACTATCCGGCTATGATGACCTGCCTCATTCAACAGCCATGGCCATGACACTGCGCTTAGCCACTGTCTCGGGAGTCTGCTACTTATCGTTTCTGTGATAGTTAACCACTTGCTGTAAAATCAGCTCATTCTGTGTCCCCCTGTTGCTGACTCCATCTGCTCTCCCCTGCTCTCTCCATCCAATTCCCTGTCTCCTCTCACCCAGTTGGACCAGGCCCAATCCAATCCTGGTCTCTCTTCCGCTTCACAGCAGCAGTCAACCGCTTCCGCTCCTGGAGCCATTTTTTACGCCCTCCCTGTATCCATCCATTTCCCTGTCTCCTCTCACCCAGTTGGACCAGGCCCGCTCGACTCTCTTCCGCTTCACAGCAGCAGTCAACCGCCTTCGCTCCTGGCACCCAGCCCTTGGCCAAGCCAATTTCCTCTCGCCCGTAAGCTCTCAAACTCCTCCTAGTTGCACGGTTCCAGGATTCAGATCGAGTATACTGTTCTACTTATGGCTGACTGGCGATCTTTGTACCCTCGTTTTTCTACAAGCATGTTTACTTCATGATTTTCTAGTCGACTCAGGCATCTGGTGTGTGCATGGGTTGTGTGGCATGTTCTCAGCGGGACATTACATGGCATGAATACAACTGGGATAACTACGAGAGTAGATTCCTTGCCTTCAGGTGAGTCAACCCTCACGACTTGCCACACATGACTGAGAGTACTGTGTGTAACGTTTTCGTTTGTCCGAGGAACTTGCTAAATGCCCCTTGTCTTTTTTCGCGATTGGATGCGTGTTGGGTCATATTCTGCAGCCTGCATGACGTCTCTGGGACGTGTGGTGACCTGTACGTGGCCTTCAATGCTCATTCCTTCGCTGTGGATGCTGGCCTGCCTCCCCCACCTGCCGGCCGTCAATGGGTCCGAGTGGTGAGTGCATCCCAGCTCATTTCTACAGTATTGCCCCATCAATACTTTCCACTTGGTTTGCAACCTCCAAGCTGTTATCTCGATCCGTCTCACAGTTATGCATAGAACATGATGCTTGTATTTGTGTCTCTTGCTTTTCGGTGTCGGGAACAGGCGGACACCAACTTGCCATCTCCACGGGACATTGTGGATGATCTGGACACAATTGCAACCAATGGGCGCGTTATCAGCGGCACCTACAATGTTGCGCCACACTCCTCCCTTATCCTGCTAGCTGTCAAGGCATGATAGTATAGTCCATGATGAATGTTCAAAACTTTAGGACAACTCGTGTTGATGAGGCCTGTTACTGAAGCCTAGTGTAAAGCGAACCAGAGTGGAGCCGAGAAATCAACGGCAACGATTGGGCGAGCCTTTCCGCGCGATTGAAAGACTCGAGCAGAACCGTTCATCTCACCCTCTCGCTGGCGGCCGCCGCGCCCCAGGTGTTCCAGAAGCACCCGTGGGATTCGCCACACCTCCCAATTTGCAGGAAAAAAGCGCGCGAAAAGTTCGTCCAACCCCGAGGCCCTGAACACTCTGGTGACTGGCCTGGGGAACGCTGATGAGGCTCAAATGCTGCTGATGAGGCTCATCAGCCACAAGTGCATAAGGTGTGAAGGTAGAGGACCACTAGGTAGAGTATTAGCGCCTCGACTGGTCTACTGGTCGCAAGGTATGAAGGAGGTATGATCTAGGTTTACGGATCGGCCTCTTGGCAAACTCGCGCCAATCCAGGCCAGCAGGCTGCGCACTACATTATCGAAATAATACCGCGCAATTCCCGCTGACGACTATCGATCATTTCAATGCTCGATCTTCAGGTGGCGATAGCTTGCCCCTAGACGATGCGGGGGAAAGGCGTGTACAATGCGTTCTGTTTCGCTGCCGCTAGCGCTGCTCGAGGAGCCAGGCACGCTGTGGATCCGAAGAGTGTGTACGCACACACTTGTAACGGAAGTGTACGGAACGTCTATAACGGAACAATACAGAACGTCTATAGGCCATTCTTCACTGCTGCGAAAGCTCCCTCAGCCTTCATGCACGGTTCTTGTCAGACTGGCAAGGCGAAAATCAACGGCCCATGTTCGTTGCGGATCGAGATCGTAAGCAGCGTCGCAGCTAGGCGGTTCTTTAGTTCCACGCCCGCCGCGACTCACGCCGTCAATGCCGCCGCCGCATCGCACGGGGCGAAAATACAAGTAAACAGCAGATCGAATCGTTCTTCGCTTCTTTTGCGGCTGACACGTGGCGTGGTTGGATTGGGCGTCGTGGGTGCGTTGGGATGGGCTGCAATGGGGGAGGATCCGATGCTTCGATTAAAGCTTCTCGTTACTGTTCCAGTGCGCGTCGGAAGGGTGGTTACCACAGTACTCGCCATGGTTGCTGGTACGACTTCCCACCCAACCAGCCTTTGCTCCCATAAACGCTTTTAACTAAACACCTTACTGAAGCCGTTCTAATAAGCACTGTAGCAATGCAGGGTCTTTGCCGAACCTGCTCAGCCGGTAACCTTTTTGTCTGCCCGTTGTTTCCTCAGACTACAAGACTTCTCTTCGCGGGCTGCCCGCGGGCAGCGAGGAAATGGAGGCGGAGAAGCGGCAGTGCCACCTGCGCTGCGCGGATCGGCTGCAAGCCATGTGCTTCAGAAACGGAGGAATCTACATCAAGCTAGGACAACACATTGCTCAGTTGGTGGGTGTGATTGGGGTTTAGGCAGGGCGTGGCAATGAAGGGCGTTGTTGGTATGGGTGCGTTTCAAGAACGAAATTTTGTAATAGATGGAATGTGACCAAATTGAAGGAGTCTATATGCGGAGTAATTATTATGCCACTTGCGTTTTGTTCTTTCAGGACTACGTCGTGCCGGAGGAGTATGTGATTGTAATGAAGGAATCAGTGGTGGGAAAAGATGTACATGTATACATAACTTACGTTGCTCGCCTTCTGTGCTTTCAGGACTACATCGTGCCGGAGGAGTATGTAATTGTAATGAAGGAGTCGATGCTCAACACGTGCCCTGTCACCCCTTACGAGGACGTTCGGGTCGTCATCCAATCAGAGCTCGGCAAACCACCAGAGGAGGTACGGTGAGAGAGAGGGGCGGGGACAAGTGGTATGGTGTGGGAGAGGTATGGTGATAAGAGGGAAGGTGAAGGAGGGGCTGGGGAACGTAATGGTTGTAGGTGGTCGCTAACATTCTTCTGCCCCTCCATTCTCCGTCACTTCATCTGTCCATTGACGCATCTCCACTGTCAGGTCTTCTCATCCCTCAACCCCACACCAGTGGAAAGCACGTCTTTGATTAAAGCACGTTTCTTTCCCCGCCACCCCTGCCCCTAGCCTCCTGCTGACCTCGTTCCCCCAATCACAGCTGTGCCTGTGGCAAGTGCATCGTTGACCCAAGCGCCTTCCGCTCTCCCCCTCTTGCCCCTCTCCTCCTCCCATCATCCTTTCCGCCCATCCCCACGCTCAGATCTTCTCCTCCTTCGACCCCGTGCCTGTGGCAAGTGCCTCTTTGACCCAAGCTCCCCTTCCTCTTCCCCACCCACCCTATCATCTCCTCCTTTGATCCTTCTTTTCCCCATCCCGACCATCAGATCTTCTCCTCCTTCGACCCCGTGCCTGTAGCGAGTGCCTCTTTGGCCCAAGTGCACCTTCCTCTCCCCGCCGCCCCTGCCCTCTCCTAAAGCGACACCTTTTCCCCAATCTCACTCCCGACCGTCAGATCTTCTCCTCATTCGACCCCGTGCCTGTGGCGAGTGCCTCTTTGGCCCAGGTGCATCGAGGCACGCTGAAGTCAGGGGAAGACGTGGCAGTGAAGGTGAGAGTCAGGTGGAGGATTTATGTGGCACGTAAAGCTCCTTAAGCCCAGGTGCACAGAGGCTTGGTTAAGTCAGGGGAAGACGTGGCAGTCAAGGTGAGCTTCAGGTGGAGGTGAGATACAAGTCAAGGCGAGATGCAAGCCGAGGGGTGAATTCATGCCGGGGACCGATGTGAGGCATGATCCCCTCAGGCTTAAGGGACATGAGGCACACCGAGGTCAGTTTGACGAGGTAGTCAAGGTGAGATGCAGGTGGAGGTGTTTCTCAGGTTGGATTGCGATTAATGGGGCTCCTTGATGCGTCCTCCTTGGCTCAAAGGCATTATGGGGTGCGAGGTTCTAGACCGACAGGCAGCACGGTTTTTGTTGAGGGCCCGTCCCTTCCTTCCCAAACCCCTCGCACCCATTCCCAACCCTACCCACTTCTCCCCACCCTGCCCCTTCCTTCCTCAACCCTCACCATCGCATCCCACCAGGTGCAGCATGCACATCTGCTTGACACGGCAGCAGCAGACATGCTGTCAGTCAAAACATTAAAAACCCCTCACTACCCCTCGTCACCGCTCCCCACTCATCCCCACCAGGTGCAGCACGCGCATCTGCTGGACACGGCAGCAGCAGACATGGTCTCAGTGCGACTTGTCATCTCTGCACTGTACTGGTTCTTCCCGAGCCTAGACTACAGGTACAGGCAATTGGTATGAAATATTCTGGACCCCTCGTGCACAGGCACAACCTTTCGCAGGATGCTTGCTCTATTGTGTGTGTGTGTGTGTGTGTGTGTGTGTGTGTGTGTGTGTGTGTGTGTGTGTGTGTGTGTGTGTGTGTGTGTGTGTGTGTTGTGTGTGTGTGTGTGTGTGTGTGTGTGTGTGTGAGAGTGTTTTTACACGTCTCAAAATCAGCTTCGTGTGCATGTTTTACTTTGAAACTAGTACATCGGATCCTTCCCGTCGTTCTGGAATTACTTGGAATGGTAATGCCCGTCCGCCCCACCCCGTACTCTGCCTTGCCTCCATGTCATATGGTGGCTGATCACAGAGGTGGAGGAGAGCTTACCCAAGGTACGCCTTAAGAAGTGCCAAAAGGGTCAATTCAACCACACAGCACACCTAGAAGTTGATGACGCGTTTGCTTTTTCCTTCAACGTCTGCTTGATTCCAGTTTCGAGGCCTCCTACGGTCAGCATTGCATACTGACATGGCATTGCAATCCAACGGCCGGCGTTGCATCTAATCGTGTCTCCAACCTCTCGTCCCAGTCTTCCCCCTTCCACCAGGCCTCTCATATCCCCTCCATTCCATCTCTCCCCTCTACAGGAGCTAGATTTCACCCTCGAAGCATCCAACGGTCGGCATTGCATGGCCAACTTTCGATCCTCACCGTCGAAGCTCCTGAGGGAGTCCGTGGCGGTGCCGAGAAGCTTCCCGGAGCTTACCGGGCAGCGGGTGCTGACAATGGAGTGGATGGAGGGCGTGCCTCTGACTGACGTGGCAAGGCTCAAGGACATGGGGATCAACCCTGCTGACGTGGCAAAACTGGTGAGTTCCCCATGTGTTTGCTTGTTTCTTTTATTCTCTGTTAATGTGAGGTTTCGTTGATGTTCGTACTGGTATACTTCCACTCAACTTGAGTATCCTCTCTTAGGTACCACTTCTAGTTTTTTTCAATTCCCAGCCCTGCTTCTCCTCCCCCACCCACTCCATCCAGATCAGCACTGCTTTTGCCGAAATGATTTTCCGGCATGGATTCGTGCACTGCGACCCGCATGCGGCTAATGTGTTGGTGCGGCCGAAGAGAGGAGGCCGGCGCATGCCCGGCGGTGAGTGCAGTCTGCTAATTAGTGCTGTGCCTGCTCTCTCTCTGCTTGACCCAACTATGCGCACCTTTGAAAGGCCCTCGTGTTGGCCGACGCGCGGGCATGATGCAGTGCAGCATTGCGCTGGGCCCTGCATTTATACCTTGCTGCCACTGCCTGCTCTCCCCTTCCCCTTCTCCAGGCTATGTGGAACCAGAGATCATGCTTCTAGATCATGGTCTATACCGCCAGCTGCCCGACTCCCTCCGCCTCAACTACGCGCACCTCTGGAAGGCCCTTGTGTTGGCTGACGCGCAGCGCGAGGCATCATACAGTACAGCATTGCGCTGGGCGCCGGGGCAGACATTCATGTAAACACTTCCCTGCTTTTCCCTTCCTCTCCTCCCACCCCTCCCGTCTCTCCAGGCTATGTGGAGCCAGAGATTGTGCTGCTGGATCACGGGCTATACCGGCAACTCCCAGATTCTCTCCGCCTCAACTACGCGCACCTCTGGAAGGCCCTTGTGCTGGCGGACGCGCGAGGCATCATGCAGTACAGCATTGCGCTGGGGGCCGGTGCGGACCTGTATGCCATCTTTGCTGCGACGCTCACCCTGCGATCGTGGGAGAACATTGTTGAGGCGTCTTCGGATCACCTGTTTATCCCAGACACCGCTGAAGAGAAGAAACATTTGCAGGTGAGCGAGGGGTGGGGGGCGGGAGGCGTAGTTAGGGTTGGTTGGGTTACTGATGGGCAGTGGCTCACAGGCCATCATGCACTACAGCATTGCTCCCCCTCACACGCTAATCGCACCACAACCGTCCTCCCTTTTTCTGTCCTGCACCTGGCCCTACCGAGGTCAGCAGCGGCTTATATCAACGATATCACGTGTCTCCTAGCACGCTTTCCTTGCAGGGTCCACTCAGCTGATACCCCACCCACCCTCCCTTTCGTTTTCAAACTTTCTCTTTGTCCTTCCCTTCCTTTCCACCTCTCCAGCGTTCAGCAGCACCCTACTTTAACAACATTACACGCCTCCTCGCACTCTTGCCCCACCATAACCTTCCTCCCTGTTCCTGCCCCATTCCTTCCATTCCTCCCTCCCTCCCTTTTTCTCGTTCCAGAAATCAGCAGCAGCTTATTTCAACGACATAACGCGCCTCCTCGCTCGCTTGCCACGGGTCTTGCTGTTGCTCCTCAAAACCAATGACTGCCTTCGGTCCCTGGATACTGCCCTGGTGAGAGGCTTCCTTTGCTCAATACTCTGTTTTCCTTTACATGACTTTCACACATGCCCCTTTGACACTGCTCTATTGAGGGCTCACACATTTCTGTCGTACTGCTGCTGTTGCTCAAAACCGATGGTGCAGTTTAACCCTCTTTGCCTGCTATTTGCAATAACCAGATCACTATATCTGTGGTTCTCTCTCCCTTTCTCTTGCTCCCTCCTCTTGTGCACCTCTAAGTCCCTTCTCTCTCGCTGCTCTCGATGTCCATCTCCTTTTGGAATGCATCACCTGCAGGGCACACCAGTCAACGCATCCATTATCGCCGCACGGTAATGCACACAGGCAATTAGAAGAGCAGATGAGAAAGCTCTAATCTTTCCGGAACCGTCAAACCCTCTTTCGTATGCGCCCCTTGGTGTCTACCACCCTTCCTTGCATCACCTGCAGGGCACACCAGTCAACACATTCATGATCACCGCACGGGAATGCACTGAGGCAATCGCAGAAGCAGACGAAAAGGCTCTCATCTCCAAGGCTCCAAACTCGTTGCTAGTTCGTTGGAAGGCGCATCTCCATAAAAGGCTGCAAATAGCACAGGTGGAGATGCAATTGTTGAAACTGGAAGCAGCTGTTTGGCTTGCTCACCTTGCATTGTGGGCTAAGGGATTTGTGCAGAGGTGGAAATGGTGGAAGAAGGGGGTCTCGTCTAAAAAGAAATGCGAACTATTGCAACTTGCCCCATTATAGTGGTCTGATTATTATTTGGTTGGACTTTATGTGGTGATTTATCAAGCAATGAAAGAGCTGATGATGGAGAACGTGTAGTAACGAGTTTTGCAGCTAAAGGCATCTCCCTCGCAGCAGAGCCAGTCTGTACGGAATTCCTTAGGGCCCGCAACCTGACAACCTGACGCCCAGAATCCGTCAGTTCTTTTGCTCTTATTTCCTCAGTGTGTAGCCTAGTGCGTGAATCCGTGTGTGCGCTAGTGACCCGGGGGGGGAACCTGGTGCTGTCAATCGCTCCGAACCGTTCCTCACCGCCCATTACCGCATTGTCATAGTCTCGACGTTTTCCGCGCGGCTTCAGCCATTTCGATCCGCATTATGGAGCGGTACGACGTGGTGGTGGTGGGTGCGGGCATCATGGGCAGCTGCGCGGCGTACGAGCTGGCGAAGCGCGGGCGGTCCGTGCTGCTATTGGAGCAGTTCGATTTGCTGCACCGCCGAGGTGATCCGGAGAAACGGGTACTGTCAATCGCTGCGCACCGCACCTCACCGCACCCCACCGCACCTTGCTACACCTCACTGCATCATGGTCAGCTGCTCGGCGTAGGAGCTCGCAAAGCGCGGGCGGACCGTGCTGCTGTTCGATTTGCTGCACCGCCGAGGTGAGAGGAGAAAATGGGTGATGTGAATTGCTCATCACCGCACCTCACCGAACCGTACCGCACCTTACCGCATTATTGGCATCTGCGCTCGTACGAGCTCGCGAAGCGCAGGTTAAGCGTGCTGCTGCTCGATTTGCTGCACCGCCGAGGTGAGAGGTGATATAGGAGTATCGAGTCGGATCTTAACGAGAATGCAGCTCGCGCACTTCGACCTGCTGCACCGAGCGGATCGAGGAAGATAGCTATACTGGTCCTGCTGTTATCGAGTAGACTGTATCGAATCTGCTTAAAAGGCGTACGTCTCAGGACTCCCCTCCTTTGCCTCCCATGACCTCCACGCTCTCTTCCCAGAGCGAGTCTCAAATGTAGTAGGAGAATTTAACCTGAAGACCATTACACTATCCTCATGCAACCCCTCTCATCCTCCCTTACTTCCTTCTCCTCTAATATCGCCAGGCTCTTCCCATGGGGAGTCTTGAATTATCAGGAGAACCTACCCTGAAGACCATTACACTATGCTCATGCACCCCCTCTCATCCTCTCTTACTTCATTCTCCTCTGATCGCCAGGCTCTTCGCATGGAGAGTCTCGAATCATAAGGAGAACGTACCCTGAAGACCATTACACTGCGCTCATGCCGCTCGCTTTTAAGTTATGGGAGTCTGCTTCTAACGAGGCTGGATACTCCCCCCTTACCATCACCGGAGGCTTGGATTTCGGCCCCCGCTGCAATGCTGACCTGGCAGCCGTTCTCGCCAGCTGTCGCAACCACGACGTGCCACATCAGCTCCTGGAGGGAGCTGCTTTGAGAGAACGGTTCCCGATGTTCAACTTTCCGGATGGTTCTTCTTCTGACGACGATTTGGTCGGCGTGTTTTGTCCTGATGCGGGGGTGCTGCATGCAACGAAAGCCGTGGCCATGTTCCAACAGCTGGCGGCGAAGCATGGTGCAGCACTACGAGACAAAACGGCAGTTACTGCCATCGAGCTGCTACAGGACAAAGAGGCAGTAGCTACAGGGGTTGATCATCCTGGTCAAATTTGTGTGGTAACCAGCAGAGGCAGCGTTACATGTAACGACTGCGTAGTAGCAGCAGGGGCATGGGCGGGAAAGTTGATTGAGAGGGCAACAGGGAGGAATCTTCCTCTGCAGGCACTACGAACCACCGTGGCTTATTGGCGGGTTTCTGGGGAGGGAGAGGCAGATGCTGATTGTGCTCCTGCTGCTAGTAGTGTTGCTGTTGATGCTGCTGCTGTTAGTGATGGTAGTGCTGCTGTTGCTGCTGATGGTACTTTCAGCAGCAGAAGTAGCAACAGCAGCAGCACAGCCATTCCATTATTTATCAACTATGACGAACCGTACGTGTACGGCATTCCAAGCCTGGAGTTCCCAGACCTGATCAAGGTCTCCCTTCATTCCGGCCTGCCCTGCCCTGACCCTGACAACCGACCCTCCCTCCCGGACGTGCAAGCGGTCCGGACCGTGCTGGTGCCGTGGCTGCAGGCCAGGTTCGGGAATAGGGTTACCACCGAGCCTGTGATGATGGAGTCGTGCCTCTATACCATGACCCCGGACCAAGATTTCATAATCGATCGCATCCCATTGGCTACAAAAGGGCACGATTCACCAGCAGAAAGCAGGACTAGCAGTGAGGGAAAAGAGGGGGTTCTAGGGGAGGGGACGCAAGGGGTTGGGTCTGGAGAAAAATGTTTTGGAGAGACAGGAGGAGTGAATATTGTGGTAGCAGCAGGCTTTTCGGGGCATGGGTTTAAATTCGGCCCACTGATCGGCAAAATGGCAGCTGAAATTGTGACTGGGTGTGCTGATGGGAGCAATGGCAGCAGCATCAGCAGCAGTGTGAGTTGCGACACAAGCAACGCACTTGAAATGGTTAAGCGTGGGAAGGTCTCGCCCCTGTTCTCCCACAGGAGGTTCTTGGATGGAGGACATGGGAATGTGAAGGCTTGCGGGCCACAGGTCAGGCCTGTGGGAGATGGCTTGTAACGTAAAGGAGTAGTGATTTATTCTGGAAATGTGGGTGATGTGATGTGTTGTCCTCAGGACGCCAACTCAAGCTCGAAGACTTGTAGAGGAAGGGCAAAGAAGGAATGCGAATGGCGTAAACATGTCACAGATCAAGCCAAAATGGCCATGCAGGATATAGAGAGAGGGATGGTGGAGTGGAGGCTGTAGTGAATTTGGAGATGAAGCATTTTGCAGATACATATTGTCGGTCTTTACATCAGTGCATATATATACTGCACTATATCGAGGATACCGTGTAACGCGTTCAACAAGGCCTCTCCACCACTTGATTCCCTCACGAGTGGTTTGTGACACTGTGAGGGGACTCCACCTCAGCAGCGAACGAATGTCGAGAAATTCGTTTCGTGATTTTTCTAGAGCTGCCACGTCAGCTCATGCAGTTTGGATCCTGCCCGAGCTGCCCCACATTGCGTGTGTGGCACAACAACCCAGCCCGAGACTGCGCTTCTCGCACACAAGTGGCCTTGTGCGTGTACTGTGCATTAGGCAGATAGGATTTCGTTTGTTGATTTCAGTAAAATATCGTTCAACACAGTGCAGTACAGTAACCGCGGTCATCAAAATCCCTGGCAGGCCCCAAATTCCCTGTGGCGACTGTCGCCGCGACCACGAAAACTCCCTTTTTCTGGCGAACCGCAATCTCAAACTTGGATGAGGGAACAAGGGTGGGGTGAGGGGGAACGGCTTCGCTGGCCTTGGGATTGGATTGGGTGGGTGAACATGAACGGCAAGGCAACCTCGATGACGGCTGTTGGTTGAATGATGGGCGTCATTCCAGGAGGGTCAAGAACTTGGTTCGGATCTTAGTCCTAGTCGTGCTTCTTGCTACATACAGATTTAGTACAGAGTGATGCGTTTCGCTCTTTGTCACGTTGTTGAGCTGTCCGTAGGATTCCTGTGGATTGGAGTACTCTTGAGTGCCTCGTAATTTCGGGAACTTGATTCGTAACAGTGTCTTCCGTCGTGTCGCGAGCGGTCGTGTAAGAAAGCGTTTTTCAAGATGAGTAGAGGTGTAGGTCAAGGCGGCTTTCCGAACCCTAATCATGACCCGTTCGCTGGAATGGGGTTCGGATTCGGTCCAAGCCTTTTCAACGATCCGGTATTCTCAGACCCCTTTTTCACGGATCCGTTCGGGTCCATGTTTGGCCGTCAAGGCGGGACCGCCGGTCGCGGATTTCCCGGCGGGATTTTCGGCGGGGAATTTGGCGCGTTCGGATCGATGTTTCCGCAAGCACCGATGCTGCCGCCCCCTTCGCCGTTCGGATTCGACGACCATGTGAGAATAGGCGGATGAGATGTTGCCATGAGACGCATCAGACCTTTGCTACGTGAACATCTGAGATAAACGAAACGCATAGACGAAACGCATCAGATCTTTGCTTCGTTTCCATGTTTCTTTTTCTTTCTTTCTTTCTTTCTTTCGTTCTTTCTTTCTTTATGTCTCTCTTTTCTTCTTTCTTACACGTTCGATAAAATCTTTTGTTCTCTTGTTTCATTCATGTTGTTCCTTGTTTATGTGCAGCATCAGCGTCAGCATCAAGAGCATAACAGGCACCTTCAGCAGCAGCAGCAACTACAACAGCAGCAGCGACAGCAGCAGCGACAGCGTTACCAGCAGCATGTATCTGCACCGGCCATTCAAGAAGTTCACGATGACGACGAAACCGGGTTACCGCATAGTTACCACAGCACCAGCAGCAGGGGAGCGAAACCGTCCGATTCTCGCGAAACCGGCGGCGAGCGAGCAGGGCGAAGGAACCGAGCTTATATCGCGAAAGAGCCTATAGTGGAGCTTCCAGACGACGAGGAGGAGGAGGAGCAGGACGGGAAGAGGAGGCGAGAACGCGAGGAGGAAGAAGAGGAGGAAGCAGAGGAGGGAAACGCGGAGAGGGAAGCGTATGTGCGGCAGCAGTATTCCCAAGGAAGGAGCTCTGCTTATCAGCAACAGGATCGCGGAGAGAGGAGCTCTGCATATCAGCAGCAGCAGAGGAGCTCTACGAGGCAGCAGGGTCGCAGCTCGCAGCAGCAAGGTAACCTGCTGGTTACGGTGTTACCACTGTTACTTATTGACATTGTTATGGTACTTGCTTTTTCGAACGCACCCTTCTACAGTAGTCACGCCCTTTTCAAATCTTCCAAATCAGACGCGTGTCGGAACCAGAAGCTCCTGTCTTCCGTTCTCCATCGCGTTTCGCTGCTACAGAGCGAAGCTTTAGTCCTTCTCACGTTCCCTCCCCGTGCTCTCCTCCCCGCTCCCTTCTCTGTAACTCCCAAGGCATTCTCCGTTTGTCTTTTCCTCCCCTATTCTTCCCACTGGTTTGCGCTCTCTTTCCTCCTCTCTTTACAGCCGCGCCCACTCACACGCACGAAACGCTCGTCACGTCGTCGTCTCCTTTCAACGCTCTCAGCCTCTTCGGTGGCGGATTAGGCGGCGGATTGGGCGCTGGTTTCGGCGGCGCGCTGGCGGGGCTTGGGGGTGCAGCAGGGGGCGGCGCGTCGTATTCCTTTCAGAGCTCAACGGTCACCTACTCGGGAATAGGCGGGCAGACGTACTACTCTGAATCGTCCTCCCACCAAATCGCTGCCAACGGGGTGAGTGGGCCTTATAACGAAGATGTGGGTGGGACTAGGGAATCGTGGGGTGGTTCTTGAGGCGGCTCAAAGGTACGGCCCTTTTCCTTCCAGAGCTCAACAGTTACCTGTTCGGGGATAGGCGTGCAGACGTACTACTCTGAATCGTCCTCTCATCAGATCGCTGCCAACGGGGTTAGTGATTCTTTCAACAGAGCTGTCGGCGGGATTTATGCTTATAACGGAGCCTGGTATTCACTGTGTATTAGTCACCTCTAGCCGGGGATTAGCGGGCAAATTGAAGGAACCGGCATGCCAATCTCTGAGTGTTAATGAGCACATTTACCTTCGAGCTGACTCGAATTCTTTCTACCTATCCTCACCCCTCTTCATCCCTCTTCGCCCCTCGTCGCCCCTCTCCGCCCCTCTTCGCTCCTTTTCTGCACTCCCCTTGCCCCTCATCCACACTGCCTACTCACCTCCCCAACATTTCATCTCGCCCCTTTTCACCGCTCTTCACCCCTCTGTACCGCAGGTGGTGGAGGCACAGCACCAGCGGCGGGACTCAAGGGGACACCAGAGCATGACAGTTGCACGGGGGTTGGGCGATAAGGTGAGCTGGCCGAGGGGGGGGTTGGCAGGGGGTAGGGCTGGCAGGGGGGGGGGGGCTGGCAGGGGGGGGAGTGGGGGGGTGCTGGCAGGGGGGGGGCTGGCAGGGGGGGGTGCTGGCAGGGGGGGAGGTGGTAGCGGGGGAAGACTGGCAAAAGGGATGACTGGTATGGGCATGGGGAGGGCTGGCAGGGGGGATGGCTGGCAAGGGGGGGCGAGAGGCATGTTGAAATGGCTGGCAGTGGGGTGCAGGCATGCACCCTGAGCTGCATCAGCGAGGGCAGGAAGCATCTCTCTTCAACGTCTCTCACCACTCTCCACTCCTCACGACTCAACCCCCGTCCACCACTACTTACCCCTCACACTGACCACTCACCACTTCCCACTCCGCACCACTCCTTCCCTCTTCTCTTCCCATATGGCAACAGGCGCGCACACGGAGCTGCACCAGGGAGGGCAGGCAGCATCTCTCCTCACCACTCCTCACCACTCCTCACCACTCCCCATCTCTCCCCTCCCCCCTTCCCCCCCCCATATGGCAACAGGTGCGCACACTGAGCTGCACCAGGGAGGGCGGGCATCAACTTGTGTCATCTCCTCACCACTCCTCACCGCACCCCACTCCTCCCTTCCCTCTCTCCCCCTCGTGTGGTAACAGGCGCGCACGCTGAGCTGCACCAGGGAACTCTGTTCATCTCCTCACCACTCCTCACCACTCCCCCTACCTCTCCCCCCCCTCTCTTCCCCTCCCCCAGGCGCGAACACTGAGCTGCACCAGGGAGGGGGGGCAGCAGAAGTCATACGAGATTCTGCATAACATGTCGCAAGGTGGGGTGGTGGGTGGTGGTGGGTAGTGGTGAGGGGCATGTCTGTCATAGGATTATGATTGCTTTAGAAGAAGTCGTACGAGATCCTGCACAACATGTCGCAAGGTGGGGTGGTGGGTGGTGGTGGGTGGTGGTGAGGGGTATGTCTGTCATAGGATTATGATTGCTCCAGCAGAGGTCATACAAGATTCTGCACAATATGTCGCAAGGTGGGGGTTGTTGGTGGTGGGATGTGAAAACGTGCGCGAGGTTTGAGTGGTGTTGAGAGGTGTCAGCAGAGGTTGTACGAGGTTCTGCACAACTTGTCGCAAGGTGAGGTGGTGGGTGGTGGTGGGCGGTGGTGGGGGGTCTATCCCCAAGACATCATACGAAAGGTTGCACAGCATGTCGCAAGGTGGGTCGTTCATGTGCAAAGAAAGGTATTGGTCGTGTTGGGACGCGTGTATGTATGGCCATTCGAGAGACTCTTGAGTCGACTCAACTTTTGAGATTTGAGTCGACGTGTGTATGTATGGCCATTTAGGCTTCTGCACAATGCCCGCCTCGCATCTTGCCCTCCCATGTTCCACCTCAGCACTTCCATCCCGTCCTGATCCTTACAGCTTCCTTTCTCTCTTCTCCTTCCCCCCCCCCCACCCTTCCACCAGAGGAAGCAGCAACCTTTGACAGCACATGGCAGCACCACGCGCGTCACGCCCTCCCTCCCTCAGCCTCCGCTCGTGCTCCGTCTGCCCGCCTCGCCCTCCCGTCCTCCTCTCACCGTTCCTCCTCTGCTCGCCAGCCCTCTGGGGGGCCAAGAGGGGGGGGTCATGCATATGGGTATTAGAGGGGACTGATGCAGCTGCCGCTTCTGCCCACCACACCTACCCTCCCACCCTCAGCCTCCACTCCTGCTGCCCCTTCCACTCGCTTCGTTTTCCGTTTGTCCTCTCTGTCTCAAAGCTTTTAACATGACGCGATGTGACAAGATATGTGGCGTGGTGCGGTGTGACGTGGTGTGGTGCGGTGTGACGTGGCGCAGTATGGTGTGATGTGCTGTGGTTGGATGAAGTGCGGTGTATCGTGGTTTTTTTCAAGGATTCATCATGCTTTGGGGGTGGTTAATTGACCGGGAAATCTGGCTGTGTATTTCAATTGCAGTACAACTCAACTCCACGTGTTGATGTAAATAGCACTGGATTGGTTTGGGTTTCCAATGTAATGCATCCTTGGCTGGATTCGTACTTTGTAACTGGCTGCCATCTAGCTCTAATTTTTTGCCTGCTGTGTCCCTCCCTAATGGATATCTTCGCACGCCATGCGTAGCTTCGCTTAACCCTCTTGGCTGGTGTAAGAAATACGATAATCTCTAGAGGAGCATGGCAGGAAGTGTGCTGCAACAATTCACTACACTGAAGCTTTCTCCCCTACAATATCCGAAGCTTTTGCAAGCACTTGATTTCCTACCAGAGTTGATTCTGCTCGAGCTACCCCCCCATCCTCACTCTCTAAAAGCCCTTCCAATTCCCCACCCCTCCGCCTCCCAACCACTTTACTAACCATCCCTTGTAGAATTTCACCCACTGCCGCTACCAACCCCCTTACAACCACTCCCACCGCTTTACACCGCTCCAAAAGCCACCTTTCCGCAGCACCCACATCTCCCAGCCAATCAAACGTCACGAACGAGTTGATCCCCAGGAACCCCAGGACCACCAACACTGCCCCTACCATGTGAACAGTGTCCGGTAGGCTGTTGGCCCTCCAGCTGTCTACACTGAGGGCGATGGGGATCTGAATCTGTAGCCCGGCTGTAGCGGCGGTGGGGGTGGTGAGAAGGACGGCACGAGCCCAAAGGTAGTCACTCAAGACGTTGTCTAGCAGACCTGGTGTGGTGACAGGGGAGTCAGGGAAAGGAACATGAGGGTGATGGGGATTTGAATCTGTAGCCCGGCTGTAGCGGCGGTGGGGGTGGTGAGAAGGACGGCTCGTGCCCAGAGGTAGTCACTCATAACGTTGTCTAGCAGACCTGGTGTGGTGGGGAGGGGGTCATATCATAGGGAAGAACGGGTGAGGACAAGGAGTTGTGTGAAAAATACAGCTTGAGATGGTCACTCAGAACGTTGTCTAGGAGACCTGGTGTGGTGGGGAGGGGGAAGGGAGCAGGGAGCACGGGTGGGGAGGATGGGGGAAAAGGGCATTGAAACCAAAATGCCTAGCATGGCGCTGGTTAGCAAGGCGAACCTTTGGCGATGACGAGTCCCCATTGGGACGCATCAGGCCAGGCGAACCACTGGCCTCGCACCCACTGCACCAGCAGCAGCAGCAGCCCCACATGACTTTGCTGGTAGGGTGTTGAGAAGCGTACCTTTGGCAATGACGAGTCCCCACTGGGATGCATCAGGCCAGGCGAACCACTGGCCTTGCACCCACTGCACTATCAACCCCACTGTTCGAGCAAGAAGAGGTTGAAGAGTCCCAAATACCCAAACATGAGCGCCGTCCCAAATCCCCATCCTTTCTTTTGCTGGTAGGGTAGGGTACAAGAGCGTACCTTTGGCGATCACCAGTCCCCACTGGGAGGCATCGGGCCAGGCGAACCACTGGCCTCGCACCCACTGCACTATCAGCCCCACGGGCGCCAGCAGGAAGAGGTTGAAGAGTCCCAGATACCCAAACATGAGCGCCGTGCTGAACGGTACCTCCTCCTCCTCCTCCTCTCCTTCCCCTTCCCTTTTCTCGCCCCTTTCCTCTTCTTCCGCCTCCTCTCCATCCACTTTTGCCTCCCTTTCCTCCCCTTTAACCTTTCTTTTCCCGTCCCTATCCTCCCCTTCCTTCTCTCTTCCCCCCACCTTCTCCCCCGCCCCCTTCTGCTCTTCTTGCTCTTCTATTTCCCTTTCATGCTCCGACTCCTTTTGTTTCACCTCTTCCTTCCCCTTCCCTTCTCCAGGCACAGCAAATCCCCAACCTTCACCTGATTCCGCCAGTCCCTCCTCTCTTCGCTCCTCCTCTCCTCTCCCTCCCCCTCTCCCTCGCCCTCTCCCTCCCTCCTCCTCCTCACCCTCTTTCCCCTCCTCCTCACTCCCCATCTCCTCAAAACCCCCTTCAGCAGGCGTGAAAGACCTTAGCATGGTGGTATAGAGAGAGTAGAAACCCGCTGACATGAGAACCAGCACATCCCCAAACAGACTCTCCCTTGCGTTACTCGCAACTGCTGCACTCGCCTCTGCCACCGCAGCAGCATCAAACGCACTCCCACCACCACCACCGGCGCCGAAACCTGTGCCATTCCCACTGCCACTTAGCCCGGCGCCACTGCTGCTGGCGCTGCTGCTGTTGAAACCGCCGCTGGCGCTTAGGTTGCTAAGAGCGGCGTTTAGAGTGTTGCTGGCCTGGGCTTGGTCTGCAAGGGCGACAACGACGGTGCCGGCCACGCAGAGCAGCACGGAGAGCAGCTTGCGAAGGCAGAAACGCTCGTGAAGGAGATAGACGGATAGAGCAAAAGTGAAGAGGCTTGACGTGCAGCTGAGAATGGTGTTGGACTGGTGGGGATGGGGGGATGGGTAGGGGATGGGAAAGGGAAGGGGAGTTGACAATTTGGAGGGGAGAGACAGACACACTCGTGAAGGAGATAGATGAAGAGAGCGAAGGTGAAGAGGCACTGTTAGATTCGACTCACTGTGACACTGGTGTAGGCGAGGGATAGGTTGAAGGTGAACTGCGCGAGGAACCACACGGGGCAGATGGCTAGACTCACGCGAGGGGGAAAGATACCCCATGAAACTCAAGGCTCCCGGGAATGAGGGCTTATGGAATAAGACCTGTGCGAGTAGACTCACCGTGACGCTGGTGTAGGCCAGCGAGAGGTTGAAGGTGAACTGCGCGAGGAACCACACGGGGCAGATGGCTAGACTCACTCCCGCCACTCGCCCCCTCGTCCACCTCCCTTCCTCCGCTGCTGCTGCTTTTCCCAAGCTCAATTGCGATTGCTCCTGCTCCTGCTCCTGACACTGCTGGTGCTGCTGCTGGTGCGGGTGCAGGTGCCAATTCTCCCGTTCTTGTTGTTTAGGCTCGGAAGTTCTACGCTCGGAAGGGCTTGGTGAGGGACTCGGTCCCGAGCCTGGGCTGCCGAGCCAGAGCCTGAACGAGCCTGCATCGAAGGATCGGTGGCCCCAGTGGCGGAAAGAAGGGGAGGCGAGAACCTCTGCTGACGTGGACGAATTGGATTGGACGGACTCCTTGCTGGCGGATTGAGTCAGTGCAGTGTGAAGAGAGAGACGGGTTGCCAGCTCACCAACCCCCCTGTCCATGTCAGCATGAGCTGGACTACCACTGTGCAGAGAAAGCCCTTCTATTCGGCTTCCTTCCCCCTGTATAGTCACACCCTGAGTCAAATCAAGCACTTCTATATTTCCTAGGGGCTCAGAAGTACCCTGCCTCTCCTGGTACCCATCCCCACCTCTCTCCACTCCTTCTCCCCCCTCCCCTGGTCCCTCCTCCCCTTGCGCTGCCCCTACTCCCCCATGTGCTGCTGGCTCTATCCCCTCTATAGTCAGTTCCGTTGCTGCCACCCGTGTTTCTCTACCTCGCCCTTCAACTGCTTCCACTAATCCCCCTTGTCCCTGCGCTCCCTGCTGCCGCTCCTGCCCCTCCTGCCCCTCCTGCCCCTGCTGCGCCTCATGCCCCTCCTGCCCCTTCTGCCGCTCCTGCCCTAGCCGCCCCTGCTCCTCCTGTTTCTCCTGCTTCTCCTGCTCCCCCTGCCCCCCCTGCTCCCTTTGCTCCCCCTGCTCCCCCTGCCCCCCCTGCCCCCCCTGCTCCCCCTGCTCCCCTTGCTCCTCCAACCCACCCTCCTTTTTTCGACCATGCATTACCCCCTGCATCCCTCCCTGTGCGCCTTTTCCCTCCTCCCTTCTCTCCTCTTCCCCCATCAACCCGTCATCGTTCCCCTCCTCTTCAATATCCCCCAATCCCGTCTCCTTCTCCCCTTCTACCAACAACCCTCTTTCTTCCTCATCTCCCTCCCCGTCCCCCATTTTCTCCTTCTTCCTCACACTGATACTGGTTACCATGTTACCTCCACCTGCATTGCTCTTGCCACTGTTTTTCCAGCCAACACGACTTCCTGAATCGTACTCTCTGATGCCCGATCCACCATTGGAGGCAGAACCACCCCCAGGCACCTCCTTTCCGAAGAGGTACCACCAGAGCTCTACAACGGGGATGTAGAGCACGAATAACGAGTTGCAGATGTACGTGAGTATAAACGGCGCCAGACCACCTTCCTCCACCGCCTGGGAAGAGGGAACGGAAGGGAGAGAGCTTATTAATCAATCAGAAACAGGGTGTGCACTTAAATTCCGTACACTGAAATTCCGTGCAGAGGTTCTCTGTCCTATCCGCACTAGAGTCTCTCTTACCTGCACTATGTAGCTTGCGGATATCCAGATTAAAGCCACGGCCACCACCAGTGCCATTCCCTGCAGCCATTTCAGGTGGCTCGCGTCCATTGGTGGAGAGATCGGCCAATCAGGAGCTGCCACGTGGAGGCTGGCCAATGTCGCTGTGCGTCAGTTAGGAGTAAGCTGTTGGAGATGCGTCGGCTAAGAGGATTGGTAAGTCATGCCTCATCCCAACCTACTGTTTGAAGCCAATTAATCGTTTTAACAAAAATATACATGTATGTTTACGCCAATCAATCCCCGCAGCTCTGAAAGCAGACGATTTTTTTTTTTTTTTTTAGAAGCGCACCTCGTCAAAGCTACAAGCAGGGTAAGAAGGTAACTATCCGCAGCAATCGTGAAATGAATCAAATGAACTAGCAAGAAATCCGCAGTTGCTGACAATATATGAAACAAAGTACCCTTGACCTAACGCGACTGGACAGGTTTCGTCGTGGTTCTGCCTGCTAGCTAGAAATGAAGCAGCAGCAAGATCAATCAACCAGCGGCGTGATTGCCCTTCAGCTTCACGTGGAGAGATGAATGGCCGTGAAAAAACTAAATCGGTCAGTTACGGTTTCGAGCGATCTGAAGTTTTTTTGCCACATGCACTGTCGCTCATCGCCCAGTACGGTTTAGAACGTTCATACATGTTACACAAACGGTTCTGGTTTCTTACCGCTATTGACCGTATATCACCAGACCGAACCGTTTTGGAATTTTACGGGAATGAGTCGTCAGAATTCCCAGGATATTGCCGATCCGAACGGGGAAGAATGCTGCTCGTAACGGATGGTTGAGATTCCGCGTCGGCTTTGGTGTGATTGGGCAGATGCTCTGGCAAAACGGGTAAGTACGGAAGGTGCAGTACAAGCTGCCCCTACAATCGTAGGCCCTCTTGAACCTGAAAATCAGTGTAGACATGTTTTACCATGGTTCTCACCTTACCATGGGGTGACATAAAAGTGCACGTAGCTTTCATAGGAGAAATACTACCCTTTGATCTGCTATCTTGTATACTCTAAGGACTCATTTCTACCTTCAGCATGCCTCCTCTTCCCTCTCCCATCCCCCATCCCCCTTTCATCCCTTTCCTTCTCCCTCTTCCTCCCATTCCCCCCCATCAATCGCGTTAACACCCCCCTCCACTCCCTCCACCTCCCCCACTCCCCCTCACGTATCATCCACACCGCACCACTCCTACTCAACCCTCTCAACCCCTCCCTCTCCCTTTCACCCAGCACCTGAAACGCAATCTTCTTCTCTCCTTTGATCGCCATACACGCCGCCTCCGCCGCCGCAGCCGCCTCACAAAAGCTGTCCCATTCTCCGCAAACGAACCGCTCCGGGACTCCAAACCGCATGCTCTTGTGCGCGCTGAAATTCAACACAGCCTGCCACTTGCACTCAGCATTACTTGCACCACTGCTTGTGCCACCACTACATGTGCCATCGCTGCTTATGATACTTATACTGATTCTCTCAGTACTGCCGCCCTTGCTGACCTTCCTGATTGTGTAATGGCCTGTCAGAAGGTCCTTCGTGCCTCTGCTGGAATCCCTGGGCAGAGAAGAGCGAGGCGGAGAGAGCCGCTCTTGCAATTCTTGCCCTTGCTGCTGCTGCTGCTGCTGCTGCAGTGGGGAATCATCAGGAAGCGTCAGCAGGAGCTGGTGCTGATGCCCTGGTTGCTGCTGCCTCTCCTGCTCGTGCCCCTGGGCCGGCAACTGCTGCAACGGGGAAGTCAACTGGCCAGACCTTTGCCTCTGCAGCAACGCATCACTGCCACCCACATTTCTACTACTGGAATCATACAGCAGATTTCCTCTGTCCGAGCAACCCACAGCAGCACCCGCCACTCCCTTCGGAACCCATTTCATCCACTCCTTCCATCTCTTTTCCTTAATCATCCTCACCGCTTCGAAAGGGTCCATCTGCCTAAGTGACTCCTTTTGTCTCTCAGTTAAAAGTCGCAGCTTAATCCCCCTCTCCTGCATCTCTTTCTCCCCTATAAGCACGAAGTATGCTGCTTCCGCTGCTGCTCCTGCTGCTTCTAAATCGTCCCACTGCCCGCAGTAACATTTCTTGCATACCCCATATAAGGCGCTCTTTTGTGAGTTTAACGGGACGCGAACGGCCCACGAGCTGTAGTTCTTCGTAACGCCGATGTAACCGGACGAATTTGCCTGCTTTTTCTTCGTAACAATCGGGGTCTTGTCATGGTAAACATCTCTAGGCGGTTCTACAGGCACATCTCGAAGCTCTTCTCGCGGCACTTTCCAAAGCTCTTCTCGAGGCACTTGTGGAACAATCGCCTGCAACGGCCTCTCCTCGTCCAGTACCAGTCCCTGGTCCCCCACCCTCACAAGCTCTTCTGCCTGCTTCTCACCGTTGTCGTCTCCCCCTCTCAAGCCCCCCTTCCCTCTGCACTCCCCCTTCTCCCCCTCTTCTCCCTTTTTTTCCCTCTCCTCTTTCTCCCCTTCCTCCCTTGTCCCCCTCTCCCCCCCTTTTCTCCCCCACTCCCGCCACCACCGCCACATCTTCCCCTTAATCATCCTCACAGCCTCCTCCCACCCCATCCGCCGCAGCCTCTCCTTCTCCCCTTCACTCAGCACCTTAAACTCAATCCCCCTTTCCCCCTTAAGCACCAGATAAGCCGCCTCGGCTGCTGCGGCGGCTTCTAGAAGTTCCCCTTCCTCCCAGGACCCGCAGTTGAGGGCCGATGCTCTGATACCATACTTGGTCTGCTGTGCCTGGCTGAGAAACAGGTTCACGGACCACTTGGAACCGACCCGAACCACTCCAAAGTACCCCGATGAGCGGGAGGACTTTGCGGGAGGGGTGGAAGTTGGGGCACCACGAGAGGCAGGGGAAGAAGAAGTGAGATTCCCACTAAGGGTGGAGGATGGATTGGGATTCAATGTTGCACGCTTCATCCCACTCAAAGCCTTGAGATACAAAGCTTTCATTGCCTTAGGAGAAGTGGAAGTGCTTGCGGGTGGTGGCGGTGTGAACTGGGAGCATCGCTGCAGATTGGAATGTGCTGATGCGAACGCTGCTTCTTCCCACCCTGCTCCCCATTCCGTGCCCTGTGGCTTCACCTCTAGCCCTCCTGTCTCCCCACCCAGCACAACTAGCACCTGCCTCTCCTCCTTTACATCCCTCCATTCCCCCTCTTCCTCCTCGTCCTCCTCTTCCTCCCCTTCTTCCCCTTTCTCCCTTTCCTCTCTGTCCTCCTCCGTTGCTTCATGAACCACCACCAATGCCATCTCTCCCTCCTCACTTTCCCTCTCCTCCTCCTCTTCCTCTTTCTTTACACGCACCACCAGCTGACCACTCTGCTGACCGGTCTGCAATCCTTTTCTTCCTTCCTCCACTCTTCGCATCACCTCCTCCCCTTCCAGCTTCTCCTCCTCCTCCTCCTTCCGCTCCTCCCCACCCATCTCAACCTCCTCATACCACTCGTCCACTATCACCACCTCCTCGTCTTCCTCCTCTTCTCCTTCCTCCTCCATTTCCCCCTCCTCCCTGTTCACACGCACGCTTGCCTTCAAATGCCGTTTTCCCTCCACACGACCCTCCTCCTCATCCTTCTGCTCCTCCCCACCCATCTCAACCTCCTCATACCACTCATCCACAACCATTACATCATTTTCTTCCTCCCCCATTTCCTCCCCCTCCTCCCTTTTCACAAGCATGCTTGCCTCCGCATGCCGTTTTCTCTCCAGAAGACCCTCCTCCTCTCCCCCCCCCTCTTTAATTTCCCCTTCTTCCCCCTCATTACTCTCCTCTTTCTCCTCCTCTCCAATCTCCCCTTCCTCCCCCTCTTCCTCCCTCTCTTTGATCTCCCCCTCCTCTCCCTCTTCCTCCTTCACCACTACTCCCTCTCTTCCCTTGGAAGAAGACGCATCTGCATGCCTATCCCTATCCCTATGCCTATCCCCATTCCTACCCCGATGCCTATCCCCATCCCTATCCCTACGATGGCATTCCGCCTCCTCTGCAGGCTCCTGCTTGGGTCCGAACCAGCCCTTGGGAATACCGACCAGATTTTGAGGCACTGCGGGAACAGACCCATACCCATTCCCGTTCGAATCCCCATCGCTTTGCTTATGGCGTTCCATCCCCTCTGCAGGCTCTTGCTTGGGTCCGACCGAGACCTTGGGAATACCGACCGGTTTCTGAGGCACCTTGGAAAAGGACCTATCAGCATGCCCATCCCTATCCCTAGGCCTATCCCCATCCTCATCCCTACGCCTATCCCCATCCTCATACCTATGCCCATGGCTTTCCACCCCCTCTGCAGGCTCCTGCTTGGGTCCACGCCAGCCCTTGGGAATACCGACCGGTTTTTGAGGCGCTTTCGTAACAGACCCATTCCCACTCCCGTTCGGACCCCCATCTCTTAGCGCATGGCTTTCCATCCCCTCTTCAGGCTCTTGCTTGGGTTGGACCAAACCCTTGGGAATACCGACCGGTTTTTGAGGCGCCTTAGAGAAAGAACCATTCTCAACCCCGTTTGTAACCACGTCCCTTAGCGTATGTCGTTCCATCCCCTCTGCAGGCTTTTGCTTGGGTTGAACCAAACCCTTGGGAATAACGACGGCAGGCGCAAGCAGCAGCCCCACGGAATGAACCTCCCGCAGCTGCTCTCCAGGCTCGGCGATTCCCAAACCCCTAGGCTCGGCATCCCTCACGACGCGAGGCTCGGCGTTACCCAAACCAGTAGGCTCGGCGTACAATACAGCGCGAGGCGCGGAGTGGTTTGGATGGAGGAGCGCAGCGTCTCCGTCGCCACAATGCATTAAGGCCTCGGGTTCAACTTTAATCTCCTTTGCGAAAGATCCGTGCGAGTTCTCGAATCTCCCTGGTGGGATTTCAATCTCCATCCGCCTCTCCCCCTTAGCGAGCTTGACTTCACCCATCTCCTTTCGCTCCATCTCGCCTTTCTCCGGCCTTCTCACTAGATATTCACCTTCCTAAATGTCTACCGTTCTGTGCTAATCGCTGTCCTCCCCTCCCTTCCTTTATCTCCGTGAAAAGCTCTCGTTCGATAAGCCACGAGTTCTTTCCCCTGCTCCCATGAAGAATTTCTTACGCGCATCGGGAGATACCTCATGCTTGTGACGGCTGTAGGGAAGGACTTCGGGAAAGAATGGCGGGGTTCTCGCTACAAACACAAACGATATGTTCTCAAAGCAACCTTGAATATTTTAAAGCTTGCAAAAGTATTCAGAAAATTATTATATCGCTTTTTATGCATGAGTAATAATCACACACTTTCATTGGAAGCGCATCACGTTCCCTCGAAGTATAAAAGAGTTTTAAGTACAGCGCAGTGCATGTTAGGTACGTTGACCCTGCAGCTAATCATCATCTGGCTTGAACCCCTTGATCACTTATCCACTTCCCATGGCAAGCCGCAAAACATACTCTTTCCACTCCTTCGCCCCCGTCCCCTCCTCTTCCTCATCCGAATTCTTCTCCTCTTCCTGAACCATCTCCCTCCTCCCATTCCCCCGTCCTCTCCCCCCATCGTGACCCATACCCTGTGCACCAGTCACAACCCCTCCCCCTGGTGGTGGGTAAGCAAGAAAATTCCCACCGGTACCCGGTTGCATGGCGACGTTTCCGGGTTGCATTGCAATGCTTCCCGGTTGCATGGGAATGCTCCCCGGCTGTATTCTCTCCTCATGAATCCCACCACCCACCACCATCCTTCCATGCATAAACCCACTTGAAAACCCCCCCGTTGCTGCTCCTCCCACCCTTCCTACTCCCGAACCTGCTCCCGTACCTCCCCCCGAGCTTGCTCCCGCACCTCCTCCTCCAAACCCCCCTGCTCCACCCCCCCCTACTCCCACTCCCCCGGGTGCTCCCCCTCCTGCTCCACTCCCCATCTCCCCCACCCCAGGCACCATCCCACCCCCACCTCCCCCCACCTCCGCCCCTCCCACTCCTCCCCCACCTCCCCCTCCCCCACTCCCTCCTCCCTCCACCGCTCCCCTTCCCACAACCCCGCCCGGCTGCCAATCCTTCCAGTCCTTCCAGGTCTTATTCTTAATCATCACCATCGCATCATCAGGGTCCATTAAAGCCAGAACTTCCCTCTGCTGCTCAGTCAGAAACTTAAACGTCCGCCCCTTCCCGCCCTTGAAAACAAAATTCGCCGCTTCAGCTGCCGCCGCCGCCTCCAAAACTTCCTCATACTGCCCGCAGTGGATACTCTTCCCCACGGCGTACCTCTGCCTCTGGTCAGCGTTCATCGAAAGTTTCGCTGCCCATTTCCGGCCGTTTCTCGCCACACCATAGTACCCAGACGCCCAAGAGACATGACTTGAGTTACCGCCCCCACCCCCACCACCAGCACCAGCACCTCCACCTGTTTCGCCCTCCTCTCCTTCTGCTTGATCTCTCTCGTCTGCGCTTGTGGGGGTGCTCTTGGCGGCTTGAGGGGCAGATGGAGCGGCGGCAGGAGGGATGAGGGACAGAGGGGATTCGTGTGGGTTGGGCAGTGGAACCAAGGATAGTGGCTGCTGCTGCTGCCACTGTTGTTGCTGTTGCTGTGATTGCTGTTGCTGCTGTCCCTGCTGCCACTGTTGTTGTTGTTGTTGTTGCTGCTGCTGCTGCTGCTGCTGCTGCTGCTGCTGTCCCTGCTGCCACTGTTGCTGCGGCCACTGTTGCTGTGACAGAGGTTGCTGCAGCCCCTGCCATTGCTGCTGCTGCTGCTGCTGCTGCTGCTGTTGCTGCTGCTGATGTGCTGCTATGCTACCCTGCTGCTGCATTGGAACCTGCCCCATCCAACCATGCGGTTGCATCTGCTGCTGCTGGTGTGCCTGATTCTGATTGTAATTCTGATTCTGGTTCTGCTGCTGCTGTTGCTGCTGCTGCTGTTGCTGCTGCTGTTGCCATTGCTGGGGTAGCGAGAGGCCCACTTGCCCCTGCCACCCCTCCCCTCCCCCCTGCCCCTGCCCCTGCCCTTGCCCCTGCCCCTGTCCCTGCTGTAACCAATTCCTACTGCCACTCGCGTCTCCCTCTTTCCTCTCCTCCTCCTTCGCTCTCAACAGCCCACCCTCCTTTCGCCCCTCCCACCATCCCTGACCAGCCTGCTGCTGCTGCTGCTGCTGCTGCTGCTGCTCATGCTGCTGCTGCTGCTGTTCCTGTTGCGGCTGGTGTTGGTGATGCTGCTGCTGGTGCTGCTGCTGCTCCTGCTGCTGCTGCAGCTGCTGCGGCAAGTGGGCCTGAACAGGTCCCCGCTCGCCTCTCCACTCCTTCCATTCAGCCCACCGCTTCTCCCTGACCAACCAAACAGCAGTATCCGCCCCCATATGCCTCAACATCTCCCTCTGCTCCTCAGTCAGAAACCTAAACTCTCTTTTCCCCTCGCCTTTAAACACATAATAAGCCGCCTCTGCCGCTGCTGCCGCTTCATATAAGTCCTCCCACTGCCCGCAGTGTAGCTTCTGATATACCCCATATAAGGCTCTCTGCTTAGCGTCCATAGGAACCTTCACAGACCACTTCTTACCGTTACGAAACACGCCAAAGTAACCAGACGCGTAACCCTCCCCCGGGGGTTGCGGCAGGGAGGAATGACCTGGCCCTACCCCGTGCTGACCTGGCGCCGAGTCAGCATGGCCCGGCGCTGACTCGCGGTGACTGGGCGCTGAGCTGTGCTGCTCCGGCGTGCCATGTCGGTGAGCTGGAGAACCAATCAGAACGAGAGCTTGCGACGACTCTGGGTAATGCGCCTCCCTCCCATGCTGTGCTCTGTCACGCTGCGTGACGGCATCGCTATACTCATTCTCTCTGCTTGCCACATCTTCATCGCTATACGTGCGTCGAGCCCTCTTCAACTCCGGCCCGCTATCCTGCTCGTGCCCCTGTCCATGCCCCTGCCCATGCCCCTGCCCATGCTCCTGCCCATGCCCCTGCTCATGCCCCCGCCCATGCCCCTGCTCCCGCTCGTGATGCCCCCTCCTGTGCCCCCTCTGCTTCTCCCTCTGTCTGTGATACTCTTGCCCCATGCCTGAGACCATCCCAGTCTCCTCCTCCTCCTGCTCCTCCTCCTCCTCCCTCTTTGCTATCCTCCCAGAGCCTCCTACATGGTCGCTGGGAGGAGAAGCGTTCAGGGAAAGAGACAGGGAGGAAGCAAACTGGTTCTGACTCTGCTGCTTCTGCCCGTGCTGCTTCTCACCCCTTGAAACCACCTCTGCAGCTCTCTCGTTTCCTCCTGCTGTTGCTGCTGCTGCTGCTGCAGGGTTGGAAAAAACGTGCTCTGAGTGAGAAGGAGCCGAGGAAGAGGGAGGAGAGGAGCGGGCAGAGGAGGGATGGCGCATGGGGCTCAACGGGAGGAGGGAGAGAGGAGTATATGCAGGTACAACCTCCGTTCCCTCCCCTCTCCCCCTCCCTCTCCCTTCCTCCTCCTCCATCCCATCCTGCCTTTCCCACCCTTCCTCCTCCTCCTCCCGGCCCCTCTCTCCCCTCCCTTCTCCCATCCCCACCTTCCATCCCCCCTCTCTCTCCTCCCCTCCCTCCACAAACCATCCCGTCCCATCCCCCTCCTTTCCCGGCCGCCAGTCCCTCCACACCTTCCACCTCCTCTCCTTGATAATCCTCACTGCCTCATCCGGACCCATCTGCCTCAGCCTCCTCTTCTGCTCTTCACTCAGCAATCTAAACTCGATCTTCTCCCCTTTTAGAACCAGATAAGCCGCCTCTGCTGCGATTGCAGCCTCCCCCACGTCGTCCCATACCCCGCAGTTGAGAATGTGGCCTACAGAGTAGCTCGCTCGCTGCTTCATGTTCATTGAGAGTTGAACCGCCCACTTCCGACCGCTCTTCACCACTCCCAGGTACCCTGAGGCTGGCCTTGGCCCGTGATTTGCTGGGTTTGATGCAGCTGCTGCTGCTGCGGCTGCTGCTGCTGCGGTGGTTTCTGTAGCAGCGGCTGCAGCTGCAGCAGCAGCAGACTGCACGTCTGCTGTGGTACCACCGGGTATAGCAGCAGCTGTAGCACCGGCAACAGCAGCAGCGTGCGGATCAGGGGTATGAGCAGGTGAATGTGCAGGTGGGACCACACTCCCTGGCGTGGGGACCGACAACCAAGGGAAGGGTGAATTGCTGCCCGCAGTAGCAGGAACAGCAGCTGTAGTAGCAGCAATAGGACCAGTAGAGTTGATGATAGGATGAGGCAGAGGAGGAAGGGGAGAAGAAAAAGGAGGACGGGTGATGCCGGGAGCAGCAGCAGCGCCACCAGAGCCAACGCCATCAGCAGCAGAAACAGCACCACCACCAACCGCCTTCACTCCCCACGATAAACCCATACTGCCACTCTGCGACCCACCACCATCGCCGCTGGCGCCGCCACCACCACCACCCAAAGAAGCCCCACCTAAAGAATCGACTCCTAGCGAGCTCTCTTCTAGCCCTTTACTCTTGAGCGCACCGAATGAAGATCCCAGCATCTCTCTTATCCTCGCCACTCGCTGATGCTGGCTGAATGACTCATGCGGCCATGCCTCGTTATGAGCTGACTCGTTAGAGGAGAAGAGCGGGAGAGTGGTCGCGGTGGGGGTGGGTGGAGTGGGAGAGGCAGGGGCGGGAGAGGGAGCGGCGGTAGGGGGTATGGTGAGAGTGGTGGCAGTGGCAGGAGGAGGGGTAGTGGCACTAGCGGGAGCACCAGCAAGGCCAGCAGCAACAGCAGCGGCAGCAGGACCACCAGCAGCAGCAGGAGCAGGAATGATGGGAGGGGCAGGAGGAACTATGGGAGGAAAGAGGCCTAGAGTGCCCCCATGCTGTTGCAGGAAGGCCTGGGGGGGAGGGAGCAGAGACGGGTGCAGAGGAGGAGGGTGCAGAGGCGGAGTGGACGCAGGTGGGAGGGAGAGAACGAAGCTTGGTCCCTGCTGGTGTGCCTGCTGCTGTTGCACCTGCTGTTGACTTTGACCCTGCTGACTCAGCACATTGTCCTGCTGACTTGGCAGGCCCTGCTGCTGACTCACAGGAGCAGCAGCAGCAGCAGCAGCAGGAGGGGGGGGAACAGAGAAGGGGCGGGGCATGGCCAGCAGCTCTCGGATCGATGCCACTGGCTGATGCTGCTGCATCGTGGGTGTGCCTTGCTGCAGCGAGGGTGGGCCTTGCTGTGATCCCACGAAAGAGGGAAAAGGCACTGGATGGGATGGGGTGGGTGCTGCGACAAGGGGAGGTGGAACAATCGGAGGAGGAAAAGGAGGAGCGGAAAGAGGCGGAGCAGGAAGGGACGGGGTGGGAGGAGGTTCAGAGTAAAACTGCAGTGGCTGTTGGGCGTTCAGGTCGAGTTTCAATCCCCGCGGTTCTTGTTCCTTTTGAGGCGCCTCAAAAGTCTTCAATCCCCGCGGTTCTTGTTCCTCTTTTTCCGCTTTCTCCCGCATCCCATCCTGTTCTCGCTCCCTGCCCTTCCGCCCTTCGTCTTCCTGCTGGCGTCTCTCCTTCTCCTGCTGCTCCCTCTCTTTCTCCCTCTCCTTCTCCCTCTCTTTTTCCCTATCTTTCTCCCTCTCCTTCTCCCTCTCCTTCTTAATCACCTCCCTAACCTTCTCCTCCTCTTTTTCCCTCTCTCTCTCCCTCTCTCTTTCCCTCTCCTTCTCCCTTTCCTTCTCCCTCTGCTGCTCCCTCTCCTGCTCGCTCTCCTCCTCCCTCTGCCCATCCGCATGCCTCCCCTCCCACCCCTCATGCCACTCCAACATCATCGGCTCACCCTCCTGACTCTCCCCCTCTCCCTGCCCATCCTGCCCCTCATTTCCCTCCCCCTGCTTCTCCTGCCCAGCCCCATGCCCCTCATTCCCCTCCCCCTCCCCCTCCCCCTGCCCCTCCTGCTGCGCTCCCCCCACCCCATGCCCATCCCCACCCTCCGCCAGCCCCATCCCCTTCACCCACCCAGTTCTCCCCGGCTGCCATACATTCCACTCTCTCCACCTCTTCGCCTTGATCAGCCACATGCCCTCATCCGGATCCATCTCCCCTAGCACCTCCCTCTGCTGCTCAGTCAGAAACTTCCACGTGCGCCCCTTCCCTCCCTTGAAAACAAAACAAGCCGCTTCGGCCGCGGCTGCTGCGTGTTCCACCTCCTCCCACTGCCCGCAGTGCATGTTCTGGCACACACCGTACCGCGCCCTCTGTTGGGAGTTCATAGAGACTTTCGCGGACCATTTCCGGCCGTTCCGAGACACGCCTGGGTACCCTGAGAAATGCCATGAACGCCCACTGGTACCGTGGTGATTCCCATTTCCACCACTTGTTCCGCCTCCTCCTCCTCCTCCTCCTCCTCCCCCTCCTCCTCCTCCTCCTCCTCCTCCTCCTCCTCCTCCGCTTCCCCCACCACCAGCACCACCAGCACCACCCCCGCCGCTGCTGTGCCCGTCCCCACGGCCGTGGCCTCCTGAGTTGTGACTCTCACTGCCCTGCGCTGCTGCTACCGCTGCTGCTGCTGTGCTCCCATTCTGTGCCTCCTGCCCTTGGTATTCCAAGTAACCCTGCCCTTGCTGCTGCTGGTTGTAGTGCTGGTACAGGTGATGCTGCTGCTGCAGCTGCTGCTCCCGCGCGTCCGCCTCTGCATCCTCTCTGGTCTTCTTCCCAGGGCTCCCTTCCACGCCCTTGCCTTTGCTCCTGCGCCTGCTCCTGCCCAGCCCCTTCCCTCCCTTACCAGCACCCCCACTCCCTATTCTATGCTCCTCACCCGCCCCATACACTCCTCCTGCAGCGACTAGCGCGCGCTCATGCTCATGCAACTCATTCCCCTCGTAGCCAGTATTCCCCTCGTAGCCAATATCCCCTTCATAGCCTGTTTCCATAGGCGCTACCGCTAGCTCCATCCCAGACAGTCTCTCCTCACCCGCAAGCCCAGCAGCCGCAGCAACCCCAGCAACCCCCGCAGCCCCAGCTGCCCCAGCTGCCCCAGCAGCTGTAGCAACCCCAACTGCTCCAGCTGCCCCAGCTGCACCAGCAGCTGTAGCAGCCATTGCAGGAACCCAGGGATTCTCCTCCTGCTCTGCTGCGTGCCTGCAGAACTCCACCAGCCGTTGCTTCTGAAACTGAGCCGGTAGGTGCTGGGGCAGGGCGGCAGGCATGCCCCACTGCCACTCGCTGCCGGCTGTAGCACCTGCTGTGGCAGCGGCTCTTGCCCCGCCTGTAGCACCGGCTGTAGCGCCGGCTGCAGCGGCGGCTGTAGCAGCGGCGTCTACAGCTGTGGCGAATCTAGCCGGGCCTAAAATTGCAGCGGCGTCTGCTGCCGCTGCTGCCGCTGCTTCTGCTGCTGCAGCTGCTACTGATTCTGCAGCAGAGACAGCAACTAAAGCACTGGTAACAGGGTTACCAGTAGACCCAAGCTGCAAGACCTCTGTAGTATCATCCTCGCTAGTGTCACTAACACTGGATTCACTATCATCCCCAGAATCACTGCTTGCAGTAGCAACACGCCTCGTTTCATCTGCCGACTCCTCTGCTGTCTGAACTCCCTTCTGCTCTTCGTTCTGCTCTCGCTTCGGCGTGCGCCTCTGCTCCCGCCTCTGCTTCCTCCTCTGTGCGCGTCTGTGCTCCCGCCAGGCATCCATGACCCCAGTCCAGGCCACCATGCGGCCATGCCATGCGCGCATGATGCCATCCCATGCATGCATCCGCTCATCCCACTCGCGCATCTTCCTTCCCTCGTTCCTCTTTGTAACTAACCCCTCCACAACCCCGCCCACACCCCCTGCAGCTAAATCCGCTGCACCAGGAGCAACAGCAGCAGGAGTCGCAACAGCTGCAACAGCAGGAGCATCTGCAGCAGCTGAAACGGTAAGTTCCGAGCTATCCTTAGCTGCAGCTAAACCCGTTTCTTCAAGCTCCACTTTTTCAGTCGAAGCCAAACCGACCTGGTGCTTCCCTTTACCACCCTCGCCTTCCTCCTCCGCAACTTCTTGCCTTCCCTTCTCTCCTCTCCCTTCTGCCACGTGGCTCTCGTCTCCAATGTTCTCATCTATAATCATTGCATCTCTGCCTTCCATCCTCTCCCCTCCCTCCTCTACCCTCTCCTCCTTTCCTTCCTCCACTCCCTCCTCCTCTTTCCCCTCCTCCTCTCCCTTCTTCTCCTTCCCTCCCTCCTCTCCCTTCTCCCCCGTCTCTCCCTCATGTCCCTCCTCCTTCTCTCCCTCCTCTCCCTTCTCCACCGTATTTCGCTCCTCTCTCCTCTCCACCTTCCCTTTCTCCATCTCCTCCTCTCTCCCCCCATTCTCCTCTCCCTTCCCCTCTCCGTTCTTCTCATCTACCTCCATCCCTGCAGCGTCGCTAGCAGCACCGACCTGTTTCCCCAAGCCTCTCTCTTTTCTTCCCAATTCCCCTGCCTCACCATTCCCAGCTTCATCTCGAACTCCCACTTCACCCACCTCCTTCTGGCTGTCAACCTCCATCCCCTTGTCTCCCATATCTTTGCCACCCTCTACTCCTGTCCCCCTCTCCACGGCTCTTTCTCCGCCCACACCCCTCTCGTCCTTCTCACCTGCCTCCTCATTTTCACCACTCCCATCACCCCCAGCTGTCCCCTTGCTCTCCTCAAACTTCTCATCCCTCTCCTCTCCTCCCTTCCTATTCTCAGCCAGCACCCTTTCCTCATCGGACCTTTCTTCACCCTTCTTCTCCAACTTCTCATCATCGCTTTGACTCGACTCAATGGGCTCCTCCCTTCCCACCAGCACTCCCTTGTCATCGCGCCCATCGACCCTTTTCTTCTCCTTCTCCTTCTCCTTCTCCTTCTCCTTCTCCTTCTCCTCCTCCTCCTCCTCCTCCTCCTCCTCTTCCTCCTCCTCCTCCTCCTCCTCCTCCTCCTTCTCCTCCTCCTTCTCATCCTCCTTCTCCTCCTCCTCCTTCTCATCCTCCTTCCCCATCCTCTCCTCCTCCTTCCCCACCTCTTGCTGCTCCACTCCTACTCTCTCCCCATTACCAGCAGGCACAACACTGACGATTCCATTGGCAGTCTGTAGAGCCTCCCCCAGCTGAGGCACATCAGCAGCAGCAGAGGCTGACTTCTCCTCCTCCTTCCTCACCCCCCCCTGCTCTCCGCATATCTCCCCCCGATGCTCCACGCCTATATCGTCCTCCTCAATGCCCGCACGCACAACACTGACGATCCCACTGGCAGCCAGTAGGCTCTCGCTTGCAGGAAGCACAGCAGCAGCCGAACCTGACTCATCAGCCTCGCACGAAACCACCTCAACCACTGGCAGTGGCGGTGGCGGCAGCGGCTGCTGAGACAAATCAGCGTCAATAGATACCACGGTCACAGCACGAGGATCGATCTGTGCCGCGGCAAATGGAGGCGGCGCAACAGGCAGAGCAGGGGAGATCGGCCCACATGCGAGCGCAGGCGGCTCAACGACAACGACAGCATTCAACGGCACTGGCCTCTGGGTTGCATCGGGTGCAGGCGGTTCAACGCACACTACGGCATTCACTGGCATGGTGATTTGAGTCAAGCTCAAAGCAGGCGCCTCAATGCAAACAACAGCATCCGCAGCCGGCGACTTATCAGTCGACTCCAGAGCAGGCGGTTCAACGCACACGACTGCGTCTACTGGCAGTGGTTTCTGAGTTGAATCGGGTGCAGGCGGCTCAACGCACACAACTGCGTCTACTGGCAGCATCACACGCTGTCCCTGCTGGGGAAGCTCCCCTGCAGAGACCACCTCAACCACTGGAGAGAGATGCTGTTCCTGGTGCTCCTGATGCTCCTCCTGATGCTCCTCCTGGTGCTCCAGGTGCTGCTGGCGGCCTGCGTTCTTCTCCTTATTTGCAGATACCACATCCGCCAACGGCTGTGATGATTGCTTCTCATCCTCCTCCTCCCCCTGCTGCTGCTCCTCCTGGTTCCTTTGTCTTCCGTGTGCCTTACCCTCCCCTTGGGTGATACCCGTTTTCGCCTTGCTGCTCTTTACATCGCCCTGCGCATTACCTCCCGACACACCGTCGGTTTCAATGCGACTGCCCCCCACACGCTCTCTCTTCACAACTCCGCCTTCCCTCATCCCCCCCTCCATCTCTTCCGCCTCTCCCTGCACCTCCTCCTTCTCTCCAGCAGAACCCGCCGCTTCCTCCTTCCCCTTCCAAACACCCACTTCAGCCTTCTCCTTCACCTCTTCCTCCGCCTCCCCTTCCCTCTCCGCTAGATCTTCCGCCTCCCCCTCCCCTTCCGCGGACTCTCCCGCGTCCCCCTTCCCCGCCGCTACTGCAGGCGGAGACCCCGAGATGTCAGCAGGCGGAGCGATCGTACGCGGTATTAACTCCTGGTCAGCATCTCGAAGAGCTTTTTCCGCAGTAAGAGGAGCGGTAGCGAATGCAAGGGGACCGGACGGGTGACGGGACGAACCGACACCGTCAGATGCGTCAAGGTGCTGACGTGTTGGATCGCTGATGTCCTTGGTGCTGGTACTGACGAATGCTGTCACTGTCGCGGCCATGAAATCCGCGTTAGAAGCTGACGGTGTACCGCTATTAGCAACAGCCGCATCTGCACGGTCAAGAATCGTTGCTCCCTTTCCATGCACATTTGTCGAACGAAGAAGCGAAGCGGCAGGAACCTTCTCGGATTCTTCATCCACGTCGACCGTACCGCCATCGGTCGTACCCTCTATCCCGATCTTTGATACTGCAAACTCTGGTTTGGGGGTGTCAGAGTCCCCCTTAGCATTCTCCGCTCGCAGGGCTGGATCCGTGTCATTGTCATCCTCCTTAATATCACTCTCGTTGTTACCCCGCTCGTTGGTCACGATACGGTTGTCGTCTGCACGGCTCATCTCAACCGGACTAGTGAGCCTCGGTCTCTTGACTCCGCCGTTCCCCTGCGCTTCTTCTTCTCCATCTTCTCGCATTGTTCCGTTCGTTTGTACTTCACGCCGGTCCGAATCGTCGCAGCTCAAACTCCTCCTCCGTTTCTCTCCAAGAGTAACAGTCCTTTCGTTACCGCCGTTTCCGCTTGGATCAACCGAGTCGCTCGTCACAGTATGCGCTTCTGAGGTAGGTATTTCCACGGAGTCCTTATCAGTGTGTTCGGTCGGAGGCAAGTCGGCATCGACAGGTCCACCCATGATATATCGCCGATTAATTTCGGAAGGACCAGCAAAATGTTATGGCTTCTCCGCCGATTAATCTCTCCGTATATATTTCCACTGCTCAATAGTTACCCGCAAAGGATCCTAAATTAGCATGTTTTCACGAACATCCTGGTAGTAACTTGATCAAGACCTGGTCCGAGCTACGTGGTAAGCATAGCGGCGAACCGGCAAAGAAAGTTGTCCTATGAGACAAGCTACGCAAGTCATCCGTGAAAATCGGAGACCAAGAAATCACAGCAAGAATAGACTTAGTAGGCATTGCAAGCAAGATTAGATCAGAGGGTACTTGAGCCAACCAACTTTCATCCAACATCACCCTCCTACGATGTCCCAGGAGACCAACAAGGGTTTCTTAGGTTGCTGCTAGAAAACGACAAGTTAGCACAGGATAGCATAGGTTAGCGAAGGTTAGCATACATCATACATAGCCTAATCCACAGGTTAGGCGAAAGAGGATCTCCTACCCCTCATTGTAGGAACCCTGTGGTTCGTTGAACCGCGTTAGTATTTCGTCTTAGTGGTCAAGAAGCTTTCGCACAAGCGTTCGCTGTGCGGGAACAGAAGTTCCCGCGACTTGACGAACGCTCGCAAGAGTCGCGAGCCAATTAGAGGCGGAAATACGGCTTTATCGGCATTCCCAAACCTATTACACATAAGCCGACGCTCACTGTTCATTGGAAACGCCAGCACGTCTATTACATTGGTCTTGTCGGGTTCTGGTGACTTCTAGGGGGAATACAGCAAGGATGGTCATACGTTGAATAGCACAGTCGAAAGCTTCATTTACCTTGCATCATACAGAAACCACTGTCTCCATCTCTGCTAGGGCAGTGCGGGCGGTCTATAGGCGTGGCGGCAAAGGAGTGGGAGCGTCGCAAAACGGGGGATTACGCGCCTCTTCTTGCACGGAACCGAGGCGTGCAGTTCACCCCTTTGATAGTGGAGACGTGGGGGTGTCTCGGCGGTCGCTTCCGGCGGTGGCTTCGACAGCAGGGGGACGCGCACGTGGGGCTAGCTGTGTCACGGGGGGCTTGTCGGGAGGATGACACTTCGTTCTCGGCTTACCTTTTGGGGTCTCTGAAGGCGCTCATCGGAGTGGCGTTACAACGGGCGCAAGCTCGTGTCATCCTGCTTCGGGCGGCGTCTTCCATGGGGGGGTTGAATGTGGACTTGGTGGATCGGGAGAGGGACGATGTCGAGGTGGAGGGCGGGCCTCTTTGGGTGGAGGCCCCCTACATGGTGGATGTGCAGATGTGACTTGGGGGGGAGGGGGGGGGGGCGAGGGGGAATGGGGTGCGAGATGGGACGTCTGGTAGGGGATCCTGGTTGGGTTTTTTCTTTATAGAGTATTTTTATGGGGCTTTTTATGGGTGTTGCGTTTGAGTTGTTTCTGGTGTCTTTCTTTCCCGTTCCTCTCCTCTTGTGCGATGCTTTTCTTTGTAAAGATTATGTGTCTGTTGTCTTTCCATGAAGTAATTCTGGGTGTGAAAAAAAAAAAAAAAAAAGAAATGCTACACGGTGAGTGCTTGCTTCAATAATGAACCCTATTAAAATGTTAATTATAAACGAACACAATTTACTTTTTTTTTTTCGAAGAACATGCAATATAAGATAAATGTATATCAGGTCAGTACTAGTGTCAGCATAATATAATCATCTACGTGTTTGCACTAAAAATAATGCTGTTGTTAAAGGGGGATTTACTGTTCCCTTTGAACAGTACTTTCCCAACCCATCCAACTCATCCTTATCCTTATCTTCTTGGATTTCCTAGTGCCACGTGGCACTCTACTTTTCTAGCTTCACAATTCCTAGTCCCACAATCTACTTTCCAACCTTGTTTCTTGCATGCTATATAAACCTTGCTTGTATTCCCTCATATCAACCAATTCTCATTCAATTCTTCTCCAATTACCCAGTAACTTCTTCACCTCTTTCGCCAACACTCTTTTTCGTCAAAGTCTTCCGCCGCGTTTATCCTCGACTTAGTCGAACCCGCTTATTCTTTAGAGGACTTATGCCGTAGGGCCTAACACTATAGAGAAGTGCATCATACTCCCCTGGGAATGGCGAGATGCTCACTTCTCGTCCACGTCGCCATTGAATTCGCCGTGCTTCGCAGGTTTCTCACTTGGCGCATACCATACCCAACCCTTTTACTCTGCTGTAAAACGTTTTGAAACTACTTGAACCGCAGGAAAGTGACCTCGCATAATTTCCTTCGGCTTCGTGGACCTCAACACTCCTGAAAGAATTTGTTTCGACTTTCTGGCTGCGAAATTCTGTCAGTGTCAGAATGGCCAGGCGAAAGCCAACCCCCTCTCCTCCCGCTCAGGTTTCTCGGATCACAGACTTCATGGCTCCTTCCTCAAGCAAAAGAAACAGAACTAGCCATTCAAACCATCAACAAACTGAAGAAACTAGCGTCACGGTGGCGCTAGACTCAGCAGCCATGGAAAATGCTCCTGAAGTTCGTGAACCTGCCACGAACGGAGAAGAAACCCAGACGGAAGACAGAAATGTGCCAGATCCCGTCACTGTCTTGACGAAGTACTTCGGTTATGTCAGGTTAGCGTCGATTATTTGTAGGCAAATGCGGGTATTGAAAATCGAAGTAAACCGTTTGCTTGCTGTCTTGATGCAGTTTTCGCGGGAATCAGGAAGAAGTTATCAGAGCCGTTTTATCAGGTACTTACCCTGTACTGAGCGCATCCTTGGCACAGCGTCGCGATTCTTCCACAAAACGTGTGATGGCTCTACGGAATCGCCGTGAGAGTCCTAAATCCTCCTGATATATCAGTGATTGCTCGGTTTCAGGGTCTGACTGCTTCTGCATAATGCCTACCGGGGGTGGCAAGTCGCTGTGTTATGAAATTCCTGCGCTGATGCAACCGGGTGTCGCCATCGTCGTCTCTCCGCTCATTGGTCAGCGAGCCTCGCACCATACGCTCCGTGCCATTCCTCTTCGCTTCGCTTCGTCCCCTTTTAAACTGCAGTTTTCCTGCTGAAACAGTGTTCCCGTGCTGCTGCTAGTTCCGTCATCTTCCACGAATTGACGTCAAGCTTTTGTGAATTGATACAGTTCCTCACCCCTCCTGAGATACTCAAGGTTCTTAAAAATTTTAAGACGTCACTTTGGTCTCTTCTTACCACTCCCGCATGTTGCAGCGTTGATGCAGAATCAAGTGGAGTCTTTAAGGAAGAAGAACATACCTGCCGAGTATCTCTCTTCATCCATCTCTGCTGCACGGCGGGCAAATGTAACATGCAAACACACACTTCTCATATTCCATTTCAGCTGCATGCATGCTAGCCTCTTTCGTCTCCTTGCCTAACCGTACTGCCATTCTCGTCCGTTCAGATTCTTGCTGATCTGGGGAATGGACGGCCAGCACTGAAGCTGCTGTATGTGACCCCGGAAGCAGTGGACACGCACACCATAATGAGTGTCTTCAGGAAGCTTCATGACAGAGGGCTTCTCAGCCTCTTCGCTGTAGATGAGGTGAGGTGAATAGGTTTGGTAAAAAAACAATTAGAGGTTTTACAGATAGATAACAACGGAGATGTTTCCCGGTTTTTTTTGCAGTACATGTGCTTCCTGCTTTAGAAACGTGACACTGGAAGCAGTGGACGGCACACACTGTACTAAGCTGTTGAAGGAAGCTCCACGGGTAAAGGCTTCTCATTGTTCCTCACGTGTGTTTCGACCATTCTGGTGCAGGCCCATTGCATTTCATCATGGGGACATGATTTCAGGCCTGCATATCGCAGACTCTCCTCTCTTCGACAACGATTCTCCAATGTTCCAATCCTCGCTCTCACCGCCACGGCTGTTGCAAAGTAGGTACACAGTATACCCAGACCTTGAAGTTGTCCTGCCCAAAGCAGACCGTGACCCTCTCTAGACAGGCCTTGGCGCTCCCTTTTCCGTGACGCAACACTTCCTTGCGACTTTCTTTGTCACACGAACCTGCTTGTTGCTCCTCTCGGTGCCTAGGTTGGACACAGCGCTTATCCTGTGCTTGGTGTGCGAGCTGCGAGTGACTTGACCTGTTTGATGGTTGGTGTGTGTGGGCAGGGTGCGAGAGGACATTGTGTCATCTCTCTGCCTTCGCAACCCTACAACCCTGATCTCCTCCTTCAACCGACCCAACATCTACTACGAAGGTGAGCGTGCGTGGATCCATGCAAGGGTTCACGTGTTCACGCCGTGCTGCTTCCGACCTCCTGTTGAGGTTCGTTCCCATCCCCCATTCATCCCTCCCCCCACCAATGCACTACAGGGACCTCAAGGACCCATACAAAATCTTGCAGGCGCTGGCGTTTCCCTCGTCCCGCTGTGGTTCCTTCTCTTCTCGCTGCATACCGGTGCAAAGCAAGGCCACCTAATCCCTCCCTCACTCAGTGTGCTACAAGGACCTCATGGATCCGTGCAAGGACCTGCGGGTTGTGCTGCCGCTCTCTGTGCACAGCTATCTCCCACCTAACAAGCTGTGCTGTGTTGGCACCCTCTGCCTCCTCCCACCTCCCCCACCCAGTGCGCTACAAGGACCTCATGGACCCGTACAAGGACTTGCGCGACACCCTGCTGGCGTCGAAGCAGCAGTGCGGCATCATCTACTGCCACTCCCGCAGCACCTGTGACGAGCTGGCCTGCTGGCTCACCCGCGACGGGCTCAAATGCAAAGGTGAGCGCTGGGGTGGGGTAAAGTGAGGGGGAAGGGGAGGAGGGACTCTGCCGCAGCACCTTTGGATCAGAGGGGAAAGGGAATGGTGGGCAGTGGGGGGAGGACTGGAAGGGACGGGCGTGGGGATGGAGAAGGGATGGGGGAAATAGCTTTAGGAGTGGGGCGGTGAGCGGTTTGGCTGGGGATGCGGTGCCTCTGTGTGTGTGTGTGGCTGCATTGATCTGCTGCCGTCAAAGCAGCGCGTAAGGTGGGATGAAGGAGGAATGGAAAGGAGGTGAGTAAGGAGAGGGGGAATGGGTTTCCTGTGTGTGTCCCCCATTTCACACCCCCTGCAACATACCATGCACTGTCAGCTGCACAGTTTGCAAGGGACATTTTTGGCAATCCTTAGAAATTTCTCGCAGAAAAATATGGTCGGCTGAGGCTGCTCTGTCTTTGCCTGTGTGTGCCTGTGTGTGCCTGTGTGTGCTGTGCCCCACATGATCTTCCTCTCCTCTCACACCCACTGCTCCCTGCAGTGTACCATGCAGGGCTGTCCACCGCAGCTCGCACAGAAGCACTGGACGATTGGTCGCGAGGAAAGATCCCTATTATGATTGCCACTCTCTCTTTCTCTCTGCCTGTTTGAGTCCGCATTGACACCTCGCCTCGCTCTTTCTGGTTGCTCTCCTGCAGTGTACCATGCAGGGCTGTCCACCGCAGCTCGCACGGAAGCACTGGAGGACTGGTCACGAGGGAAGATCCCTATTATGATTGCCACTGTCGCCTTTGGGTACGTCACGCCGCGCTCACATCATCATTACAACTCTAGTTTTCTTGCCTCCATCGCCTTTGGGTTTGTCACGGCTTTGATTTTCTGTGCATAATAGCCAGGAGCTCCATTTTCGTTCCTCATATCTTTCCCTTTCTCCATTCTGTCTTTCTTCTCTGCTGTTGTTTCTGCTGTTTTTTGCCATGCAGAATGGTAAGCCGGTCCCATGTCTTGAGTCCCTCTCTCCACACCCACATCAGTTAAGATCAATCAACAGCCAGAAAGAGCATCGTCTATCGTGGAGCAAGTATCTGCTTGAAGATTGCCTGGAAACCTGCTGCCCGGCTGCATTACTGTTTTGAAGCGTAACTCACCTTAGCTGGTTCTTTTCTGTCAGGCATGTGGCTGGATTTGACTCCATCTGACCACATCAGGGCCCATCTGATCGGACTCGACTGAATCTGACTGAAGCGGACTGCACCTTACTTCACCTTATTTCACCTGACTGCACCTGACTGGAACTGACGGTTTTAATGAATCGGAATGCATGCGCCTGACTGCTTTCGACCCCATCCGACTGCATCTGACTGCTTCGTCCTGCATCGGACTCCAGTTGATAGGATCTGACTGAATTCGACTGCATGTGACTACATATGACTGCACTGACTGATTGGATCTGAGGGAATTTGACGCTCATAATCCCTGTCCTTTACTCCCTCCCCTCCCTGCAGGGCATTGACCGTGGGATAGTGCGGCTGGTGTGCCATTACTCCCTGCCCAAGTCAATCGAGGCGTTCTACCAGGAGTCGGGGCGGGCAGGCAGGGACCAGCAGCCCAAGGTTGAGTCGAGGCGTGTTATAAACCGTCCCCTGCACTTGTCTCACTACCGGCAGGGCATTGACCGTGGGATAGTGCGGCTGGTGTGCCATTACTCCCTGCCCAAGTCCATCGAGGCCTTCTACCAGGAGTCGGGGCGAGCAGGCAGGGACCAGCAGCCGTGCCGCAGCATTCTGTACTATGGCGTGCAGGACAAACGAACCATGGTGGGTGGCGGTATATTCGTATGGAATCAAACTGAAGGTGAGATGTTGCCACGCAAGCCAGCCAACCTTGCAGGCAACAGCAGCCGTGCCACAGCATTCTGTACTACGGCGTGCAGGACAGGCGAACCATGGTGAGTGGCGGTATATTCGTATGGAATCAAACTGAAGGTGAGATGTTGCCATGCAAGCCAGCCAACCTTGCAGGCAACAGCAGCCGTGCCGCAGCATTCTGTACTACGGCGTGCAGGACAGACGAACCATGGTGAGTGGCGGTATATTCGTATGGAATCAGACTGAAGGTGAGATGTTGCCACGCAAGCCAGCCAACCTTGCAGGCAACAGCAGCCGTGCCGCAGCATTCTTTACTATGGCGTGCAGGACAAACGAACCATGGTGGGTGGCGGAATATTCGTATGGAATCAGACTGAAGGTGAGATGTTGCTACGCAAGCCAGCCTACCTTGCAGGCAACAGCAGCCGTGCCACAGCATTCTGTACTACGGCGTGAAGGACAGGCGAACCATGGTGAGTGGCGGTATATTCGTATGGAATCAAACTGAAGGTGAGATGTTGCCATGCAAGCCAGCCAACCTTGCAGGCAACAGCAGCCGTGCCGCAGCATTCTGTACTACGGCGTGCAGGACAGACGAACCATGGTGAGTGGCGGTATATTCGTATGGAATCAAACTGAAGGTGAGATGTTGCCATGCGAGCCAGCCAACCTTGCAGGCAACAGCAGCCGTGCTGCAGCATTCTGTACTATGGCGTGCAGGACAGACGAACCATGGTGAGTGGCGGTAAATTCGTATGGAATCAGACTGAAGGTGAGATGTTGCCACGCAAGCCAGCCAACCTTGCAGGCAACAGCAGCCGTGCCGCAGCATTCTGTACTATGGCGTGCAGGACAAACGAACCATGGTGGGTGGCGGTATATTCGTATGGAATCAGACTGAAGGTGAGATGTTGCCACGCAAGCCAGCCTACCTTGCAGGCAACAGCAGCCGTGCCACAGCATTCTATACTATGGCGTGCAGGACAGACGACCCATGGTGAGTGGGGCAGAGATCCTGCCAAACAGGCAGGGACAAGCAGCTAAGCTGACAGGAACCAAGCAAAGCAGACGGGGACCAGCAGCCCAGCCGCAGCATTCTGTACTATGGGATTGACGACGAACTATGGTGAGTGCGGGCCTCATCAAGTGCAATGAAACCTGTTGGGTATCTTTTAGAATTCTCAAAAATACCCTGCGTTTTTGGACGTTCCTTGTCAAGCCAGCCTGGCAGGGATCCACAGCTCTGCCATAGCATTCTGCATAATGGTGTACAGGACAGTCGAACCATGTCGAGTGAGGCAGGGACAAGCCAGGCTTGCATGGACCACCAGCCAACCAGCACTTTGTAATAGAGCGTGCAGGACAGGCAAACCGTGGTGAGTGAAGCAGGGCCCAAGGCAGGGACCACCAAACAGAGCGCCGTGCTGTGGGGTGAATCCCACTGTCGGTCATCCCCGCATTTTCTCCTCCTCCCCATCCCAATTCTCCCCTCCACCACTCCCCGTGCCTCCAGGAATTTATAATAAAGAAGGACGACGGGTCACGGGGCAAAGGCCCGCCACAACCTCAGCGAATCAAGAATGCCCTGGATGCCTTTCAAAAGGTTTGATTGAACAAGAGACATCTTCTTACGCAGTACTCAGCAAACTCAAGTGCCCTTGGTGGTTGTTCTGTCATGAGGTTTTATTTAGTTTGCTCTTTATTGCATGGAATCGTGGTCCTGAAAATCGTGGTTCCTTGTTTGTATCGAATGCGTCAGATGGTGGACTATTGCGAGCTCCTGTCATGCCGCCGAATGAAGTTGCTGACACATTTCGGAGAGACGGTAAGTGCTCGAGGCCCTAAAACATTCTTTTCTTTCAAATGCTTCAACACCATATTCTAAAGAGGCAGTAAATGCCGCATGGCATCTGCCACAGCATGTGCAATTCTTTACGCACCACAGAGTTTATTTCAGAGAGGCGGAAACAACAGAACTTGATTCTCTTCCGTCTCTTCCTGCAGGCCACCCCAAGGCTGTGTGCAGGGGGCTGTGATGTGTGCAAGACGCCACACACAGTGAAAGCGGCTCTTCAGGAGCTTCGGGAGAGTGGTGCCGTGGGGGGCAGCGGTGGCGGCATGCAGCCAAGGGTGCAAATGGGCAGGTGTGTATACGTGGGGGGGAACTTAGGCTTTTGAATCGACTCAAGTCTCTTCAGGAGCTTCGGGAGAGTGGTGCTGTTGGGGGCAGCGGCGGTGGCATGCAGCCAAGGGTGCAAATGGGCAGGTGTGTGAAAGGGTTAACAGAGAAAGGGGTGGGGTTCGTTTGGGGAAGTGGAGCGGGTAGACAGGCAAACTGTAGTTCTTGTTTGTGTGTGTGGCTGTAATTCACTTTCTTCATTTCTTGTCATCATGTGGGTCAGGGCACCACTGTCCAGCAAGTTGAAGGATCTGGTGGAGAGCGAGTTCTGGAAGAGGGATGATGAGGAGGAGGAGGATGAAGGCACATAGGAGCGCATTCAGTCTCGTCTCACACTCACTGTATTGTTATACCCTTCTTCTCGCAGGGCGCCATTATCCAGCAAGTTGAAGGATCTGGTGGAGAGCGAGTTCTGGAAGAGGGATGTTGAGGAGGAGGAGGATGAAGGCACATAGGAGCGCATTCAGTCTCGTCTCACACTCACTGTATTGTTATACCCTTCTTCTCGCAGGGCGCCATTATCCAGCAAGTTGAAGGATCTGGTGGAGAGCGAGTTCTGGAAGAGGGATGATGAGGAGGAGGAGGAGCCTGAGGAGAGCATCTCCGGCTCTGATGGTGAGAGCACATGATGTGGCCATGTGCCATCCTGATGCGTATGTGGTGATGTGTCATTTTGATGAGGAGGGGGAGCCTGAGGAGAGCATCTCCGGGTCTGATGGTGAGAGTGCATGATGTGCCATTGTATGTTCCCGTGTGCCATTCTGTTGCATATGTGCCCATGGCCACCATTCTCATGGTGAGAGCATGCAAGCATGTGCCATTCTCATGGTGAGAGCATGCAAGCATGTGCCATTCTCATGGTGAGAGCATGCAAGCATGTGCCATTCTCATGGTGAGAGCATGCAAGCATGTGCCATTCTCATGGTGAGAAAGCATGCAACAATGTGCCACACTGGTGGCGCTTCACCATGAATGATTGGCACCTAACCATGTCGTCCCTTGTTCAGTTGATTCTAAACCCCTTCTTTGTACGCTGACACGTATCATGTACCTGATCGCACGTGTCTGTCTGCGCTGCTGCAAACGCCAGGGGAGGATGAAGCATCGGAGAAGATTGCTCGAGTGGAGAGGAGGATGGGCAAGAGGCCCTCGTTTGCCAGCAAGATGGACGCAATGAGCCGAGCTGAGGAGGCATACAACCGCGAGCATGCAGCACCGAGAAGCAGGCTGTCATCCCTGCGACAACAGTTTGTAAGTTGTGTGGAGAGGAGGATGGGCAAGGGACCATCGTTTGCCAGCAAGATGGATGCAGTGAGCCCGGCTGAGGAGGCGTATAACCGCGAGCATACAGCGCCGAGAAGCAGGCTGTCATCCCTGCGACAACAATTTGTAAGTTGTGTGGAGAGGAAGATGGGCAAGGGACCATTGTTTGCCAGCAAGATGGATGCGAGCCGGGCTGAAGAAGCATATAACCACGAGCATACAGCGCCGAGAAGCAGGCTGTCATCCCTGCGACAACAATTTGTAAGTCTTATGCGCCTCAACAAGAGACCCTCGTTTGCCAGCAAGATGGAGTCAATGGGCCAGGCTGAGGAGGCATGGAACCGCGAGCACGCAGTGTCGAGAAGCAGATTTGCATCCCTGCGACAACAGTTTGTGAGTTGTGCTCACTTGTATAATGCTGTCACAAACGTTTACATTGTTTGTGGCATCCCTCGTTTGTGGCCTCGACATTCGCGTATCTCACCAAAACTCGCTGTCGTTTCGCATACCCATCTGGATTGTGCTGAATTGCATTGGTGCATTGTGGCTGATCCTTAAAGCCGGGATCTCAAGTAAGAAAGTAGGCTGGAAGTAGGTGAGGGAAGCTCGCCTATGATTGGTTAACGAGGTGGTTAGTTTGACGAGGGGTGAAGCGAGGGGTGCGAGCAAAAGTCAAATCGCAAGTTTGAATCCGAACCAGAGAGGCACGGAATCTGGTTCGGTGACGAACCTCCAACACCAGCAATTTCTCGTCACCCCAGAAAAATCTCATGTATCAGCAATGTGTTTTGCAATTGACCCAAAAACAAAAACGTGGGTGTGTCGCACACTCAACTTCCTAACCAACAAGTCAGTTCGCCTACACAAACAGGGTAACGGGAGCTGCAAGTGTTTTGCAATTGAAGGCCAATTCTCGTACTTGAGATCCTGGCTTTAATTTTCACTCATTGCTCACACTCCTGTTGCCCTGCACGATTATTTGTTCTCTCCTTGGTTCGTGCAGAAGGTCCCAAGGCTAGCAAGTGGTGTATCGTCTCCCAATACAGGGTTCACATCTGCAAGATCCGTGATGGCAGCATCATCCCTTTCAAATCGGGCACCAGCTAAATCTCGTAACATCAACACATCTACATTGAATGATGCAATCCCAACTGAACCTCCAAAACAGAAAGCCAAGCTACAAATCCCTCCTGTACCTCTTTCCCAAGATCCATGGCAGTAATACAATCTGATAATTTTGGATGTGCTTAGTGTTAAGAAATATGTTATATTGCGTTCATTGTGATCGAGGTACTTTTGTATATAGCACAATCAGAAATTGAAGAGCCGTATGGATGAAGAATTGTGCTGTTGCTTAGCTTGTACAGTTATCGCGCCCCCGCCTTGAAAGTGTCGAGCTTCATCTTCAAGGGTAATCTCTAGGTGGCCTGCTGGGAGTTGGGCTGGTGCAACCATCAATCATCCATTCCTTCCGAAGAGGGCCAAGGCCATCAATCATCCATTCCTTCCTACATATGCCAGCCCGCAGGCTAGACATAGATTGGCTTCCCATATTCAGTCACGCCGCCATGGAGAAAAACCTTCCTTGCAGCCCTTGCCAGTGTGGAATTCTAATCACCATCGCTGCGACTGTTTTTTCGTTCTTTGTAATACAGCTGGCCAACCTAGATTTGAAGGGCCATTCATTGTGTCTGCTTCCAGATGGCCTCAAGTCTAAGCATAGCTGCTATGCCCTCGTCCCTCCCGAAGGAAACCGCAATGGGAGTGGATTGCAAGAGAAATTGACTGCTAATGTCACAGTGCCAAGAAGAGCGAAAAGGTCCCCTGTGCAGTGGACGGAAACGGCTCATGTGATGATCTACGACGCCATAACAGCGCTTCAGCATCCGCGATCATGCGATGACGCGAAGCTTATGGTCGTGGAGGCCGACGTTAGCGGTAACAAAAGAACCTGTTGCACTCTTTATGATGCCAATTTTGGCAGGTGAAGCTTTAACGAATAACCCATGCAGGTCTCATGTGGAACTTCCGGTCTTTCGTCCGCGCATTATCGCTTGGTATGAAGCTTAATCGCACAGTAATTCCAGCTCCTCGACGACTGGGCGGAAAGCGCTGGGAATATGCCACATTTGATGGCTGTGAGGAGAAGCACCTTGGTTGCTACTTCCCGAATATTACCACTTGCAAGATCCCTGACGACCTCAACTCCACCATTTCCTGGAAATCTTGGAATTTCACCTGCAATGGACAGTGCGACATGGACCGCTTGGCCGAAATCTCAAACGACAGGGTCATATACTTGGAACCGATGAATGGAGTTTATCCTGGATGGGGTGGAGACATCTGGCCATCACATTTTTGGACTCAAATGAGGAATGATCCGTTTCGGTTTTTAAGGCGGTGTGGAAATGCAGAGTTGGCAGGATTTTTTCCTGGTGCGGGGCCACCATTCATGCTCCATGCCATAATCAGCCAGTGGCTCTTTCGACCCCACGATCACATTCTTGACATTGAAAAGGAGATCTTGAAGCAGTATCGAGGCTGGTCCAGACCCACCGTGTCTCTCCACATCAGACGAACAGACAAGGAACAAGAAGGTAAGGGCTTTGCTAAGGTTACTTCACCAAAACTGGTTCGTTGCTCTTAACTTGTATTCTCTGCAGATCCTTTTTGGAGGCTTCATGGTCACCAATACCGAGGATTGAGCAACTACACTGACGCAATTGAGACATCAGCAGCAAATCTGAGCATGCATTGGAACAGCCTCTTCATCATGAGCGACAGTCAGACTGTCATCAAGAATATGGAGAGCTATGTGGCTACTATTTCAGATGCCCCATTGCTCATGTTTGACAACTTGACAGACAGAACAGTTCTGGAACGAGTTGGTGGCCATGTGTATGTCCCTGCGGACGAGAAGAGAGGCATTCAAGATCATTTCCTTGCAAGCTTCTCTCTGGCATACAAGATCAGCGACCATGCTATCGGCACGCTTTCCTCGAACGTGTTTCGAGTTTTGGTGCAGCTTATGGGAGCTGAGAGAAAGATGGTACAGACAGAGAGGGTAGGCAGATTGGCGACTTCATTGGATACTTCTGAAGGATGGGCAGGGTAGCTCATTCGAGTTTCTAATGAAGCAGCTTTATATTGACTGCAACAGATCCCCCCAAAATGCAATGTTACTTCTCTACATAATAAATTGGTTGACCCTGATGTTGATTACGAAATTCGCTTCTACTCTTTTATCCAGTACTTCTAGGTCGTGGTTTCGTTTTGAGTCGTACTCAAAAGTTCTCAAACATAAAGAAATTCAAGTGGACTTGCATGACACCCCCTAGATAGTGCTATACCGAGGCACGCAACCTAGCATTCGACAAGCTCGAGGAGTAAAAGGCTCTATCGTATCAAGCTTGCCTCAACTTCTTCAGTGTTTCCAGCAGCGTCGTGTAAGGTCTCCACGGTCGGCGCTTAGTCCGAGAGAGTTCCCGCCTATCAACAAGCGTATTCCGTTGCGATTTACTGTTTGAAACAGCCTGAAGACAAGATTTAAAAGAACGACTTCCAGCAAACGTATACCTTCATCTCGCAAGGTCATAGTGATCGAGACCATTGATCAGGTCCACTAGAGTGAGGACATATATTAAGACCATTGATCGAAGCCACATTGAGGCAATGGATCTCGACGAAGACATGATGATGGAGGGTGCGTTACAGGCGTACGAGGCGGAAGACGACGAGGCGCTGCTGAGTCCAGGCCACCAGGACGGCGCACACGAGCAGCATGACCACAGAAACGAGGAGCAGCGGCAGCAGCAGTTGCAGCAGCAAGAGGAGTTTAGGGAAGCGGAGATGCACGCCGCGACCGATGTTGATGCTCTTGCGAAGGACTCGGGGACGGGTGGCGGGACGGATCGTGTGGGGGACGGCGCTGAAGCGGCGGTCGACGAGGGAGCGGCGAAGCTGCAGGAGGGGCAGGAGAAACGGGAGGACAAGGTTCCGGCAGGAATCGGAGCGAAGCGAAAGGTGTATCGCGTTCCGTGCCACGCGAGTGAGTTTAGCGCAACTTTGGATGCCCCTTTTTTTTTTTTTTTTTTTGGTCTCCTCCACCTACCTTCCTTCACTATGCCCTAATTCATCTCAATACCTTTTTTTTTCTTATCCTATTTCTCTCAACACTTTTAAACCGCACAGGCTGGTTTCGATGGGACAAGATCCACCCGTTGGAGAAGCGTGGGGTTCCAGAGTTCTTCCTCCCAACACCCCCACCACAGCCACCCACAGCCACCATGCTTCCTCCTCCTCCTCCCCCTCCCACCAAAACCCCCACGCTTTACAAAGAGTACCGAGACGCCATTATCACCATGTACTGCCAGATGCCGCCTGCCGATTGGCCGCTTACTTTCACACGTGTCCGCCGGGCGTTGGTTGGTGACGTGAGCTCAATCCGCCGGGTGTTTGATTTTCTTGACCAATGGGGGTTGATCAATGCTGACGTGCCAGGAGGGGGCGGAGCGGGAGGAGCAGCAGCAGCCAGTGCATCCGCCGCTGCTGCAGCCGCAGCCATTGCTGCAGCAACAGCTGCTGCTTCATCTACCGGCCTAACCACTCGCAGGCGTGCTGCTGCTGCAGCAGCAGCAGCAGTAGCAGCAGTGCAAGACTCCACCACTGACGATGCTGCTGCTGATGCTGCCGCCTCTGCTGCTCTCAATCCCTGGCCTGAGATCGCTCCATTGGAATCAGATTTAGCAGCAAAGGGCGGTGTGTCTCGTCTCGCCGTTCCTGCAGTCAAGCAAGAGGGTCTCATGGCGTCGGATTTGGTCTGCACCTTCGCTCGGGGAGCCGTGCCTGGTGCTAGGCCCGGAGCTGTAGGTTCGGCAGCAGGTCCGGGAGTAGCTGGAGCGAGGAAGCCTGGGACGGTGCGAACTGCTGAGCTGGCGCTGCTGGGAATGGTGGGGGATGCGAAGTGTAGCACGTGTGGTAACCAGTGCACGAAGTTACGTTACCACTCAGCTAAACACCCGCCCATGGATCTCTGCCCGAAGTGTTTCTCTCAAGGAAAAGTCCCTTCGTCCCGGTCCTTAGCCGAATTTTTGCGGGTAGAGGCACACGTTATACCATCTGATGCTGCAAGAGTGAGTGTGACTATAGAGAGCACCCCCGCTATAGCGGCAGGAGCGCCTGCTGCTGCAGCCACAGCTGCCGCCGCTGCAGCGGCAGTCAGCACAGGAGCAGGAGGAGGTTCGGGAGCTCCAGGTCCGGTGGCAGGTTCGGCTACAGAGGATGCGGCAGCAACAGCAGCAGCAGTGGTGGCAGCGGGAAGTGGGTGGAGTGAGGAAGAGGTGTTGCTGTTGCTGGAGGGTATTGAGATGTTTGGGAATAGTTGGGAGAAGGTGGCTGGGCACGTGAAGACGAAAGACCGAGCGCAGTGTCTGGCTTATTTTGTCCGCATGCCTATGGGTGACACGTTTGAATCGATCAGTGCGCCACCTGCTACAGTCATGCCTGCTTCAGTCACTCCTGCCCCTGAAGCTCCTGTATCTTCCACAGCTGCTGTTGCTGCTGCTCCTGAGAGGATTGAGGGAGGTGAGAAGGGAGGGGAGGGGAGGGATGGAGGTGGGGTGGGTGAAAAGAAGGGTGACGTGGAAATGCAAGATGCTGACGTGGGAGAAGAAACAGCAGCTGGAAAGGCAGAGGAGACTGTTACAGAGGCCAAGGCCTTAGAAAAAGACTCGTCAAGAAGAGGCACGAAGAGAAAGGGATCGGATCTAGAGCCTCTGTTCCCTGAGCGGCCTTTGAAACCATCAATAATGGGCCTAGACGAACCAATCCCGTTTGGCGACAGTGGTAACCCTATCATGGCTCAGGTGGCGTTTATCTCGGGTGTGGCGGGTCCGCGAGTGGCTGCTGCTGCTGCCCAGGCTGCTCTGGCTGCGCTTGTGCTTGAAGACCCGTCTGCCCTTGCTGAGCTGCACCAGGCTGCTGCTGAGGAAGAGGCGAGGGCAGTGGCTGCAGGGCAAGAGGCGAAGGCAGTGGCTGCAGAGCAAGAGGCAGGAGCAGCAGCAACTGCAGCAGAGCATGAGGCGATGGCAGGGGCAGGGGCAGGGGCAGGGGCAGGGGCAGGGGCAGGGGCAGGGGCAGGGGCAGGGGCACCAGCAGCAGCAGGAGAAGGAGGAGGAGGGGAATTAGCAGCCAAGGGAGAGGAAGAGGGGATTGCAGTGAGAGAGAAAGACGTGGGAGGAGCAGATGGAGAGGTGGCTGCAGAGGGAGCAGCAGGAGGAGACGCAAGGGAAGCAAGAGCAGGGGAGAAGGAGGGAGGAGCGGAGGCAGGGAAAGAAGGATCCGGGGCAGGAGACAGTGCCATTGGCGCTGCTGGTGCTTCTGGTGGTGCTGGTGCCGGTGATGCTGCTGGTGCTGCTGCTGTAACTGCTGCTTCCGAGGGTGGTGATGGGGATATAAATGCTGCTGGGCGTGAAGGGGATGGCGCGAAAGGGGATCCTGCTGAAAAGGTTGATGTTAAAGGGGATGTTGTTAAAGGGGAGGAGAGTGTGAAAGGTGATGTCGAAACTGCTGATGATAAGGGACAGGTTCAGATGGAGAGAGGAGGAGAGGAGAACGAGGGACAGAAAGAGGAGGGGGCTGGGGAAGTGAGCAAGAAAGAGAGTGATGATGGAATTGCTGGCATGGATGTTGATGGTGACGTTGGCATTGATGGTGGTAAGGAAGCGAGCAAAGGAGAGGAGGAAGGGAAGGGAGGAGGTGACGTTGGAAAGGAGGAGGGAGAGAAGAGTAAGGATGGTGGGAGTGCGAAGAGTAACCAGGGAGAGAAGGGAGCGGAGAAAGAGAGTGGCACGGCTGCAACAGCAGCAGCAGCAGCAGCAGTAGCCATCGCTGGAGAAAAGGCCACACCAGAGAAAGCAGAAGGAGCAGCAGGAGCAGGGGGGGGAGGAGCAGGAGGAGGGGGAGCAAGAGGAGGAGGACGAGGAGCAGCAGAAGGAGAAGCAGGAGGAGGCAAGGCCCCTCAACGCCGCGTTCCGTCTCTAAGCGACGTGCCGTCAGCGCTGCGCATTCGAGCTGCTGCTGCCACGGCCATGGCTGCCGCAGCGGTTAAGGCGAGGCTGATGGCGGAGGAGGAGGAGCGGGAGATGCGACGAGTGATGGCTGAATTGGTGGCGAAACAGGTGAGAGGGTTGGCTGTTTCGGTTCAGATTGTGGTTGCTGAGAGCAGACACGGCCATGGCTGCTGCAGCGGTAAAGGCGTGGCTTATGGCCGAGGAGGAGGAGCGGGAGATGCGACGAGTGATGGCTGACTTGGTGGCGAAACAGGTGAGTTGGTTAACATGAGGCCATGCCTGCTGCCACAGCCATGGGTGCTGCGGCAGTTAAGGCGAGGCTGATGGCAGAGGAGGAGGAGCGGGAGATGAGGCGGGTCATGGCAGAGCTGGTGGCGAAGCAGGTTAGTTGGTTGTGATAGGAAGGGTTGGATAGGTTTATGGGAGTTGACCCCTAGAGTAATGTGTCAGGTGAGCTGGACGAGGGGGAGATGCGACGAGTGATGGTAACAGGTAAGCTGGTTGATGTGAGGGGTGGGGGTGCTGCTTATGTTCAGATTGTCATTGCCATCTGCTGCCGAGCTGCTGCTGCCACAGCCATGGGTGCTGCAGCAGTGAAGGCGCGGCTTATGGCTGAGGAGGAGGAGCGGGAGATGCAACGCGTGATGGCAGAGCTGGTGGCGAAACAGGTGAGCTGGTTGCTTGGGAGGGTTTGTTTTTGCTTCGATTCGGGTTGTTGTTGCCAGTTGCAGCCACCGCGAGGGCTGCTGCTGCCACGGTCATGGGTGCTGCAGCGGTGAAGGCGCGGCTTATGGCGGAGGAGGAGGAGCGGGAGATGCGACGCGTCACGGCTGAATGGTGGCGAAACAGGTGAGCTGGGTGATATGAGCGGTAGGGGGTGCTGCTTATGCTTCGATTGTCATTGCCAGCTGCTGCTGCCGAGCTGCTGCCGCCACGGCCATGGGTGCTGCAGCGGTGAAAGCGAGGCTGATGGCCGAGGAGGAGGAGCGGGAGATGAGACGAGCCATGGCTGAGCTGGTGGCGAAATATGTGAGCGGGCTGGTTTGGCCTTTTTTTTTCTTTTCCTTTCCTTTTCTTTCCTTTTCTTTGTTTCTTTCCTCTATATGTTTCCCGATTCTTCTTCTCTCTGCTCCCACTATCACAGTGTTTGAAGCTGGAAAAGAAAATGCTTCAATCTGAGAGGCTGGAGCAGCTGATGGCGCGGGAGAGAACGAGCATAGACTTGTAGAACGCAGCAATTTGTTTAATATCATTCCTTTCCTCTCTTCCCCAATCCCCTGTCTTCGCCCCCTCTTTTGCTCCCCTCTACCAGTGTTTGAAGCTGGAGAAGAAGATGCTTCAATTCGAGAGGCTGGAGCAGCTGATGGCACGGGAGGGAGCAAGCATAGGCAGAGAGCAGCGATCTGTTTAGTATCATTCCTTTCCTCTCGTCCCCAATTCCCTGTTTTTGGTCCGCCTTTTCTCCCCTCCTTCAGTGTCTGAGGCTGAAGAAGAAGATGCTTCAGTTTGAGAGGCTGGAGCAGCTGATGGGGCGGGAGAGAGCGAGCATCGACAGGCAGAGGGCAGCGCTCCCTTTCTTGTCTTCTCTTCCCTCTTGTTCTTAACCCCTCACCTACTGCTTGTCCCCCATTCACAGTGTTTGAAGCTTGAAAAGAAGATGCTTCAGTTTGAGAGGCTGGAGCAGCTGATGGCAAGGGAGAGAGCGAGCATAGACAGGCAGAGGGCAGCGCTGTTTGAGGAGAGAATGAGGCTCGTCAGGGAGAGAGCTGCTATTCGTGCTGCTGCTGCTGGTGGTATTGGTGCTGATGCTGGCGGTGGTGGTGGTATTATTGGTGGTGTTGCTACTGATGGTGCCGGTTAATTGCATCTAAGGAGACCATGCATCTCGCAAGGGAGAGAGCAAGCATAGACAGGCAGAGAGCAGCGCTGTTTGAGGAGAGAATGAGGCTCGTCAGGGAGAGAGCTGCATTCGTGCTGCTGCTGCTGGTGGTGGTATTGGTGCTGGTGCTGGCGGTGGTGGTGGTATTGGTGCTGGTGGTATCGGAGGTGTTATGTGATGTTGCTGGTTGAATGCTTCAACCAGGCAGAGGGCGGTGCTGTTTGCGGAGAGAGTGATGCTTGACAGGAGTTGGCCACTCCTGCTGCTGGTGGTTTGTGGTGGTGCTGGTTGAATTAAAAGCTTCAACCAGGCAGAGGGCAGTGTTGTTTGATGTGAGAGGGAAGAGAGTGAGGCGAGGTAAAATTCATTATCATACCCAAGCATTGACACTCTAATGAGCTTTCGCCACCAAGTTTGTCAAACCCTTCTTTCCAAAACCTGATACCGGTAATAGATATCTCTTGCCAAACCAGCACCAAATATATAGGAAAGGGCTTTTGCAACGCTTTTATAGGGCTGCAGAATGGTTTTATAAAAAAGAACCTGCACGTGTCTTATCTGGCGGTAAATAACAACAGCCATCCCATCTCAAGGTGACAGTCATATACATTTGTGAATACAGCGTGGCGAGTATTTACAATAAATGCCATCTCCCTCATTCCGCTGGCTGTGGCATCAGCCCTGTGTGTTTGGGGCCAGCGGCTAGGATACCTATATTTTGGGGCCAGCGGCTAGGATTCTGGAGGCTTTTGGGGTACTGCGGGAGCGGTTGGAGTGGGTGGGGCTGGAGGTGCAGGCGCACAAGTGTCGTTTTTGGGAGCGTGAGGGTGGAGATGTGGAGCGGGCACTGCCATTGGGGATGCAGCCGCGCGCAGCCCGCACAGAGCCCACGCAGCCCGCGCCGAGCCCACGCAGCCCGCGTCGAGCCGCGCGCGGCCTGCTACGGCCTCGCGAGGCCCGCGCGCGGCCCGCAGCAGCCCGCGCCGAGCCGCGCGCGGCCTGCTACTGCCTCGCGCGGCCCGCGCGCGGCCCGCAACAGCCCGCGCCGAGCCGCGCGCGGCCCGCTACTGCCTAGCGCGGCCGCGCGCGGCCTGCAGCAGCTCAGCGCGCTGTCAGCGCAGCCCGCGCCGAGCCGCGCGCGGCCCTCTGCCTCGGCCACGACCTGCCGCTGATGCGGACCCGCCCTGCAGCTACCACGGCCCCGACCTGCCGCTGATGCGGCCCCGCCCTGCAGCTGCCACGGCCCCGACCTGCCGCTGACGCGGCCCCACCCTGCTACTGCCGCTGAAGCGGCCCCGCCCTGCAGCTGCTTCGGCCCTGCTCTGCAGCCGGTTTTGCGGCCCCGACGCCGCCGCTGTCGTGCGCCTACTCGGCCGCCGCCCGTCGAGCGCCGGCCCTGCTCGCCCGGTGAGCGCCTGCTCTCCCAGCCTTTGGTGAGCGCCTGCCTGCCTGCCGGCCTGCCTGCCTGCCTGCCTGCCTGCTTGCCTGCCTGCCTGCCTGCCTGTCTGCCTGCCTGCCTGCCTGCCTGCCTGCCTGCCTGCCTGCTTGCTTGCCTGCCTGCCGCGCCTGCCTTGCCCGCGCTACTGCTGCTGCTACTGCTACTGGCAGGTGGCCAGATGCAGCTCCAGCGACGTTCACGCGAGCCTCTGACGCCCCAGCAGCTTAGTGAGTGGTATACTAGCTGGGGTTGTCGCAGTAGCCGTCGTAGCTGTCGCCCTGGAGCTGGTCAGTTGGGAGCGTCTGGCAGTGGCCAGCTGCAGCTGCAGGGGCGTCCACGTGAGACACTTACGCCCCGGCAGCTCCAGGAGTGGTACGCTCAGTGTAGCAGGTCTACGCGTACAGTTCGCTGCCCGTACGTCATTCGCACAGGTGCTAGGACTGGTCAGCCTTGTGGGACGCTTGGTCACACACAGTCCCGCTGCTTCGCCCGTCTGAGCGACGACTGGCGCACAGTGTTTGGCGACGAGGCTGAGCTCCCCACCTGGCTGGAGCTGCATGGACAGAGGGTAGATATCTTTGCGCTTGACTATGATGCTATTCTCACTGCCATGTATGCATTGCCTACTAGTGCTGATCGTGCCTGTTATCTGTGCGTACCGCCTGACCCTGGTGAGGCTGCTGCTCTAGGTGCTAGTGCGTCTCCTGCTCTAGGTGCTGGTGAGGCTGCTGCTCTCGGTGCTAGTACGTCTACTGCTCTAGGTACTGGTAAGGCCGTGGCTTTTGGTGCTGGTGAGTCTGCTCTCTCTGGTACTGCGCCAACTACGGTCTCGCACACCTTCACCCTTGACTCAGGAGCTTCTCGCTCCTTCTTTCGCGACTGCACCACACTCACGCCGCTTAGTCGGCCAGTTCCAGTCTCCCTGGCGGACCCCTCCGGGGGTCCAGTCCTTGCCCACTACTCCACGGTTCTGCCGTGTCCGGCCGTCCCGTCCGGCTCGCTGTCAGGTCTTTACCTCCCCTCGTTCTCTACGAACTTGGTGAGTGGAGCTGACCTCCAGGATCGGGAGGTTGACCAGTTCACTCCTGCGAGTCAGCGAGTGACTCACTGTACGTGTGCTAGGACGGGCCGGCACTTGGCCACGTTCACCCGTGCACCTGGCTCGAGTCTGTACACACTGACCACTGAGTCCCCTCAGGTAGCTGCGTCTGCGTCTACGTCTGGTCAGCTGGCGGCCCCCTGCGAGTGTCGCGCTTTGTCGCACGACACTCTCCTGTGGCACCACCGTCTTGGTCACCCCTCCTTGCCTCGCCTACGTAGCATGCACTCTCGCTCCCTGGTCTCTGGTCTTCCCAGGTCTCTGCCTGCCCTCCCTCCCTCGCCTGCGCTGCCCTGCATTCCTTGCGTCGAGGGGCGGCAGCGCGCCGCTCCTCACTCCTCCTCGTTTCCTCCCACAGAGGCTCCACTGCAGACGCTCCACCTGGACGTGTGGGGCCCAGCCCGCGTCCAGGGACAGGGCCGCGAGCGGTACTTCCTGCTGGTTGTCGACGACTACACGCGTTACACCACGGTCTTCCCCTTGCAGAGCAAGGGGGACGTCCCTGATGTTTTGATCCCTTGGATCCGCACTGTTCGTCTCCAGCTCCGCGAGCGATTCCGGCGGGACTTTCCTGTCCTGCGTTTGCACTCTGACAGAGGTGGTGAGTTCTCCTCTGACCTCTTGGCAGCCTACTGTGCGGAGCACGGCATCACCCAGTCGTTCACGCTTCCGGCCTCTCCACAGCAGAATGGGGTTGCTGAGCGTCGCATTGGCTTAGTCATGGAGGTCGCTCGTACCTCCATGATCCATGCGGCTGCCCCCCATTTCCTGTGGCCGTTTGCGGTCCGGTACGCCGCGCATCAGCTCAACCTCTGGCCCCGTGTCTCCTTGCCGGAGACCTCGCCCACACTGCTGTGGACGGGGAAGGTTGGTGATGCGTCGCGTTTCCGGGTCTGGGGTGCTCGTGCCTTTGTCCGCGATACCACCGCGGACAAGCTCTCCGCCCGCGCTGTTCCCTGTGTCTTCCTTGGCTTTGTCCCTGACGCGCCTGGTTGGCAGTTTTACCATCCCACCTCGCGCCGTGTCTTTGCGTCTCAGGACGTCACGTTCGACGAGTCGGTTCCCTTTTACCGTCTCTTCCCCTACCGCACTGCCCCCCCCCCCCGCCGCTCTTCCTCGCTCCAGGTGCTCCCCAGGTAGACCCCCTCCCCACTCCTGGTCCTGCTCCTTCAGGTGTTTCTCAGGTAGACCCTCCTCCCTTGACTGCGCCGGTTGAGGTCACTGGTGACTCAGGTCCTACTGAGGGTGGTCCTTCTCGGGGTGCTACTTCTAGGGGTGCTGAGCCTGGGGGTGCGGAGCCTGGGGGTGCTGAGCCTGGGGGTGCTGAGCCTGAGGGTGCGGAGCTTGAGGGTGTGGAGCCTGGTGGTGCTGAGCCTGAGTGTGAGGGGTCTGGGGGTGCTGAGCTTGGCGGTACTGACGCTGGAGGTTCTGGAGCTACTGAGGGTGCTGGCGCTGGAGGTTCGGGAGCTGCTGGAGGGCCTAGTACTGGTGGCGCTGGAGCTGGAGGTTCTGGAGCTGCTGAGGGTGCTCGTGCTGGAGGTTCTGGAGCCGCTGGAGGTACTGGTGCTGAGGGTACTGACACCGGAGGTTCTGGAGCCGTTGGGGGTGCGGGCGCTGAGGGTTCTGAGTCTGCTGTTGCGCGGTCTCCTTGGAGTAGCCGCCTTCGTCCACGTGTGCCTCTCACCCCACAGCAGCTGCAGGACTGGTACGGTCGCCGTCAGCGTCGCGCTGCTGGAGCTAGGAGTGGTGCTGGTCCTTTGTCTACTGGAGGTGCTGGAGTCGCTGGTTCTGGAGGTGCTCGTGCTGGAGACACTGAGGCTGGAGACCCTGGGACTGGAGGTGCTGGTTCTGGGGGTGCTGCTGCTGGAGACACTAAGGCTGGAGACCCTGGGACTGGAGGTGCTGGGTCTGGGGGTGCTGCTGCTGGAGACACAGAGGTTGGAGACCCTGGGACTGGGGGTGTCGGCTCTGGGACTGGAGCTTCTGGAGCTGCTGGAGGTACGGGAGCTGCTGGAGGTACTGGAGCTGCTGGAGGCACTGGAGCTGCTGGAGCTGCCGGTACTGGTGCAGCTGCGCCGACACGACTGTTCTTCGCTCCGCCGTCTCCGTCGTCTCTGCCGCCGCCTGACTCTGCTCTTCGTCAGGTTGTTACTCTCCCGTCGTCTACTGGTCTTCCGTTACAGACTGGCTCACCGCTACCTGCTCCCTCTCCTTACACTGAGCCGACAGGCAGTCCTGCTACGCGTCGTGAGCCTGCGTCGCGTCCTGTCTTGCCTGTTCGTTCTGGTCGTACCGTTCGTCGTGTCGCTCGTGCGCGTCAGCCGGCTGTCCCCAGCGCACACCTTGTTGTCCGTCGTCCTTCCTCTGCTCTGCAGCCTGTTCCTCTGCCGTCTCCCCCTGCGTCCTCTCTGCCTGCCGTTCCGGACCCTGAGTCTGACCGGTTTCGTACTGAGCACCCTACTGTCACGCGTCTCCTAGCCACTATTGTCACTGACCCGTCGTTTGAGTCTACTGCTGCGTCTGCCTTGGTCGCTGAGCTTGTTGACTTTGCTGCTGCCTGTCGTCTAGACTACGCCGCCAGTCTTGTTGCTGAGTCTGAGTCTGTCTGTCCTCCGTCCGTCGGGGGTGAGTGTGCTCTTAGCACGGACGTCCTTGAGGACAGGCACGAGGACCTTGAGTGTCTTGCAGCCGCTGCGCCTCATCTCGTTGCCATGCTGCTTGCCCCTGAGGGAGACCCGGATGCACCAGACATCCCGACTCCGCGCTCTTACGCAGAGGCGATAGAGGGTCCCTACTCCTCTCAGTGGCAGGCAGCCATGGACGCAGAGATGGCTTCCTAGAAGTCCACAGGCACCTACGTTGACGAGGTTCCCCCACCTGGGGCGAACATCGTCAGTGGCATGTGGATTTTCAGGGTGAAGCGGCCGCCGGGTTCTCCGCCTGTCTTCAAGGCGCGTTATGTGGCTCGAGGCTTCAGTCAGCGAGAGGGAGTTGACTTCTTCCAGACCTTCTCCCCCACCCCGAAGATGACCACTCTTCGGGTGCTGCTGCATGTTGCTGCTCACCGTGACTACGAGCTTCATTCTCTTGACTTCAGCACAGCTTTCTTGCAGGGCAGCCTGCACGAGGAGATCTGGCTGCGCCGCCCCCCGGGCTTCACTGGGTCGTTCCCTCCTGGCACCCAGTGGAGCCTCCGGCGGCCGGTCTACGGTCTCCGCCAGGCGCCACGTGAGTGGCACGACACACTGAGGACTATGCTTGCGGCTCTTGGGTTCGCGCCTTCTACTGCTGACCCGTCGCTGTTTCTGCGCACCGACACTTCACTGCCGCCGTTCTACATCCTCGTGTATGTCGACGACTTGGTTTTTGCCACTGCTGACACTGAGGCTCTCGCCCACGTGAAGTCGGAGCTGCAGAAGAGACACACGTGCACAGACTTGGGTGAGCTGCGCAGCTACCTTGGCTTGCAGATCACCCGGGACAGAGCACGCCGCACCATCACCTTGACTCAGTCACACATGGTGCAGCAGGTCCTTCAGCGCTTCGGCTTCACCTGGTCTTCAGCACAGGCCACTCCTCTGGCTACAGGTCACACGCTCTCAGCTCCACCTTCGGACGAGTCCGTAGAGCCGAGTGGTCCTTACCCAGAGCTAGTCGGCTGCCTCATGTACCTGATGACTTGCACTCGACCTGACCTCGCGTACCCTCTTGGTCTTCTGGCTCGCTACGTGGCTCCTGGTCGGCACCGACCTGAGCACATGGCTGCTGCTAAGAGGGTACTGCGCTACTTGTGCAGCACATCAGGCATGGGGCTAGTGCTTGGAGGGACGAGCCCAGTTGTCCTCACTGGGCACTCAGACGCTTCTTGGGTTGACGACCTGGCTACTCAGCGGTCGTCACAGGGTTACACCTTCAGCCTTGGCTCTGGTTCAGTTTCGTGGCGTTCTACACGCTCGTCTTCAGTTCTCAGCTCCAGTTGTGAGGCTGAGATCTACGCCACAGCCATGGCTGCACAGGAGTTACGCTGGCTCACCTACCTGCTGACTGACTTGGGAGAGCAGCCTCGTTCTCCTCCAGTGCTGTACGTCGACAACAAGGCCGCCATTGCCTTGTGTGAGGAGCACAGACTGGAGCACATAACGAAGCACATTGCTCTGCGTTACTTCCTGGCTCGAGAGTTGCAGCAGCGAGGCCAGCTTCGTCTTCGTCACGTGGCCACTCGGGCCAACACTGCTGATATATTCACCAAGGCACTTCCGTCTGGTAATCATCAGCGCTTTTGTACCCTGTTAGGCCTTGTGCCTACGTTTCCACACTTGCTGTAGTCTCTGCTTGTACTGTGATCTATATATATACATGCATGCCTGCTCTTGCTAGGTAGTCATCACTGTACTGTTATTGTTGCATATATATCTCTGCATGTGAACTGGCCTTGTGGCCCTTTGCTTGTGCTCAGAATGTGTGGTGACGTTGAGATCCACCCTGAGCTTGCTTTGCTTCTCTTGACTGGTCGTTTGACCCCTTGTTCTCCCCCACTTTGCCTATGGGGGTGTGTCAAACATATATGCTGCATATTGTCTAGGCTGTAGTGGGGTAGCCCATATGGGGTACAGCCCAATTAGGGTTTACTACTTGTACTCCTGCATGCTGCTAGTTCATTCATTCCTGCTGCTAGATTCTGACATCTCAACCGCTAGGCGACGGTGTTGTGTGGAGAAGAGCAGCATAGGCGGGTCAGTGGTGCACAAGGCAAGGGGTGGCATCTCCTGCCGGACCGACTGTGGAAGCAGATCCACTGCTCTCGCAAACCAGGGGTCCAACAAGGTCGTAGCCTCGGGCGTGCGGAAAAACTCCTCAAACATCCGCTCCTCACCTGCCACCCCCAACCGAGCCACATCGCTCACTGCTTGGCACCAGCCACATGCATACGACAGAGGACTAAGGTCAGCCGCAGATCGAATGTCAAACCCTCCGAGTCTGGCAGGAAGGTGCAGCTGTAAACGAGCCATCTGGGACTTCCCCGAATCGTGATCCCAGGTACTATCTGGAAACAGCTCCTCGAAACAATCTTCCAGCTTCGTGTCCCAGTCCCGAAAAGCCTCCACAACCTCAGGTCGTGGAGGCATCGTCCGTGTGAGGTAGATCGGGCGCGCCGACACTGCGATCGCCAACAAATGGGACGCAATCTGTGGGTGGTCAAGCAGAGGAAGCCAGGGGACAGGTGCATGCAGCTCCGTCAGCCGGCGACGCAGGCTAGCCACCTCCCAGTCCTCCTCCCCAATGGGGACCCCTACCACAGTGAGCCCCGTCCATGTCTGCTGCATGCCGGGCGGGACGGTCTCATTTCTCTCCTCCCCATCCTGGTCCCTCCCTCGCTCCCATAGCTTACACTTATGCGGCTGCACCTCCAAACCCAGCCCGTCCAATCGTTCCCGCAAGGCCTCATAGGCTGCTAAAACCCGCTCCCTAGGCCCCAGGATATACGTATCATCAGCATAGCTGAGGAAGAGTAAGTCGGCGAACTCTGTTTTGGTTGGTTCCATAACCAGCTGCTGTGTGAACGCGAACAGAAACGGACCCAATGGGTCCCCTTGCCTCGAGCCCCGCTCGGAGGCCAAAGCTTCGACAAAAGGGCCCGCACGGAGATAGAGGTCGCTAGGAGTGCCGTAGAAGACACGCAGAAATGGAATCAATCCCTTGAAAGGCGACTGTCGAAGACCCTCAAACATTTCCCGCCGATGGAAGGAGTTGAAAGCGTTCTCTCGATGGGCTTCTTTCCCCTCACCCCAGGTACCCTCCCTCAGTCAGGTGTAAGTTGAGAACTGGGGATAGAATCAGTTAGCGGTTGCGACCCTCAATTCAAAGTTCGGTTCGGAGTTTGTGTCTGTTCCGGTCAGCTAGTAGAAGCCAGCTTTGCAATGCCAATTTGAGATGCCAGCTCGTAGTCGCCCATCAAGTGCGAGGCGCGTGTAGGAGGATATTATACTGCATTCGCGTACGGTTCAAGTTGCTTGAGGGCTTGCTGCACCGTTTGTCTCATTGATTGTCCATATGCTACCAGAGATGATCCAATCGAACTCCTCCATCCCACACTCAGCACGGCTTGTTTTTGGAAGATGTGATGTGGTGTGGTGAGAACCCCTCGCGTTGCAGTGTTCGCCAATGCCACAAAACGAAACCATCTGTGATATAAGCGCATTCTGCAATTACTAGACTAGCGGTAGCACCCAAACATTTGAATAGTCAAAATGATTAAAACACAAATACAACAGCTTAGGAGAGGTTGTATTGTGGACGTTACAGTTGTCTTCTCATTCCCCTGTAATGAGTTGCAGTGGGAGCAAAAATTTCTATTTAGCAAATACTTTGAGGTCTACATATCGTACAGAACTAAAGCACAATATACAAGCTGCAAATCAAGGCTTCAGTATGCTACCTTCTGGGAGTGCCTACTTTGGTCCAGTCCCATGATCAATTACTGGTTAGTTCTACTGAGTGAGAGTTTGTCAGTTGTCAAGGGATATGTGCACACTGGCGTGCTTACACACGCCACAGGCAGGGCACGCCGCCGTGCGTGGCTCACAGGCTCGGCACAAAGCCAAGTGCCTGCAGGGAAGAAGCACCACGGAGGCTTCGCCAAACTTGCAGGCTCGGCAGACGTGCTTCAATCGGGTGTCATTCGGAGCACGCTCTGACAGATTGAACTTCTGGTCCGGAACTGCAGGGGCAGATGAAAACCTGCTTGCAGGAAAAACACCAAAATTTGAACCCTTTGCGCAAATAGGAGCAGCGTCGCAATGAGAAACTGCATCCTCCGCAGGACCCTCCTTTTGTCCCCCACTCCCCCCCACTACCACGTCGTCACTGTCTCCCGAACCTTCCCGGAATCGCTCCTGCTGAAGCTGCTGCTGGGAGTTTTCAAGGGAACGCTGAAGAGAAGAAACGGTACGCTGGGACGCGGCAAGTAGGCTGTGTGCTGACGCGAGATTCGCTTGTAACGAGGATACTTGTTGCTCCAGCTCCGCCACTCGGCGCTTGCTCCCCGCGGCTTCTTCTAACGCAGCCGAGACGACCGAGCGCACTTGACCTGCAACCGCCTGCTGGATCAGCGCAAAAAGCGCGTCGTTGGCAAACCCGCGCGCAAGCACTGGGTATGATTGCTGCGCTGACGATTGCTGACAGAGCCCGGTTTGCTGCAACTGGTACACATCTCCGTGAGTGCGGCCGCATGCTGAATGCGCGAATTCTTCGCAACGAGGACGCTTCAAACGAGGATGGAATTCCTCACCCTGAGACGCTGCTGTGAGGATCGGTGTGTGCGCGGAAGCATGTGCAATGTCAGCGGGTCGTACAAAGCACCCTGCTGCCGCGGACGACTCAACTGTCGAGTGCGACGAGAGATTAGGTAGCGACGGTGCGACGTCGCACGACGCGTCGCCTAGACGCTGTGAAGCCGTCGTCGCAGGCGCGAGAAGCGCTGTCGCGCACTCGCGAAGCAGGAGCTGGCGTCGCATGTGCTGGCGTTGCTGTCGCTGCTGCTGCAGCAGCAGCTGGTGCTGCTGCTGCCGCTCCTGCTCTTGTTGCTCCGTCATCAACGCCAGGAGCAGATCGTCAAGGTCCGAGTCGACTGAAAAGGTGGAGCAGCCATGGCTCGCCATTGGGTTGGCGGCGTCTCTGCTTCGTTTGCAACAAACGGATCTGCCGAGGAACTGCAATTGAAGAGCCGCTGGAACTGCCGTGTCCGCCATGGTTCCAGATTTAGTCTGGCAAAATTAAGCGTTTTTAGTCTGCTAACAGGAACGTGCTGGTGCTGAAGCCCGAGATTATGTCAATGGAATAGGGTAGCGCCCATATGTATCAGAAGCTGAACTGATCGGGCTGTGAATCGAGAACGGTGGTCCGTGCACCAACCCAAGAATTGCGTGTAGGAACAGCCAAGTCCCATCCCATACGCTGTGTACCAGAAGGGCCGAATAGCTGAGTGAGTGAGTGAGCGAGTTGAGTTCCAACTGCACGAAATTGGGGCAACAAACAAATCGCCGTCGTCATTTGCTTCGTTTGTCGGGCGCTGTTGAAATTGGGGCAACAGTTCGCATGAGGACGGTGATTTCCAGAGGAGAAGCACAAGGCGAATGGCGGGAGGTATGGCAGCTGCCAACGGGACCGCATGTGCGAAGCCACACCACGCCAAAGGTCACAATTTCTGATGACGCCGCCGTGCACAGTTTATTGGCTGGCGTCATATCGTCAAGTGCTTGTCCTGGCTGGCGTTCCTTGTTGCGCCTTCTGCACAAGGCGCCTTACTGTTGCCTTAGTAACTCCCAACCTTCTGTTTGCTAGCCATCACGACTGGTTTCCAGAAATTTCACGCATGCTACACTAGATCAGAAGAATTCTGGAGCAGCGCGACCCGGTTGCTGCTTTGAGGCACGCGGCTCGTAATGTTGCAAAATTGGTTTTCCCCCAGCCCAGAGTCGCTTGCTGTCAATGTTGTCGTAAGATGGCGCCACAGCCGCTGGCTTCCGTGGATTTGATGTGGTGAGTAATGACGTGGATTACATACTGACAATGGCTGCCATCTCAGAGGGACAACCCGTCTCCCTGAACGAGCTGATATTCTAGGTTCGGGCAATTGAGGCATTTCTACTCCGAGCTGACTGGGCGCATTCAACCATCATCAACGGTGAACAAGAGGTCTGGAATGGGGCTGCCCCTGTCATCAGCCCCAGAAAGAACATTCTGTCCGGTCTTACATAAACCAGCGGTCTTATATATTTTCCATACATGCATCACCTTGGCTTCAGCGCTCACCTATCGGGGAGAGTGAATTTTAGTCAATGAAAACCGCGTGAAAGTCCAGACAGCGTAGCGCGCTATATGAAAATTCCTTGATGCAGCGGGCAGAGCAATAAAACTTCATCTGGTGCTTGTCCGTACGGGGGACTGTACATCTAGGACCTTGCCTTGCCATGCCATGCGATGCATGCCAAACAATTTCCTCCGGGCTCGTCACCAACACCCAACATGACAGCGTGGATTTAGTTATTTCTGTTTTCCCAACAGACCCCAAACGAAAGTTGGGCAGCCGCATGGCAGGACAAGACAGGACTTGGTTGCATGACTGGGCCTGATCACTGCCATGCTTCAAGTTCATCGACAGAAGACGAAAGGACAGTTCTGGCGTGTCACTTTGGGAGTTACGCGGCAGTTTTCCAGCAGCAACGGCAGGGAAATGAATGGATTCACTATTCGTCATCAGTTGCAAAAATTGTCTCCATGAATGACTGCACTGCAGGGAATGCAATAGCACTATTCATGAGGTCCTGCAGTTGTTCGATACAAGTACTTCCCTGGATTAGCTCATCATCGAGGGCCACTGCAAATATCGGGGTGGCAAACACACTGCCGAGTGTCTGCTGCGGGGTTACCATTCCAAGCCTGGTTGAAATCCATCAAATAGATACTTTCTAGCTATAATTGCCATCACATTACAACGGTATTCACAAAGATGTAAAAAAATAACTCGAAACTCAATGCACAAAAATGTGTAATAAGTGGCGTGTCATTGACAGCTTTCCAGATTTAATATCCTGCGCTGCGGAAAGGCAAGTGGTGGTTCAGCGTGCTTGCTGTCAGGCCTGACGATTGACGGGCATATGCCCTTAATGCCCTGACATTAAGGGCTAGTTTTTCTCCAGCTCCAATGCGTCAAGTTTTAGATTCGCACCCCACCCGTGCCACTAAGTGCTTCGTTCGACCCTTCCCCGGATGCGTTAAGGGACGAAACCAGGCCTTCCCCTTTATCTAAGTTTTGGTTTCCGATCTTAGGACCCCCCATCCCCCAGGGTGCCAGAGACAACCCCCCCCCCCTCTTTCTCCTTAGTCTGCACGAGAGCGCGCGGAGGGGATTTTTCCCTTAGCGTTTTCTAGCCAATCTCGTGTGTGTAGTGTGTCTCAGTCAGCCTTGGAGCACCCGAACAATCCCTTAGCGTACAATACGAGCTGGCCGCAGTTTACAGCTGTGACACATAGGATTAGGTTTGCTGAATTCGGCTATTGGACACAGAGAACTCCAACACACTTAACCAAAGCACGTCAAAGGAACTGAAGCACTCTGGCGTAGCAGCTCCCTCACTTAACCAAATACAGTGTGTGCAAACTTCGCACATGCCCGGATTTCAAGTTTTCACTTTGGGGTGCGCCCGTGCCCGTTAAGGGCGCCAAAACGCTCACCTACACCCAACCAAGGGTCAGATGGGGAGGAGCTGGGGAGCGCAAGTACGAGCCCCAGAAACTTCGACAGGCCTGCTTGCTGTGCATGCTGACGTGGGGTGGTGGGTAACCAAGTAGCCCACATCACCCCGACGAAACCAAATCGATGGACCTAGTCTTAATCTATACCACCCCTCCACATCCTTTCCATTGACCTTTCCTGTTATTTTGACTGTCATAAAACAACACCAATGCAATGCTCAGGCATGGACAGATCTGTAATTTTTTTTGTCGTAACATGTCCGAGGGTAACTACAAAACAGAGAACTGCGCACCGTACTTACAGTACTGCTCGCGGCGGATTCGAAACGGGGAAATCTCGAGCGAGACGGTCGCAACAGAGAAACAGATCTAAACCACAAAAGGCCAACGCTCACTAGTCCCCACCCCACACCGGCCTGCTGCTGCATTCTGTTTTTGACGAATGCATTTGTGAGCACCCCAGTTGATGGCCAGCGCAGCAAGAAGCCATCATCAATCCTTCATCACTTCCCGTGACAAGCAACAGTTCCGCATGACAAAAATCAAATGTCCCAATTTCCCGAGAAGCAGCAGCAGCTTTGGGCCGTGGGCCACTGCATTGCTGTCCGAGGCTGAAGCTTCAACACTCTGCCAGCCCTTGTTGGCCGCTTTGTGGATAACAAGGACCGTAATTCGTAACAAGGATGAATGATTAGGGAACGATTACCAGAAATGAAATTGAAATCTGGATGATCCACACAAAGGCAGGCATAAAATACATCTGTTGTTATAGCCTGAAGAGCAGTGAAGCATGGCAACTACCACAGCAATGCTTCCGCTTGCAGAACATGGCTCTGCTAATGGAGTTTCTGAAACGGATACTAGTGAGAAGAACATCATTCTTGTTTCACATCCGATGGGTACAACACTAGCGAACCATGAATAATTGCACGAAGGCAATGTGATACAAAGGCATATTCAACCATATTCAACCATTTGCTTCATCTGCACCCTCCAAAACATCAACCAGTGCTTGCGCTTTCGCCTTCGCTCTCCCTGAGCAAACATCACTCTGTAACAACTTCTCCAGAGCCGGCAAAACCCCTTCCTCCACCATCCTCCTCCCCAACCCCTCCCCATCCTCCTCCCCGTCCACATCACCACCATCCCCTTCACCACCTCCCCTCAAATGTCCCCCAGTCGCCAGCAGCAGCAGGGTCATAATAGCGTCCTCTTGTGCTCTTGGTGAGCCACTAGCAACAACATCAACCAGTATTGCAACCGCATCACCCACACCACCACCAGTCACACCATTCCGCCCACTGCCACCACTGCCACCACTGCCACCATTCCCACTACCCCCGCTACTAGCACCGCTGACCCAGCCTCTTCCCTCTGCTGTGACAAGCCTAGCGCGCCCTTCTTTCAACCGGCAGATATTAGCCAGCACTGCCATTGCTTTCTCTTCCAACCCCGACTCTTTATAAGCAACCACCTCTAAAAGCACCTCCACCGCGCCTGCTTCAACCAACTCTGACGCCCCTTTTGCGTCCCGTGAGACATTAAATAACACGAGGGCCGAGTCTTTCCTCCCTCTAGTGGACCCCGTTTTAAGCACATCCAGCAGCAGCGGCACCCCCCGCTCTCCCGAACCTCCTTAAGAAGCGACTCGCTAACCGACAGAGTGAACAGCGCTGCTGCGGCGCCTTCTTTCGAAGCTACAGTGCCACTTTGGAGCAAACTCACTAGCTGCTGCACCCCATTGCACGCTGCTATCTCCCCAGCTACCCCTTTCACTAAAGACACTAGCAGCAAGCACGAAACTGCATGCTCCTGCGTTTTCACATCCGACGCAGAGAGCAGATCCACAATGAGCCGCACTCCACCGCACTCCACCGCGATTTCCTTCGCCGGAGGCTGCTTCCTAAGCAGCGATCGGAGTGACGACACGGCTTCTCTCAACTGACGGTCAGAAGAAGAGGAAGGCTTGCTGGATTGAGCGGAAGAGGTGGAAGACGAGGAGGAGGAGGAGCGGATGGTTGCAAGCAACTCCCGCACCTCCTCAGCAAGACAATTCTCTGCTGTATCTGATGTGGCTACCGCTGCTGCCCCAGTAGCATCCTGCTGCTGCTGCTGCTGCTGCTGCCGAGAGCGCTGGGGTGAATCCGGGTGCTCCTTTTTCCTCCCCCAGTCAGACAAACCGCCCCCCAGAGGGCTCAAGGGCCAACGCTCCCTCCCCCCTCTGCCCCCTCCACTCGCCTCCCCCACCCCTCCTCCTCCC